TCAGACGGACGGACAGACAGACAGACAGACAGAGACAGACAGACAGGCAGACAGACAGACAGGCAGACAGACAGACAGGCACACACACACACACACACACACACACACACACACACACACACACATACACACGGAATGAACAACCCCAACTGCCCAGCATCCCGCGGAATGTATTTGCTGAGATAAATGCCAAATTACTCAAGAATTGTATCTGATTGTGCAAGGAACAGCGAAACAACCCTCTGCATTATTCCACTCATATGCACGCCTTAGCATTCACTGGAGTGAGGAAGGTACACATACTTTTGCAAATGGGAGTTTGCACGTTCTCAAGTGGGAACCAATACGTAAAGTCTACACGAAACTTTGTTTTCAAATCACAGTGCATGGATAGTCGCATGCTCCAATGCAAACTTGTCGCGATGTATCTCTAATGCTAATCCTCGCAGCAGTGCATGTGGTTCTGTCTAAATGGCATGGAGGTCAAGGTTCACACTGGTAGGACAAGCGCCAATCCTTGTTCTGAGCGTATACAAGTGGAATGGCGCTCGTCTAGTGCAACATGCTTCTGTTTCTGCTCATGAACAGTACATGGAGATATGGTGGGGCAGGCGCTTTCTCTTTATGTGAGCAGAACTAAGAAAGCTGTCGCACTGTTTTCTTCATTGGTTCATCCCCCATCTCCATGTGCTGTCTTCGTATAACAGCCCTTACATGGAGAGATAATGAAAACCAACAAACAACAAATGCAGTTCCTACTGGTTGCCATTTAGCGCGGAACGGTGCGCTCTCATCCACACAGGTTTTTGCTTCTACGAAGTGCAAGCTGTCAGTGCCGGTGAGAATACACTGAGCGTCAACTTGGTGAGATTTGGGGCAAGTGAAACTCGTAATAAGCGGAAGGGGACGGCTCTCTTGCCTGATATCTCGCCGTGTCTAGAGGGGCACGGGAGTGGTGCAGATCAGCGTCACGAACACAGGGGATGTCGAACAGGGTTGGAGTAAAGAAGCACCAACCCTGTTCAGGCTCTTGGTGGGAGTCGGGCTCATCTACGGGCGAACCCAATACTTCATAACCATTTAGCTCTCTAGAAATCCTCACATCTATCTATCTAAACATCATCATCCTCTGTAACGTAGTCGCTGTTGGCAAGGCTGTCTAAAGTTGGCGCATGATCTCTTACTCAGCTCTAGTAGGCAGCGCGCACGCAAGAACAAATGCTGAACAATTGTCTTTAGAGTCCCTGCATGCAGAAATGGGGAGCTGCGTTACGGGTCCTTTTTGGGTTGCCGTACATGAGAGCAGCAACTTATGAGATGCTGCCTCCCCTCTTCTCCAGCCCCAACTCTTGGGCACTGTGCACCTTGAGCCCCTTGAGCCCAGTGTCTTCTTTCACTGGGTAGAGATTACGCAGATAATCGCTCCAATGAGAAGGAAACCAACGACGAGGCGCCTCGTCGCAAGAAAGCGAACGCAATATCTGCATCCCGTCCAGCGACGATAATGCTTGTGGAGTGCATCTACGTTCTCTGGCGGTAACGGTAAGATGGGCGTCACAATGTGGAATCAGTGGAGGAGTTTCTTTCTTCACTGTAGCTGTGACTGCCACTCTTCAAAATGCTCCTTGGAACCTACAGGCTATTGGCAACCTCTCCATTAGAGGGGTAAGCACGGGTGTGGCAGTTGTCCCCGAGGACGTGTGCCGCATTCTCGGTGCCATCAGAAGGCCCTTAGATTCCCTGGGGTGTATGCATAAGTAGAAATTGGAAGGGGAACATGTATCAAACATTTTAGCCAAACATAGAGGTTACCAGGGGCTGACCCCTACTACTTCACTTCACAAGGGCTTCACTGAATCAGAGTTGTACCTGGGCTACCAATTACTATGTGATGGGCCGAACGAGACTCGGCTGGAAGACTCATCGGGCAGAAAGTGGGCTCCGCGGATAATGCGTTCGAGCTTCTCTTTGCATAGGCTCTTGGCAAGAAATTATTACAGATTTACCGGCCATTGTAGGCTCAACATCACAGTCAACCCAATGGTTAGAACCTTTTGTTCCCCTCCGATGCACCGTTGACCAAAGGAGTATCCCGTGACTTACCGGGAATATCGGCAGCCAAAGCCGCTCAAAGTCGCGCTGTTGCAAGTCAAGAGTTTTCCGATGAGTAATAGTATATGGATGTGCATACCTATGGCTTTACTAGTGATTTCATATTCAATGAGAGGCAGTGATTCACCTTATCAGGAGAGTCAGCAGATCAACGCCTGTTGTGTACAGTCGGCGTGCACTACAGTGGATATCCCATTGAACCTGAAGAGGTGCACCCATTAAAAGAACACAATAGAATGTAATATTCATTGTAAATAAGATCAGTTAGGTAAGAAATAATGCCGACCGGGGCTGGGCTGCTTGCAATCATTTGGTGACCAATGCTCCATCGGATTAGCGCAAGTCTTCTATATTATCACAGGACCACTGCGAGCTGTACGTCATACATCTTAATCTGGCGGCTTCGCAAAATCAAGCTTCCCTGTCCCCAGTTTTCCTGTATCCTGAGGGCAGAGACTCGAACGCCTGGAGCTGCGGGAGAGCAGACGGCCGTTCATGGGTTGCGATGCACCTTTCTCCAACACAAGGTGCAAAACAACCCCATAGGAAAGCACAACCAAGCCTTCTGCGTTGCATGCTCTAACACTGCACAGAATTAGCAAGCACTCGCGTGTACACTCCCTACTTTCACGCAGGTTGCCTCCTACGGGCAAGCGAGTGTTTATGTACCAACGGTCCGCAGAGTACATGCCAGCGACCTGCTGTTCCATGCTGATTGTTTTTCCTAATTTATATGACCCTTTGTCACTGATCGTATACTGAGCATTGCAGTTGCATACAGCACTTCATATTTTGCTGTTTTGGCACCTACGCACAAGCGCACGTGTTGACGACCTGCTGCGTTTCAACGCAAATTTTTTAGCTTGGGAAGCCCCCATTTTGTTCGCGGCCCCACCCAGTGGAAGACCCCAACCCTCAGGAGAAAGCTAGTGGCTACTCCACCGAGGTGGCCTGCACAAACTCTATGCAGCTCAGCAGCGCCAGTACGCGCTTGGGTGCTGCGCCACGAGAGCCACGTATGTCTTGAACAACTATCTCGAGTGTTCGTGTATGGAGAAAACGTGTTTTGGTTGTGCTTGTATGCTGAATTGACGTGCAACTGCAGCGAGGTGAGATGAACATTATGAGTCCCCGCCCCTTCCCTCCCTCCATCCTCTACCTCTTCCCTACATCTTACTCGCCAGGGATGCCTTGGAGTTGGATAGAGGGTCATATGGTTAGTGGGAGTCCCTAGCACATGCTTTTGAGTGCACCGCCGCTTGTGAAGGCAATCAGCTATAATTGATAATCCCCGCCACAGTAGACCTACTTGTGGGGTTGCCGTATTTTGGCGTTTCGGCAAGGTATGCTTCAAATCGTGACAGGCTGCTTATCCCCTGGTCATTCTGCCTCTCGTGTGTGCAGGCTACCTGAGGAGTGAATGGTGAACATATTGCAATTTCCATATGGGGACTCTTATTTCAAGCTTTTGATGCGACTGGCTTGTATGAGTGACTTCTGGTACGCTGCAGGACTCGCGTTCTCGTTGTAGTGCACAGGAAACTGGCTTACCTTCTCCCTGACCGCGCCACAAATTTGTTATGAGTCTTTTTTGTTCTATTGAAAGGAGAATGTGCAGAAGGTTTTTCATTGTAGCGCTTTTGCAAACCACAGTTCCAACAGCAGCTGCGGGGACTGCTCCCTCTGTTGCTAGTGTTGTTGCTGACAAGCATTCCGGTATTATGTGGCGTTAGCGCTTTTCTGGAGTTCTCGAAACAACGATTTACGGAAGCAGAGGAAAATTTCCCATTTTCGTGTTGTTTTCTCCCCCTTCTCGTTGGGGGACTAGGGGGAACGCCCCAGAGTTTGAAGAAGGAGGAGTGCAGTTGCTCCAGAGCGTTGAAGAGGCTAGTAAAAAGTCCGCTGCTGAGTGTTCTTTTGCATTTCTATGTTATCTAAAGACAGGAAAACATTAAGATATTAGGGAAACGCAAGACCGCCTTGAGGAAAACAACACGAAATCTGGAGGCCCCGAATAATGAGCGGGAGCTGAACGCCGGCGGCTGCTGGGTTGGTTCCGGTTCCCTCCACAGTGTGTATGCTTTTGCATCGATTTGAAGTAAAGGGTAATACCGCAGATAATACCCTAGGGAGGAGGATTAAGCCCGTTCTTCTCTGCTGCTTTTTTCCCCTGCTTCGATTCGCCATTCGTATCTCAACATGCGTCCTGCCGACGGGCGCGCGAGCGGCCGCTAATCTCCCAGCCGATCCCTTCCTCCTAAATTCTGGTTTTCTTCTAGATATAATTAAATGCTTCGCCTCTACAGATGCAACAGGGAAACTGCTGCGAACTCCATCGACCCACCAAACCATCAACGCGTGTCACTAACATGGGGATGCGCTGACGCCTTACGCCTTAAACCCCACACATTAACCCCTCAAAGCACAAACAAGCAAAATACGCATCTAAGCTTGTCTCCTTAACAGACAAAAAGCCTGCTCAGCAGGCTGCATTACACAATTATTCACCCCTACCCCCACGGCGCCTTCTTCGCAGAACCCCTTCCAATCAACAGCGACACCAGCAGCAACAGCAATACCAGCGGCAACAACAACGAAAGAAGCACAGCTTTTAGAGGCTGCGGCAGTAGCCGCATGAGCTGCAGTGGCAAAACTGCCACAGCAGCTGCAGCAGAGAACGTTTTTTTTTTCGTGCTTGGGCGCAGTTGGCTGCCGCCGCTCTCTGTGTGTGCTTCTGCATTTCTCTTAGTGGGTTATTGTCGAAATATTTATTGTAATTACAATTCTTTTTACTGCCTCGGAGTTCGTTATATGCCGGTCTTGTTAAGTATACTGGCCTGCTGCAACAGTCCTTTTAGATTATTTGTAACATTCTTGCTAAACAGGAAATGGCTGCTGATGCTAACTCCTTGCAGGAAGGAGGCACTTCTTTGGTCTCTTCTGACCTCTCTAAAAGACAAGAAGAGCCTTGGCTGCTGCAGCAGCATTCAGGAAGTTGGCTAGGAAAAATACCCCATACCACCAACATCAAGGCCGATGCTGTGGTAGCAGGAGGCCAGCCTGAGATGGAGCAGGAAACAGAGCCTGCTGCAGCTCCTGAAGCTCCCTTAGCTCCTTCTGACAGAAGCGCTGGAGAAGAGCTAAACTACCAGAGCGTGCAGCCCCGCAACAACAGCAACATGGACAACCGCAGCAGCAGCAGCATAAGCCGCGAAAAGGAGCACAGCAGTAGCAGCAGCCCAGTAGGCTACGATGTGCATAGCAGCACTGGTATCGGCAGCAACGAAGTGCAAAGCAGCAGCAGCACAGTCGCCAACGAAGTGCACAACAGCAGTAGCAGCACAGTTGCCAACGAAGTGCACACCAGCAGCAGCACAGTCGCCAACGAAGTGCACAGCACCAGCGGCAGCAGCAGCACCGCCGGCAACGAAGCACAGCACAGCAGCAGCACAGTCGCCAACGAAGTGCACAGCACCAGCAGCAGCAGCAGCACCGTAGGCAACGAAGTGCACAACAGCAGCAGTAGCACAGTCGGCAACGAAGTGCACACCAGCAGAAGCACAGTCGACAACGAAGTGCAAAGCAGCAGCAGTAGCACAGTCGGCAACGAAGTGCAAAACAGCAGCAGTAGCACAGTCGGCAACGAAGTGCAAAACAGCAGCAGTAGCACAGTCGGAAACGAAGTGCAAAACAGCAGCAGCACAGTCGCCAACGAAGTGCAAAGCAGCAGCAGTAGCACAGTCGGAAACGAAGTGCAAAACAGCAGCAGTAGCACAGTCGGCAACGAAGTGCACAGCAGCAGCAGCAGCAGCAGCGCAGTCGTCAACGAAGTGCACACCAGCAGCAGCACAGTCGGAAACAGCGTGCCAAGTGGCGGCAGCAACATTATTGGCAAAGAAGTGCACAGCAGCGGCAGCAGCACAGTCGGAAACAACGTTCAAAACGATGATAGCAACAACATAATTGTTAACGAAGTGCACAGCAACAGCAACAACAGCACAGTCGGCAATGAAGTACACAGTAGCGGCAGCAGCAAAAGCGGAAGCGACGTGCACTGCAGCGGCAGCAACAAAAGCGGAAACAACTTTTGCGGCGGCAGCAGCAACAGCACTGTCGGAGACGAAGCTCACAGCAATGGTAGCAGCAAAAGCGGCAACAGAGTGCACATCAGCATTAGCAACAGCAACAACAGCAGCAACCACAGCAACAGTGAGGAGAACAATAGCAAGAATCGGCACAGAGGCCGCAACCGCAGGAACAGCAGCAGCGAGGTAAACAATTCCAACAATAGAGGTGGCAACAGCCACAGCAGCGATGCCCACCTTCCTCCCAACAACAAACTGGAGAGGAAAGTAAGACGAGAAGATCGGCGTTATAGGCACCGTTTTAAGGCTAAGAAGCAGCAAACCCCTTTTATGAAGTTTCGCCGGTCTTTCCGTCGCCTACTTAAACGACCAGATCTTCTTCTTCAATCTTTCCTCACATTTTCTCTTATTTTTATGGTGGCCTCTCTAGGAGTGCGCATTGCAGCAAAGGGAAACGTCCGACTAGATCGCCATCCCCCGTTCCTGCTGTTTGACAGGAGCGGTCCTTCAGCAGCAGAAGCAGCAGCAGCGGCGGCGGCGTTCGATCCAGCAGTATCAGCAGCAGATGCAGAAGCAGCAGCAGCTGCTGCTAGGCTTCAAATGGAAGTGCCGCTATTAGATGAAGACTTAGACGAACAACTCGTGCAAATCAAGAAAGGGACAAAGTCGCTGCAGCGCGCGTGGAGGAAACTACCGGCAAGTGCCAAGAAGGCATCTTTAGAAAACTTTGTAGCGTCGGGGAGGGATGGAGAAGACCCAATGCTGGCCTTCAAGCAGTTGGCTTCTGCAGCCTTGAGGATGCAGCGGCCGCCTCTGCCCCCTGGGTTCGCAGACAAATACAAAAAACACAAGTTAGCAGCAGCAGTTGCTGTTACAGATGCAGCAAATGCTGGAGAAACTGAGGAAGAAGTGAAAAAGGTACGGTTTAGAGAAGGGATGGATGGAGAAGCAACAGACGGCAGAGAGCGTGAGGCGGCGGCAGGAAGGGATGCAGCAGAGGCCGACAGAAAACAAGGCGAAGACAACGAGGGCGACAAAGAGAAATACAAGGAAAGGGGGGGAGGGGGGACGAACGGAAGAGAAAAAGGAGAAGACGGAGAAGGGAGAAAAGAGACGACGACTCCTCGTGAAGACGACGAGGACATGGGAGCTTCGGTGTTGCAGACAGCGCTAATGAACGGACAGGCGGAAGCAGAAATGCTACAGCACGTGGAAGCAAGGAAGCTGTACAGCTTACGTTTGCTGGTGCTGCGGTGTCTGCTGCAGGCAGCACAGAAGCGGCTGGAGGGCATTGCAAAGGCATACCTCCAGGCGTCTTCTCGAGCAATCCCCTGTGCTGTCTTGCAGATAGCCGGCCGCCCTCTGCCCGTTCCTGATCGTTTGGAAGACGACGATGATAGAACAGCCGATTTTGATTTGATTTCCTTCAAGCTGCTGCCACGGCCGACACCCGGCAGCAGCAGCAGCAGCACCAAAGAAAGAAGCAAGCAGCAACGGGAGAAACGCAAGTCCAAGTACAGAGACGAAGAAGAAAATGCAAAGGATTTGCAAGACAAAATACCAGCAGACCTTGCAAAGCGCATCTTCGAATCTGTTGGCCTCATCGATATCTTAGCAGAAGCAGACGCAGAAGTTGTTGCAGCATTTGAACCTCTGTGGCAAGCTCTGCATCCATCAACCCACACAGAACAGCAGCAAGAACTGCAGCAATTGCAGCAGTACGACCAAGTGCAACCCACGCAGCCAGGCATGCAACAGGATGCACAACAACGAAAACAACTGGGGCAGAAGCAGGACAAGCACCAACAGCAGCAGGAAAAGAAGCAGGACCAACAGCAGGATCAGGATGAGGAGCTGGAACTGAAGATGCAGAAGAAGCTGCAGCAGGGGCTGCTGCAGGAAGCTATTCTAGAGGAGGCGTCGGGCGATCACTATTTGGCCTTGGCTTTGCCTGCGGAGGACGGCACAGCAATATCTACGTTTTTCCCCCTTCAGGCATTTGAACGAGTTGCTGCAGCTGCTGCCGGCTTCCGATCTGCTGCGCTCCTAACAGATGCAGAAGTTGCTGCCTGGCAGCAGCAGTTTACTACCGATCACATGTGTGCTGAGCTTAAGGCCATTCATCACACAGAAAAGGAAACGCAACAGCGGCTGCTTAAGTGGAAGACACAACTCAAAGAATTGTGGCTCGAAACAAACAAAGATGCAACACCCAACGATCCATTCATCCTCGCCCTCTTCCTCCTCTAGCAACACAAATAGCCGCATCTGCAGCAGAATAGCTGCACCTGTCGCGGCACATACAGAAACTGCAGCAGCAGCGGCACCGGTAGCACTTGCATCAGCAGCAGCAGCGGCACCGGTAGCACTTGCATCAGCAGCAGCTGCTGCAGCAGCAAACGCGTAGCGGGTGTGAGCAGCACGAGGCAGTTGCTTACTCCGCGTGCATCCTTTGCCCCCAGAAGTACCTTGTGCTGCATTCAAGTGTTATGATATATATGTCGTATATATAATATTGAATGTGATATTGTATATAGAACATATATATGTGGATACGTTTTATAGTTGTTTACAATGCGTATGCTGTGCCACCCACGGAGCTGCTGCTGTTTCGCCGGCAGCGCGTTTTCTGGTGTTGCTTTCTTGTGCTTTCTCTCCTCCCTTTTATAGACCCGTGTGTGCCTTTTCTGCTTGTTATTTTTAATTTTATCCATTCCCTTTTGAGGCTAGCTAGACAGCTCGCGTGCTACGTAGCGCCTCAGCTGGCTCTCTTGCTAGCTAGAACCGTCGCGAGGTGTGGAGGAGGAAAGCAACTAGCACATCTCAAGTCCCTACAATTGCCTTTTGTCTCCGAGCCATGCAGCTCGACACACGCTGTGCAGTGGCAGCCCAGGCAGCTAGCTGGCAGCTAGCTGGGCATGAAGCCAATTAGTTAGACATATACAAGGTAGCTAGCTAGCTAGCTAGCTACCTAGGTGGGTAGCTGGCTTTGTCACTGGGCCGTTTTCGCCGGAAAGAGGGCTAGCGACTTCCGATCTAGCAACTAGCTAACTAGCTGCGCACGACGGAGTCTTTAGGTGCCCCCATCTCCCCCGCGAAACATATGGTGACGCTGCAGGTCCTCAGCTGCGGCGCCGCCCTTCGGCAGCAGCTGCTCCACCTTCTCTTGCACACGAGCAGCCAGCCGGGGGTCTTCCGTTGGTTTCACGACGTCATCAGCAAACGCCTAAAGCAGAGCCCCACACAAATCAATGCATGCATACAGGCATGCACGAATGCATGCACATGGAGGAAAGTAGTAAACGTAGCATGCCTTCTTGCATGCGCGCGTGCATGCATGTACAACCCGAATAATTGGGACTTTAGGCATGCATGCATGCCTAAAGTCCCAATTATGCATGCAGGCGTGCATACATGCCGAAAGCCCCACTTTTACGAAGTGACACTTAACGACAGTTATATTTAGTTCCCTGTCTAAAGAGGAAGTAGCTGAAGTGTTCGTGCAGCCCACTAACTTCGCCGCAGAGCTAAACAACCCTAAACCCTAGGGTCTAAACCCTTCAGCTAAACCGCACATCCTAAACCTTAATTCAAGCCCCAAACTCGTACCAGCATCAGCAGCCGCTTCGCTTTGTCTGTTGGAATCCCCCGACTCCTCATGTAGAACAGCGGCTCCGTGTCGAAGTCGCGAATGGCCGCCCCGTGAGTGGCCTGCAGAAAACTCTAAACCCTAAAAACAATAAGCTGAGCCAGTTCAGAAGATGCCACCCCTAACTGACTTCGGCGGAGATAACCTGCAGCGCCAGCTGTTTACCGTCCTTGTAGCATGCTGAGTGAGCCTGTAGTCCATAGATTAGGGTTTAGGGTATACGGTTTCGCAGACCTTTTTGATATCCTCCGGGATAATTTCTAGCGTCGGCACTGCCACACAGGTGGCCCCGTCTTCCAGCAAAATGACTCTGTTTAAAGAAGAAGCATCTGCCCCTATCCCGTCCCGCTCTATTCTAATTCGACCCCTCCAGACAGCTCTTCCTGCAAGCAGTTAGCAAAGAGCAGCAATAGCAGCAACAGCTGCAACTGCAATGCGGGCTGATAGCACAACAGCTGAACCCTCGCCTATTGACAACTGCCTCGGGAGCTACCTAGCCACCAGTGACCTACCACGACGGGCTAGTTAAGGGTCACAACAAAGTAGCTAGCTAGCTAGATAGGTAGCTAGCCAGTTAACTTGCTCACCAGTTGACACACCTAATCATTTGCCTCTCATATGCCTAGTTTCCCGTGCCTGTCAGTTCAATGCTCAGCTATCTAGTCCGCTACCCCGTCAACAACGCAGCTAGCTGGTCACTAGCTGCCTAGCTCCTAGGGTAGGTAGCTAGGTCCCCGACGCATTACTCAACTAGCTGAAACTGGCTCTATATATAGTCGAATACCTAGATGCGTAGCAACCCAGATAGCCCGCGATCTGGCTAGTTACCCAGCTAGCCGGCTAGTTGCCTATCTAGCTAGCTATCCATCTAGCTAGCTAGCGAGCAAGGTTTAGGGTGAAGAAAATAGCTAGTACCGTTTCCTGCGACAAGACTTCTGTGTACTTGGTCGGTGACAGCGTCGGGCTGGAGATGATGAAACATTTCAAACTTGGCGTGGCGCTGCTTGCCATGCAGCACCGAGAGACCGCGGGATATATGCGTCGAGCCTTCCGCCCCCTCCACCTGCAGCAGCAACACTAGCAGCAAGAGCAGCAGCAGCAAGAGCAGCAGCAGCAGGAGCAGCAGCAGCACAAACAACAGCAAACAAGCCCTTCAAGACCTGAGTGGCATGGCTACCCAGAAGGGCTGACAAATGATGCACAGCTTGCCCTTTCTGCCGCGCTGTATTGACAACTGTCTAAAGAGCTTGCCTAGTTAGCTATATCAATAGCTAGGTCGCTAGCTAGATTGTTAGCTAGTTGTTGGAATAGCTGTTTGTGCAGGTAGGGGCTCATCTGCATGGCTAGCTGCCAACGGGGCGACCTGTCTCTGCCTCACTATTTCACTGTCGTTGGACTGGCTATGTGGCTAGTTAGATAGGCCCCTGTTCCCATGGCTAGCTGCTCAGTTAGCTAGGCGCATCTTTTGTTTGTCTAGCTAGCTGCCTCGTTAACTGGCTCTTTCCCAAGCTAGTTGACCCTGCGGCTAGCTCGCAGCGCGGCTAGCTCGCAGCGCGGCTAGCTATCTCTTTGACCCGTTAGCTCCGTCTTGCTCCGCTAGTTGCTTGTGCAGCTAGCTGCTACTTTGACAGGTAGCTGTCCCTTCGCTTGTTAGGTGTTAATTCACTAGCTAGTTGCTCCCTGGCTACATAGTTGCTAGCTGCGTGTCTAAGGGCACCTGCAGTGCAAAGCGGCTAAACGCAGCGCCTAAATCAACGTGCGTCAGTCGATATTTGGAATTATCCTGGCAGCAAACAGAAATGTTCTCAATGTGGGCCGTTTCTTCGTTTAACTCCTGCAGCAACCATCACACCAAGTGTACAGACAGACACCTCAACCCAATATATAGACACAGCAGATAATATAGCAGCCAATGCAGCGGCGAATGCAACAGCTAATGCAGCAGCCAATGCAACAGCTAATGCAGCAACTAATGCAGCAGCTCATTCAGCAGCAAATGCAGCAGGTAATTGAGCAGTAAATGCAGCAGCAAACGCAGCAGCTAATGCTGCAGTAGCTGTCGCCCTTTGAACACAACTATACAGCAAATTCAAGCAGGTATATAACCCTACAGGTGCTCGGGCGGCAAGCTATTTAGCTAGCTAACGTGGGAGATAGGCACCTGGGAGTAAACATGGTGAACTTCGCCTCCCTCCTCCACTACTATTCTGGTGGCGGAGTTGACGAGGGGGCCTCGAAAACCCTTGGACTCTTTCTGCTGTTGCTGTTTGATTTGCTGGAGCTGCTGCTGCTCTGCTGGCGATAGCAACGAAGAAAGACTGACGTGCGTTTGATGTACGCGGCATTTTGCATTGCGCCCTACGTGGATAACAAAGCGAGGATTAACTATGGGAGTTGCAGGCCCTGAGCTGCTGTTGCAGCTATTGCTGCTGCTGCTGCTGGTTCCGATGCGATCGATTTCGTCCGTTGTGGAGACATGAATGACTTGCAACACGACAGGCTTCCTCTTGAATGAATGAGTGGCCTTTCCTGTCATTGCTACTTTGGACGCTGCTGTCCTTGCTGCTGTCGCTGCGGGATGATGAGGCGCTGTTTCTTGGTTCTGCGCGGCTCCACCTGCAGAAGCAGCCCAAGTGGCAGGGCCTGCAGCAGCAGTCTGTTTATGTTGCTGTTGCTGCTGTTGCCGCTGCTGCTGTTCTCCTTCCTCCTCCTCTTCCTCCCAATCAGTGACGATAAGGACGCCAGCATCGTGCATTCCTGCTAAGTTGAGGGAAGACAACTTCGCCATTCCAAAGTCAAACTTTCGGTAATCATATATCGCGTAATCGTTGTCGTATTTGCGGCTAGTCTTACCCACCTGCACATACACACCAACAATGCCAAAATAACTTACATGAACCTGCCTATTCACCCCAATCATGACAATGTACCCAGTGTACCTAATAGGAAACCTGCCTATACACCCCAATTGTGTCACTATAGTAACACAACTTATATAACACTGCCTATACACACAAATCATGACAAGGTACCTAACAAAATACTTGCCTATACACCCCATTGGACACCACTTAAGGAAGCAAAGCAACAGATAGAATTCTTTACGGGAAATAGCATGCAGATACAAACGAACGAATAAATAAAACAGCAGCCGTTATTAAGTAGCAAAGGGACAAACAACGCTAAGAAAACAAAGTTAAAGGAGAACGCTTAAAGGAGAAGGAAAACTGCAGCAGAAAAGAGGCAACACCGCTGCTGTGCCTCCCCACTGCAAGAGCAGGAGGGGGCAAGAGGAGGGAAGTGAGCTAATAAAGGACCAACATGAAGAAAAAGAAGCAGAGTAATGCAGCAGCAGCAGCAACAACAGCAGCAACTGTTTGCTCACCTGTCCTCTATGCAGCGGCTGTGTGTTGCAGCGATAGTAATTTGTATACTCGGGTATAAATTTTAATTCTTTTTCGATTGCTGCTCTAACAGCAGCATCTGTTATATCGAAAAAGCTACAGCAAACAGCGGGCAGCTGCTCCTCCTCCTCCTCATTATCATCTGTCTCCTCGTTACCTGCTGCTGTACCTGCTGCTGCTGTTGCTGTTTCTGTTGATGGATCTAAGTCTGCTGCCGCTGCTGTAGGCGACGTGCCGGAGCATCCACAAGCGCCATCAGTGGGGCTTTTGCTGCTGCCGCCGCAGCTACTGCTGTTGCCGCTGCTGTTGGCATTATGACGACGTGGGTGCGGTTTGTGGTGTGGGTGCTGCGAGTGCGGCTGCATGCCTTTTAGTGCGCTAGCTGGCATTCCTGCTACTTCTTCCTGCTCAGCTAGTTCACTCTCTAAGAAGGCATTTCCTCTACTAAGATTGGGATCGACGACTCCATCCCGAAGCACCAATACAGCATCTGCTTCCGGCAGCATATATGGCTGCAGGTGCTGCTGCAGCAGCGGCTGCTGCAGCGATACCCGAGAGTCGAAGCGGGAAAAATATAAAGGACGCAAGAATGAACACAAACGCCAACTCTCCAAACGCGAATGCGGAGTAGGGAGATCCAAGCAAGCATCCCTGAGACACCAGCAGCAGCAGCAACAGCAACAGCAGCAGAAGCAGCAGGTAGGCAGCAGATAAGCAGCAGGAACAGACACTCCACTAGTGGGAGCAGCAACAAAAGTAGCAGTAGTGGTAGGTGAACCAATAGTTGCAGCAGTAGCAATAAGTGAAGCAACAGCGACACAAGCAGAAAAACAGGGGGCAAAAGCAGAACCAACATCAGGGAACCGAAGCAGCAGAAACAATCGGAGCAGCAGCAGCAGCAGGAGAAGCAGACGTGGCCAGCAGCAACAGCAGCAGCAGTAGCAGGAACAGCAGCCGAAGCAGCAAGAAGCAGGACGAACAGCAGCATCAGCCTCCGCCAGAACACCAGAAGCAAAAGCAGCAGCAACACCAGCAACTGCAGGAACAAGATCAGCAAATAGCTGAAGCAGTATCAGCAGCGGCAGCAGCAACAGCAGCAGTAGCAACAGCAGCGGTAGCAGCAGTAGCAGCAGCAGCACCGCACCATCCTGAGGAGTTCATAAGTTTGAATACGTTGTGGAAACGATGATTGACATTAATTAAATTTGCAGGAAGAGGAAACGGTGGAGGAACTGCAGCAGCAGCAACAGCAGCAGCACACACAAATACTCCTGCATCACCTTGCTGCAGCATACTGCAGTTTGCTGCTGTCGTGTCTGTCATCGCCTCTCTCGTTTGCTGCTTCCGGCAGGGGTATAAGGCTCGCCTGGGTTTAGTGGCTGCTCCATCTGCTCCTGTTGTTTCTCCTGCTGCTGCCCCTTCTGCTGCTCCTGTCCCTGCTGCTGTTGGTTATGTTGTCGCTGCTGCGCCTCCTGCTCTGCTTCCTGCTGCAGCCTCCAGGGTGTTTTGTATTGCTGCAGCTGCTGCTGCCGATGCCCGCTGCGCAGCCAAGCTGCTGCTGCTGCTGTGCGGGTGTCGAGGCTCCGCACTGACGCAGTCAAGGCAGCAATCCAGAAGGCCTGTTGAGAGAAGCATCAAAACCCTAAACCCCTATACCCTAAACCCTAAAACCCCGCGAAGAGGGACAAAATGACGTGGGGGTGTTATTGGATCCGCGTTAAATGACGCAGAGATGGAAAGTAGGGTTTAGGGTTTATAGAGACTGCGGCGAGAAAAATGTTGCAACCCAGGAGAGACACAATTACACTTGTCACTGCTGCTGCTGATGCTTCTTCAGCCCCTCCTGCTACTGCTGCGGCCACTGCTTTTGCTTTTGTTGCTTTTGCTGCTATTGCTGCTGCAGCTGGCGTACCTGTCTCTTTCTCTCCAGAGGAGTGATTATTTGTAGTTTAAGCTTATTGCGGAGATATTTATGCGTTGTGTCAATATTTGGTTTACTTAAATGTGATAAGGATAGAGTAGATATTGCTGTTGAATTCTGTGGTAAAAAGAAGAAAAAATATTTTGCTTTATTTTATTTTACTTTATTTTATTCTACATATCTTTTTTAATGAAATACAATTATATAGGTAATTCTATACAACTAAATACACCTGTACGTGCGTATATACCCCAATAAAGAAATAAAGAAATAGGACCAATAATAAATCTTTTAAATATAAATATAATAATCAGCAGCAAAAGGGAGTAAACAAGCAAGCAAATAAATAGAAGGAAAATGAGGAACAATTAAATGAATAAAACTAAATAGAGAAAAGAAACGATTAACAGACAGACAGACAAACAAACAAACAAACATGCAAACCTTCGCGGCGGTGAGAGCCTACACAACTAAGTGCAATGGTAAAGCAGCAGCCACAGCAACAGCAGTAGAAGCAACAGCAGAAGCAAGCTTACTACAAAAGGCCGTGGGACATCTGTCCAGTCATCGGGAATAAAACGTGGCTCAGCACTAATATCGATATCTTCTTCACTGACACCGCTTGCTTGCTTCTGCTGCTGCTGCTGCTGTCTTTCTTCTTCCACTTCTTCCTCCTCTGCTACTAGACGGTTAATATAGCTGCTGGCGTATCCCCACAGGTCGTCATACCTAGGGGTACCTGCAGCAGCAGCAGCAGCAGCAGCTTCTTCTTCTGCCGCTGCTGCTGCTGCTGCTGCAGCTTCTGCTGCAGCTGCAACCTCCTCAGCTGTCCCCCCCTCTTGGCAGTGCTTCCATGCTGCTTCTCGTGCTGCTGCTGCCGCTGCTGCTGCTGTTGCCTTAGGGATCACCGTGTCTGTTGCCTTATCCATGAAATGCGATACTCCTGTAGCAACGTATGGAGTAATAGCAGCAGCAGTAGAAATAGCACCACCAGCAGCACCAGGCTGGATCTGCTGCAGCATCTCCTTTGGCACCTTAAAGGGGGAAAGGGACAAAGGAGACACACGAGTCCTCCCCTCAGTATGAACCAATCGGCTATCAATATCTGTATTTCCTCCTGCTGCTGCTGCTGCAGCAGCAGCTGCCGCAGCTGCTGCAGCAGCAGCAGCAGGAGTGTTTGCTGATGCTGCTCCTGCTCCAGCGTCCACTGCAGGTGCAGCTATATCTTTCGCGTCATTTGCTGCAGCTACAGAATCGGAACCCCCACAAGATAAGCTGCTGCTGCTGCTGCTGCTGCACGCAGCAGCAGCAGCATAGGAACAATTCCTGCGGTGTACATTCACCGCAGGAATGTCAGGAACTCTGCTAGGGGGGACAAAGAAGATGCGAAGTCTGCTAGGGTTTATATCCTCTTTTCTTGTCTTAATTTGCAAGCCCACGCCTCCCTGCTGCTGCTGCAGCAGCAGCAATAGCAGCAGCAGCAGCAAATGCTGCTGTGCCAGCTGCCGCTGCGCCAGAGGCCAAACAGCCATACTCCCCAGGAGTACTCGAGAGAAACATGGGGAACCTGAAACAACCCTAACACTTCAAACCTAAACCCTAAAACCCTCCCTCCCCCCAAAAAATCAATCGCATCCGAAGGAAGGAGGTGTGACGTGGAGTATCATGGCAGACAACATGCGGCTCCACATTAAGGGTCTAGAGTTTAGAGTTTAGGATTTGTGGTTTATGGTCGGACTTCAGCGTCGTCCCACAAGAAAACACCTACTGCACCGCGTAGGGTTTAGGGTCCGATGTTTGGCGTGTAGATGGCAGGCAGTACGCAGAGGCAGAGAGAATGACTGTGACTCGAAACCCCAAACACCAAACCCCAACATTAAACCCTAAACCCTAAGGACTAAACCCTAAACCCTTCAACATCGACCGTTGGATACCGCAAGAAAGGGAGCAAAAGAGAACGAGGGTTAGAAGTGTAAAAACAAGAAAGAAATAAAATTTGTTTATTTCTTCGTGAAGACAAAAACCCTAGAAGACTAACACTAAATCATAAACCCTAAACCCTAAACCGTAAAGACTAAACCCAAAGCGCTGCGCGGCAACTCAAACCGTCGCTCGCAGATCGACGTTCCCCAACAACACCGAACATTCATTAATTAAGAAGCATATTACTTGTTTTCTTATAAACCCTAAATCCTAAACCCTAAACCCTAAACACTAAACCCTTATATATTTCATGTTGTCGCTCCCGCATCCGCTCCCGCTGTCCCTGTCTCTTCAGAACCCTAAACCCTAAACCCTAAACCCTCAGCATTAACCCTTAATTCCTTGACTCTTATTCACTAATTTTCCGTAAATAACCCTACGTGCTTCTTCCTACGGTCTATCTTAACCCTAAACCATAAACCCTAAGTTCTAGACAAGCGATGACTCCAGAAGAGCTTGACTTCCAACAATAAACCCTGGGCCCTAAACCCTAAACCCTAAACCCTAAACCCGAGTTTGTTAGAAAAGAAGATGCGCCTTGCCTCATATCTGCTGCTTCTGCTTCTACGTATCCCTCAAAAAATCGCTTCTGATCAAGATAGAGTAAGAGTGTGTTACTGCTGCTGCTGCTGCTGCTGCTGCTACTGGTGTTGTTGTTGTTGCTGCTGCTGCTACTACTGTTGCTGTTGCTGCTGCCGTTGCTGCTTCTGATGTTACTCTTCTCGCTCCTGCTTCTGACGTTGCTTCCCGTTGCTGCTGCTGATCCCTTTGTTGCTGCTGCACTTGCTGCTTCTGCAGCCGCACCTGCTGCTGCTTCTGCTAGCTGTTGTACCTCTCTTCTTGAGGTAAATGCACAAGCTGGAACAACAACAGCAAGAGCAGCCGGAGCAAACACTGAAGCTACAGAAGCAGCAGCAAAAGCAGCAGCAGAAACAGCAGCAGTACCAAGGTCCTGGGGATTGGCAGCGCTGCTGCGGCAGCTCAGCCCGCTATCCTCCCCCATGTTGCTGCGTATGTTGCAGCACCAGCTGTTTCTGCAACACTAGCAGCAGCAGCCCCACGTGCTGCAAATGCTGCTGCAACGACTCTGCTTGCACTGCTGCAGCTGTGTGTCGTTTTTTGTTCGCTTTATCATTCATAGGATTATCCCCTTGAGCTAATCCTGGACGCAGACAGCCCTCTTCCTCTTTCCTCACAAGACGGCAGCAGCAGCAACAGCAACGCCAACAACAGCAGCAGCTGCAGCACCAGCAACTCTGCCACCGGCTCTGCTGTAGATTATGTGCGTAGCTGGAAGAACTATCGTCCTTACTACTACCGCTTGCAGCCATCCGCATCAGCAGCATCGGCAGCAGGCGGAGGAGACCGATCAGCAGCAGCAACAGCAACAGCAGCAGCAGCAGCAGCAGCAACAGATTGTGGTTTTGTTGCATTAATACACGGTAGAGACGTCAATACACCCCAAAGATGGAAATGGACTTGGAGTTGGCAATGGAAATTCTTCAAGCAACAACTCGAAGCAAATGCTGCCGTCAGACAACCGCTGCTGTTGCTGTTGCTGCTCCTCTTTCTGCTGCTTCTCATGCTGCTGCTACTGCTGCTGCTGCTCTTGCTGCCACTGGTGCTCTTGTTGCCACTGCTGCTGAGGATGGTGATGTGCTCCTCGTAGTATTGCTTGTAATAGTGGTGCTGCTGTGGAAGAAGGAGCAGCAGCAGCTGATGAAGCTGTTGATGTTGCTGTCGTTGACGTCGCTGCTGCTGCTGCAGTTGTTGTTGCTGCTGCAGTTGGGTCGAGTCCTTCTGATGACACCACAATCAACAGATCCTGCTGGGTGTATCTACAAGCAAATTGAAGACACGGCGTTGCTGCTTGCTGCTGCTCTGACTGCTAATACAAGACCAGTAGCAGCAGCAGGAGACACAGCAGCAGCAGAAGCACAGCCGCTGCAACTAGAAGGCCACTCTTTCTTTAAAGGGTGCAAACGCATTAAGGTGTATCTACATGCCGCTTGCCATGGGTCTATCGTCCTTAGAGCACTACTTGCTAAGGATCAGAGAATATGGCAAGGACATGTACGCTGCTGCTGCTGCTGCAGCTGTTGCTGTTGCCAACGTGTACCGCCGCTGGTGCTGGTGCGACTGCTTTTCGTTTGTTTGCTTTGCTGTTGCTGCATTGGCTGCTGCGCGTTTTGTCGCTGCTGCTAACGGTATTAACTATTGTTGTTGCTGTGTGGGTTTCCTGCTGCAGGGTCCTGCAGCAGCAGCAGCAGGTGCAGCAGCAGCAGCCCTGCAGCGGCTGCTGTCTGCTCCTCTCTTTACTTTAAGTTCCGTAACACTTGTTGTTCCTGCCTTAGCAGGTATTCGTTTAAACCCGCGGATGTCGGTGAAGGAAGCAGCAGCAGCAGGAGGCCCTGCAGCAGCAGCAGCAGCAGCAGTATTCTCTATAGCTACAGCAGCAATGCGGCTCCTTAAGATGCAATCCCCTCTTGCTAGAACATGGGGGGGGGGCAGCAGCACAATATATGCGCATAGTGACCCTGCTCGGTTAATGTGCTCTTTAGCAGCAGCAGAAGCTCAGCACAGCAACAGCAACAGCAGCAACAGGGGATCGTTGTTAATGGAGTTTGAAAGGATTACTATCTTCTCTAATCTTCTTGGTGATTTAATTTTGTCTCCTCGAGGTTCTGCTGGCGTCAGCGACATCTTTCATACTTCTGCTGCTGCTGCTGCTCTCCTGCAGGAAGCACAAACTGCGGCAGAAGGTGCAGCAGCAGCAGCGGCTGCAAGGAATACAGATGCTGCTCCTCCCTTCTTAGCAGCAGCAGATACCCCTGAAGCTCTCCTCCCTCATAGACTACCAGTGGAGGTGTCGCCGCTATACCAGTAAGCTGCTGCTGTGTATCTCTTGCTTCTGTGGTTGGTGCTGCTGCTGTTCTTGCTGCTGCTGCTGCTGCAGCAACAGCTGCAGCTGTTGTTGGCAGGAAGAGTGTTGCTAAGCTGGATTCCGCTTTTCGTGTGTAGCCTAACCACGTCAGTTTCTGCTACTCCTGCTACACATGCTGCTGCACTGCTGCTGCTGCTGGTGCTTGTTGCAGGCGTGCTGGGCTGCACCCGCTGCCACAGGACGTACAGGAGCTGTTGCAGCGGGAAGACATTTGCTTCAAACCGAAGCCGCCGCATCAGCAGCACAAGGTGTACGAGCTAACACTGCAGCTGCTGCAGCTGTGGGGTGTTAAGCAGAAGCGGCAGCAGCTGCTGCTGCTTCTGCAGCAGCAACTGCAACAGCAACGGTGGCTGGAGCATGCACGAGGTAAGAGCCGCAGAGTGTCCCAACTGCAGCAGCAGCCGCTTGACCCCGACAGCAGCGCTGCTGCTGCGCTGCAGCCGCAGCAGCAAGAGGAACAACAGCAGCAGCAGCAGCAGCAGCCACAGCAGCTGCAACAGAAGCAGCAGCGAGTGCTGAGGTTCGTAGTATATATTCCCCAAGTACTACAAAGAAGATCTGTTGCTAATAACTCGCATTTCCTTGCCTTTGGCACTCGCACTTGGATGCTTGCTGCTGCTGCTCCGCTGCTGCGTGCTGTTGCTGCTGCTGCTGCTGGCAGCAAAGAAGAACTGCAGCAGCTCACCGTCATGCATGCAGACAGCAGCTGGTGGCACAAATAAGTTGCAGCAGAAGCAGAGGCGGAGCGAAACCGCAACCTCCAGTTGCTGCTGCAGTAGCTAAAGCTACGGGTGTTGCTGGTGCTGCAGCGGCTGCTGCATTTGCTGCAGTTGCTGCAGCAGCACGTCGTGCGCCTTCCTGCGTCAAGCCTGCACTTGAAGCTCCTGCTGCTGCGCTGCTGTACTGTGGCAGTAGAAGCAGCCCGCTTTCTAGCAGCAGCAGCAAGAGCTGTTGCTGATGCTTGCTTCGGCCAAGCTACCCTTTGGCAACAATGTTCTACTGACTGCAGTAGTGACTTCAACAGAAACAGCAACAGCAGCAGCCGCACAAGCAGCAGTTCCCTTATCTTATACATTGAGGGTTTAGGGCCGGTAGTAGGGGATTGTGCATGTCTGGTACAGCAAACAAAGATCAAGCCTAAACCCTAAACCCTCAATGTAAAACCCTAAACCATCGGTAGTCAATGCCAGTGTTTCTATTTGTGGCAATCTCTTCATTTGCTGCTGCACAGCCACAGCAGCAGCAACGGCAGCAAAGTAAAACGGTGGGTTTGCTGCAACAGCAGCAGCTGCTGCTGTTTAGACAGCCAGATTTGCTGCAGGAGCGGCAGTTTCCTTGGCAAGACAATGTTTCTGCTACTGCTGCGACTGCAGCAACAGCAGCAGGAAAGCAGCAAATGTTGCTGTTCTTGTTAGTGTTGCTGCAGCTGCAGCAGCATTTTGGACTACTGCTGTCTACATCTTTCTTCTGCTTCTTTAACCTGCATTCTTTCTTTTTTCTCCTGCTGCTGCTTCTCTCCTTGCTGCTGCTGTTTCTGTCCTTGCTGTTGCTGCTTCTGCCCTTGCTGCTGCTGCTTCGGTTGTTGTTGTTGTTGTTGTTGTTGTTGTTGTTGTTGTTGTCGTTGTTGTTGTTGTTGTTGTTGTTGCTGTTGTTGTCGTTGTTGTTGTTGTTGTTGTTGTTGTTTCTCTACATTATCTAAGAGGGCAGTAATACGTGGATCATCTTCATTTCCTTCTAGCAGCTGCTGCAGCAAACTGCTGTCAAGTAGATCAATTCCTTCTGCTGCTGCTGCTGTTTGCAGCGCCCCCACAAACCCTAAGAAGTCAGACAGCTCCTCTCCGCTGCTGCTGTTGCTATTGCTGTTGCTGTTGCTGGTACTGTTGCTGCTGCTGTTGCAGTCTTTGCTGCTGAGGCTGCTGTTCCAGGGGGCTGCTGCTGGAAAAGTACCTGAACTCTGGCTGCCTGCGGAGACCTGTTGTTGCTGCTGCTGCTTCTGCGGTGTTGTTGGTGCTGCTGCTGTAGTAGCGGCAGCAGGGGGTGGCGGTGGTGTAGCACAGGCAGCTGCTGCTGCTTCTGCTGCACTGAGTTGCTCCTGCACTTCCGGTGGAATGTCACCTAAGTTGCATGCTTCCTCTAGCTGCTGCTGCAGCTCCAATAGCACCTCCCATGTTGCTGCTGTTGCAGCAGCAGCGGTTGCGGCTGTTCCAGCCTCCTGTTGCTGCTGCTGCTGTTGTTGCTGCTGCTGCTTCTGCTGCTGCTGCTCACATAAGAAGGCGATTCGCCTGTAAGTAGCAACTTGCTTCTCATACCGTCGCAACTCTTCGGCGGACACACCTGCTGCCTGCTGCTGCTGCTGCTGCTTCGTGAGCCACGGCTCATAGAACTGCAGCAGCTGCTGCACAGGCTCAGCAATTGCTGCTAGCGGCAAGCCATCACACTTTAAACCCTGCAGAGCAGCAGAGAGAACGCTTGGAGTTGCTGCTGCTGTTGCAGCAGCAGCTGCCGCTGCTGCTGCTTTTGCTGCATCATCACCACCACCACCAGCAGCAGGAGACGCCTCCTTGTCTACTGCCTGCAGCACATTGCCTAAAGTTTGCAGCAAATTGAGAAGACCAGAGGCATCATCTTGTTGAAACCCTCTAGCTGCTGCTGCTGCTGATGTACTGCTGCTGCTGCTGCTAGCAGCAGCAGAAGCAACACCAGGAATAGGCGGAGGCTCTCGTAGCTGCTGCAGCTCCCGCTCCAACCCTTGAACGCAAAAGCTCAAGGGGTCACAATCTGTTCCTGCTGCTGTTGCTGCCGTCGTTGGTGCTGCTTCTTTTGCTTCAACTACCGTTGACTGAACTCCTGCTGCTGCTGCAGCTTTCGCTGCTGCAAATGGCTTTCTCAACTCTTGACCTGCTTCTGCAGCAGCAGGAGCAGCAGCTGCTGTTGTCGCTGATGCATCTGCTGAACAGTGCTGCTTCTGCTGCTGCGCATGATTCTGCTGTAGAATTGCACCTGGCTGCTGCTGCTGTTGCTGCTCTTGCTGCTGATTTGGTGAGAGGGAGAAGTCCTCCAGGTCTTGAAGAGTCGAGGCTATAAGGCAATCTAGATCGGTGCTGCTGCTGCTGTTGTTGTTGCTGTTGCTGTTGCTGCTCCTGAGACACTCCATGGGTGCGAGAAGCGTCTGAGAAGGGTATGATGGGGTAGAAGGAAGGATAGTCTTACAGCCTAAACCCTGAACCCTAAATCCTGTCTCGCCTCCGCCGGTCACAGCACCGCCTAAGCCCTAGACCATAAACCCTAAACCCTCAATTTTTGATCAGTAAGAACCCAGGATAGCCACCGAGAAGCAGAAGACACATCCATTCAAACCCTAAACCCTAAATCCTAAACCCTATTCCCTAGCATGCGCTGGGCGGGGCTGGTCTGGAGCGGCGACGGGACAAGTTAGGGTTTGGGGTTTATGGCTTATTGATAGCGGTTTCTGAGGGTTTACATTTCAATATTTAGGATTTATTGTTTTTAATTTAGGATTTAGGGTTTGCGTGTGTAGCAGGCACGCCGTTCTCCCCTCTTCTACTAGATTTTAGTGTTTAGGTCCTCTCTGCATTTCCTTGATGTGTTTCGTTGTTTTCCCCTTGTTTGTTTATTTTTTGTATTGTATTTTTATTATTAATGTATACATTTACCCTTATTCTCTTGTTTTAATCCTTTTTTTCCATCGGCCGACTTCGCCGCCGCTCATTCTTCTCAATGGCTAAACCCCTAACCATAAAACCTCTTACAGTAAACCCTAATCCTACACCATAAACTCTAATCCTAAACTCTAATATGCTAAACCCCAGTCCTAAACATCCGACTACTAAACCCTAAGGCCTAACCATAAACCCTAAACCCTAACTCTAAACCATAAACCCTGATCCTTGGTGAGTACAAATTCGACGCTGCAGGCGAACACAACCTCTCAGCAGCAGCAGCAACAGCAGCAGCAACAACACCATCAGCAGCAACATCAGCAGCAGAAGAAAATGAGGATAACTACGGGTATTTAGTTTTCACTGCAGCAAGAGATGCAGTAAAAGTTGCAGCAACTGCAACATAGAATTTTACTTCTGTTGCCGCTGAAGGTGCAGCACCAACAAAAAAAGTCTTGCAGCTACTGCTGCAGCAACAGCAGCTGTAGAAACACATAACTAGCTGCTGCTGCAACACAACCATCACATACTCTAACAAAACCAGCAGCAGGTGCTGCAGCACAGCGCACAGCTACAGCAGCAGCTGCTGCTGCAGCAATTAGATACGTTTCTTAACCTCATTAAGTTGCGCTTTAATCCACGGCAGCATTTTAACAAGTGCTTCAAACTCTTCCTCGCACAGCAGCAGCAGCAACCTCCTGCTGCTGCTGTTGTAGCTGCTGTTGCTGCTGCTACTGCAGAAGGCTAAAGAGGGCTCTCTTCTTCTTCCACCACCAACCACACGATTAAATAAAAATATCTCGCGGCCAAGAGGCCCAAACTGCACGCACACAAACCCTAAACTCTAAACCCTAGTAAGCCGTAGTAAACCCTAAACCCTAAACCCTAGTCAACCCTAGTAAACTTTAGTCAGCACTAATACACCGGAGGGAATGCTACTAAACCCTAGCAAATAAACGCTCAAATAAACCATGGTGGAAGGACTACTAGGCCACAAGAAACCCTAAACCCTCAAACCCTAAACACTAACCCTAGATCGTTCATCTCCTATTCTTATGCGTGATCTTGGAGGAAACCCTTCAAAGACAGACCAAGCCATCGCTCCTGTTTTTTTATTTTGTTTTGCTGCTGCAGCAGCAAACCGCCGTAGACCCTCTTTTAGCTGTGGCTCTGCTGCTGCTGCTGCCATTGAAGGAAAACGCTCATATACTGACAATTCTTTTGCTGCTGGTGCTGGTGCTATTGGTTCTGCTGGTGCTGTTTCTGCTGGTGCTGATGCAGCTGATGCTGCTGGTGATGCTGCTGCTGGTGTCGCAGCAGCTGATGCTGCTGGTGCTGCTGGTGCTGCTGCTGGTGCTTCTGCTGCCGATGCTGTTTCCTCTGCAGCTTCTGCGCCTGCTGCTGGTGCTGCTTCTTCTGCTGCAACGCCAGCAGCAGCAGGAGCAGAAGCCGCATTTTCCGCCGTGTGCTTCTTCTTCTTCTTCAACTTATCCTTTGCTGCTGCTGTTGCCGATCGATCTTCCTTCTGCCTTGGTGCACTTGCTGCTGCGTCGGCTGATGCTCCTGCTTTTGGTGTCTGCCGAACTTTCTTCGATGGTTTCTCCCCCATGCCGGTGTCCCCTTTTTCTACTGGTGCAGCAGCAGCAGCACAGGCGGCTGCTGCAGTTGCCTGATGACGCCTTGTAATGGCTGCTGTTGCTGCTGCTGTTGCTCTTTCAAGCCAATTGCTGCGCAGCTGCTGCCGACTGCAAACGCTTAACGGTGATGCTGCTGCTCTTGCTGCTGCTCCTCTAGATAATGCTGCTCCAGCTAATTCTACCCCTGACACCGAGCCGATACAGCAGCAGCACTTCGTCAAGGCGACAGCAGCAGCAGCAACCGCGGGAGCAGCAGAAGCAGCTGCAGCAGCGGCTTTGCGCTGCAGCAGCGAAAGGCTGCCGATCATTAGTGTGGACGAACACACAGCATCGCAGCTGAGGGTATAACGATAGAACCCCTAAAACCTAAAGCATAAACCCTAAAACCTAAGTAGTAGCCAGGTGTGAGACATGAGACCAGCTAAAGCCAGCAGCGACTGTTGCTGCTGCTGTTGTTGTTGCTGCTGTCGTTGCTTAAGAATGTCTGCAGCAGCAAAGGAAAATGTGTCAAAAGAGATTATATAGAGTTTATTGTTAAAGAGTTAGTCTTTAGGGTTTAGATATTAGGGTTTACGGGGCTGCGACCCGGGGGGCAGCCCCACCGATGCGGCTTTCTGCGGACCTCCCCGAAACCCTAAACCCTAAACCAGAAACGCTAAGCCCTAATCCAAGGGTACCTGCAGCTGAGTTAGATAACAGATATTCATATTGTGTAGTACTTCTTTGAGGAGGGAAAAGGCAACGGCGTCGGGAGCTGAAGCCCTGAACCCTTAACCGTAAACCCTAAACCCTAAACCCTAAATCCTAGGCTTGTTGAATCGAAGCCAAGGCAACTCAAGCGTCTTTGTGGAGTTTGAATTTTTGAGGTTTAGGGTGTAGGGTTTAGGGTTCTGGGGTTTAGGGTCCTGAAGGGGATTGATTCTTGGTGCTTCGAGTCAAAACCCTAAACCCTAAACCCTACTATAGGTGTATCTTCTGTTATATGCCTTTGTTTTTCGTGCTGCATCTGCACTTATACGGGTCTAAACCCTCCGTCCCAACGCCGAAACCCTAACCAGTAAACCCTAAGCCCTAAATCCTAAACTCTCAAGATGCCGCCAGCAAAGAAGAAGGACACCAAGAGTGAGAGGGGGCAGCAAAAGGCCTTAGAGAGGGAAAAACAAAAGATAATCGAAGATAAAACCTTTGGATTAAAAAATAAAAACAAATCCAAGGCCGTCCAAAAGTAGGGTTTAGGGTTTAGGGTAGGGGGTCGAGAGGGGGCACTATAAGGCTTTTGTTATGCGCTGCAAGCGCCGCAGGAGCAGCAACAACAGCAACACCAGCTGCAGCAATAGCAGCAGCAGCAAAACCACCTTTAGCAACAGCAGCAGGGAAAACCACGCGAGTAACAGCAGCAGCAGTAGTATCACGATCTAAAGTGAAGCAGCAGCAGCAGCAGCAGCAGGATCAGAAGCAAGCCTACTGATAAGCTTATTGATTGTTTGTGGTTTATAGTTTAGGATTTAGGGGTTGTGTATGTATGAGTGTGCTTTGTTGTTTTCTCCTAGGATCTGGGGATTAGGGTTTAGGGTTTAGGGATTGTGATCATTTGTTTGCAGATTTATAAAGTCTGTGCAGCAGTCTGCTAAAGGACCACAGAAGGGAGGGGAGTCACAAGAAATATTAAAGAAGAAACAGGAGCAGCAGGCAAAGAAAGCAGCGCTGCAGCAGCAAATGCTGCTGCAAGCACTCTTTAAAGGTGAGAATCTAGGGTTTAGGGTTTAGGGTTTAGGGTTTGCGTTTTTTGGGGGGATTGGGGGCTGCATCGTGTTGGGAATTGCTCATTAGGGTTTAGGAGTTATGCATAACATGCGGGCTTGTCGTGTAACCATTTCGAGGGTTTAGGGTTTGGATATTAGGGTTTAGGGTTTAGGGGTTAGGGTTTGTGTGTAGGGACTGAGAACGTAAAGAAGGTAGCAAGCGAAGCAGCAGCGGCATCGTACGATCCCAAGGAATCGAAGCAGGAGCAGAAGATTGATTTATACATTGATCAGCGCGAACAAAGTAAGTTACATGCCCTAAACCCTAAACCCTAAATTTGGGGTGTTGTGCGCCATCATATCTTAGGGCAATTAACCACAGACTAAATTGGTTGCTTCTTTGTCAGGCTGTAGGCCTCCCAAGGGTCTAGAGTTTCTTCCTTTTGCTAGGGTTTCTTCCTCTTTTTAGGGTTTAGGGTCTAGGGTTTAGGGTTTGTGTTTTGGTTCAGCGGGTAAAGGTGTTTGGACTGGTAGTGTCGGAGAAGGAGAAGGAGAAACACAAATTGTTTGTAAATTCTTCTTAGAGGCTGTAGAGAAAAAACAATACGGATGGTTTTGGGTTTGTCCTAATGGAGGGGATAATTGCAAATACAGACATTGTCTACCTCAAGGTACGGTTTAGGGTCTAGGGTCTAGGGCCTAGGGTTTGAGGGTTTATTAGGGTTTGACGGTTTCGGGGTTTTGGTTTTAGTGGGTCTGAGGGTTTAGCGGTTCTGATGGTTTAGGGGTTTTGAGGGTTTTAGGGTTTAGGGTTTAGGGTTTACGGTTTATGTTTAGGGTACGTATTGAAGGGGGAAGAAGAAGCGCCTGCAGGGGACGAAGAAGAAGAAACAATCGAAGAAAGAGTAGAGAGAGAGGTTTGTCTTTTTATTTCTTTTTTTATTAAGTAATTTTATTGATTATTTTTATTATTTATTTTATTTATTTATTGTAGTATATAAATAGATCTAATTTAATGTAATTTAAACATATTTAATTAATTACATCATTTATTTATTTATTTATTTATTTATTTTCTTTTTGCTTTTTCTTGTAGAGGCGCGCATTGCCTCCCGGTGGTACTCGCGTGACGCCCGAGACATTTGCTGCATGGAAGGCGAAGAGGGTAGAGAAGAAGAAAGCAGCAACAGAGGAGAAGAAGAAGGCTGTTGCTGCTGCTGCAGCAAAACATCATCTATCAGGAAGAGATCTATTCTCCTTTAATCCTGATATCTTTGTTGACTGCGAAGGAGCAGCAGACGAAGAAGATTATCAGCATGAAGAGGAAGAGGAAGAAGAAGTATATAAATCCTTTTTAGTTCTTTTTGTTCTTTTTTATTCCTTTTTAGTCTTGTTTATTCCTTTTTAGTCTTTTTCTTCTTTTTTATTCGTGTGTTTTCGCCCTCTTTTCTTGCTTTTTTTTTTTTACTCTTTTTCACCTTTTTTTAGTCACTTTGTTCTTTTTCCTTCTTTCATCTTTTATTATTATTACTTTTTATTTTTATTTTTATTTTTTATTTACTATTAGTTATTATTTCTTATTATTTCTTATTATTATTAATGTGTTATTGCAGGAATCAGAAGAAAGCCAACAATCTCCCGCTTCTGATGCTGCTGCTGCTGCAACAAATGGCGTTAGCAGCAACAGCAGCAAAAATGAAAATGAAGAAGACGGAGACAAAAGAGAAGCAGAGGATTTCTCTAAGTCCTCGATTGATCAAAAGGGGGCACAGCCAATTAGGACGCAACTCTTCCTTGATGATTTAGCACCCGTAGGTATACACCCAAACAGCCAGCTAGCTAGCTGGCTGGCTGGCTAGCTAGCTTGATGGGTGGTTGGATAGCGAGGTGGCTGCCTGGTTGTCTAGCTAGATGCGTGGCTGGCCAGGCAGTTAGCAAGCTAGCTGGCTAGCTATGGTTTATGATTGGTGTTGTGCTGCAGGAAGACTTAGACGACCTCGACGACTAAATACAACGGGAGGAAGCGAGGACGCGTCAAGACAAAGATACAGCTAGCTATCTAGCTAGCTAGCTAGCTGACTGACTAGCTAGGTGGCTATCTAGCTTGACTAGCTAGCTAGGTTGCTTGCTAGTCTACGCGTGGAGGCCACGCGGAGTTCGGTTATCTGTTAGCAGATACCTCCAGCAGTGCGGGGAGGTTAAAACTCCAGGCTGGCTAGCTAGCTGCTTAGCTAGCTAGTTGACTACATAGCTAGCTAGCTAGTTTGCTAGTTAGCGAGTTAGCTAGTTAGCTATCTAGGCAGCTGAGCCTTGTGAGCTGAAGCCAAGTCTATGATTGGGCAGCTACGTATTTAGCTGGTTAGCTAGCTTGCTAGCTAACCAACTATCCCGTTAGCTAGCTAACCAGCTAGCTAGCTAACGAGAGGTGGGGGGGTTGGATATGGTGGAGGGAAAAACTTTTGAACAAGTTTGAAGAAATAGAAAAAAAAAGAAAAATAAAAATAAATAAATAAAAGAATATACGTATTATAATAAATAAATAGATAAAAGAGATAAAAGAGGTACATAGACAAAGTATATAAAAGGATAGAAATCAGTAATTGTCTTATAGTTAGATAGCTAGCCAGCTAGCCAGCTAGCCAGCTAACCAAGTAACCAGCTAGCTAGCTGCATAACATAGCTAGCTAGCTAGCCAGCTAGCTAGCTAACTACCTAGCTAGCTATGGGTTTATGAGCCAGGGAGAGAGAATTCTTCTTAGCTTCTCCCAAGGCCTAAGGGAGCTCCACGGCTGCTTCTGCAGCTGCTGTTGTTGCTGCTGCTGAGGAAGGGAAGCTTTTTGCTGCTGCTGCGGTGCTGCTGATTCGAGGACGGAGACGACGGCAGCTGTTGCTGCTGCAGAAGCAGCAGCAACATGCGTAACGAGGCGGCATAGCTGCTGCCTGGTGCTGTTGCTGCTGCTGCGGACGTGATGCAGCACAGAGGCATCCAAGCCCAATGCCCCAAACCTGCAGCAGCAACAGCAGCAGCACAAGCAGCAGCAGCAGATGAAAAGGTAGCCAGCTCAGCAGGAGCAGTTGCAGCCAGCAGCAACAGCAACAGCAGCAACAGCAGCAGCAGCACTTACCCGTGTAGGTCCCTAGCGACGGATATAAGAGTTGATTTCGGCTCTAAGGCGCAGCTGCTGTCTGTTAGCTGCTGCAGATACACATCATCTAATAAGCACAAACCCTGCTGCTGCTGTTGCTGCTGCTGCTGCTGCTGCTGTTGCTGCGGTAGCCAATAATGCTTACAACGACCAAGAGCAGCACAACCTTGAGGGTCGTTATGATAATCCTTGCAGCTGCTTATTCTCCGCTGCAGCTCTGCCATTCTTGCTTCTATTTCTGCTTCTATTGCTGCTGCTGCTGCTGCTGTTGCTGAGGCATCGGGCAGAGTACTGCTGCTGCTTCTGTTGTTGTTGATGCTGCTTCTGCTTAAGTCACTAGAAGAGAGACTCTTGCAGCTATCCTGCTCCTTATTGTGGCCGTCCCTGCTGCTGCTGTTGCTGCTGCTGCTGCTGCTGCTGCCGAAGTCTTCTGTCGACTGGGTGGGAGAGATGAGGATATCCTCCGCCCCCAAGGGATCCGCTACTGCTGCTGCTGCTGCTGCATCTGCTTCCTGCTGCTCCTCCTGATCCTGTTTCAGAGGCACCCAAATGGGTCTGGAGGGTACAGAAGAACTCTCTTCATTGTCTGCTGCTGCTGCTGCTGTTGTTGCTGCTGCTGCTGCAGCAAGCTGGAGAACCGCCCTGAGGCGCATGGTGCCTCAATGGAGGGTTTAGGTTTTAGGGTTTGGAGGATGAGACCTCGTATAACGCCTGAGTCTGGCCAGCCGCTTGCTGCTATTGCTGCTGCTGCTGTTTGTGGTGGTGTTGCTGCTGGTGTTGCTGCTGTTCTTGCTGCTGTCCCTGGTGCTGCTGCTCGTACGAGGTAACAGGGGAGATAACAGCACAAAGAAGAAGGAACAAGGGTATCAGCAGCAGCAGCAGCAGATGCTGGCAGCAGCAACGGAATAGGTGTAAGGATTATAAGAGATGAGTGAAAGGGTTGTCTTATTAACCCCCAGGCAACAGCAGCAGCAGCAGCAGCTGCTGCTGCTGCTGTTACTGCTGCTGTTGCAGCTGTTAACAGAAATAAAACGTTGCTGGTTACACCCAGCAAGAAATTAAATAAAATTAATTTGCCTAAAAGGAAGTAAATACAAGTGATAGCTTAGAAGAGTCTGCTGCTGCTGCTGCTGCGGTTGCGGCTGCTGCTGCTGCTGCTAAATGCATGCGCCGGGACACAGTAGCAGCTCTCCTACCAGAGCAGCAGCAGCAGCAGCAGCAAATACAGCAGCAGATTTAATTAATGAGGGTTGCAACTTCTGTTTAATAAAGAAAGGCAGCAAGAGCTGCCTGTACACCACAACACGACACGAGCATTTGCTGCTGTCGGCTGCGCCCGCGCAGCAGCAGCAGCAGCAGAAGCAGCACAAACTGCAGCAACTGCAGCAGCAAAACCAAGTGTAAATACAAAGACAATGAACGGAATACTCTCTGAGGTACGTCTTCCGCTGTCGGTATTGCTGCCACTCCTGCTGCTGCTGCTGCTGCTGCTACACGCATAAGACTGCTCCTGCTGCTACCGCTGCTGCTATACCTGCAGCTGATGTAGGGCAGCTGCAGCAGGTACAGTGCCACATGCAGACTGAGCCGCCTAATGCTGTGCAGCAGCAGCAGGATGAGTAACCGGTTTCGAATATTTCTTGCAGCAGCAGCAACAGCAGCAGCAGGATGACGGCTGTTGCGTCTGTGCGTGTTGTTGTTGCTGTTGCTGCAGCCGCTGCAGCTGTATGCAGCTGGATTCTATGAAGCAGCAGCAGCTGGTGCAACAGGAGCGTCAGCAGCAGCGAGGGCAGGAGGGCCGGCAACTGAGCAGCAATGGGAATTCTTAATGGCTGCATGCGAGCAGCAGCTACTGCTGCTGAAGCAGCAGCCACAGCAGCTGCAGCAGAAGCATCCACAGCAACTGCAGCAGATGCTGCAGCACAGCAATCCAAGCATTAAAGCTCTTGCAGTCTTCCTCCTTCTTACCCGATACGTGAGCTGCTGCTGCTGCTGCTGCTGCTTGTACTTCTGCTGCTACTGCTTCTGCTGCTGTTGCTGCTGCTCCTGCCGATGCTTATTCTGCTGCTGTCGGTGCAGCAGGAGACAGTGTCGTTGCTGTGTTCTATGGTAGGACATTTGCTGCTGCTGGTGCACGTGTTGTTGCTGCTGTTGCAGTGTCAATCAGGGCAGCAGCAGCAGAAGCTGCAGCAGGAGCTGCAGCAGATAGCTAGCAGCTGCCCAACTGCTGCTTTCTTAGCTGCTGCTGCTGCAGCACAAAGCGATCCAATTGCTGCTCTGCGTCTATGCAACAATTACAGCACACCCGATATGTAAGTACTGCTGCTGCAGCTGCTGCTGTTGCTGTTGCTGCTGCCACCGCAGCTGTTGCAGCACCTTTGGAGAATGTAAGACGTGCATAAAGACTTGCTGTTGCTGCTGCTATGTTGCTGCTGTTGCTGCTGCTGCAGGCGGGCTCTGCGAGTGGAGCTGCTGCTGCGCATACACCGCGAAGACACGGCAACTTCTGAGCTAGAAGCAGATATTGTAATACAAACCCTAAACCCTAGACCCTCACAGCTCTGCCTACTGCTGCTATCTGTACGGATGCGTCATGCATCTGCTGCTGCTGTTGCTGCTGCTGCTGCTGCTGCTGCTGCTGCAGGCGTCAGGAACGTATGAAACTGTCGAGCAATCGATCTCGCGAGCTTTGTGTCATCTCTGTACGCTTGAAGGGTTTAGGGTTTAGGGTTTGTAGGCCCCCTTTCGTCCGTTTTCTGTACTAATTATTAATTTATTATTAGTTGATGAATTAATATTTAATTAATAATTTAATTAATTTATTTATTATTTATTTATTTATTTATTTATAGGGGGAGGAGACATTGCGTCTGCTGAGTCTGCCATAGAAGATGTTTGTATCTTTGATGCTTCTTCCCTAAAAAGAGACACTTCTTCTATTATAGAGAATGGTACTTTTTTATTTATTTATTTATTTATTTATTTGTGTATTTGTTTAGTTGCGTGTTTATTTGTTTGTTTATGTGTATATTTACTTATTATTTATTAATTGTTTATTATTTATTATTTAATCTTTATTTATTTTTGTATTTATCTCTTCTTTTTTTTCTCTGTTGTTTTCTTTTACCTCTTCTTTATTTCCCTCCTTTTACCCGTCATGTTTTACTTATTAATGAAAATTTAATTAATTATCTAATTAATTAACTTATTTATTTATTTATTTATTTATTTATTTATTTATTTATTTATTTATTTATTTATTTATTTATTTTGTTACCTCAGCTAGAGCTGTTTGCGCTCTTCAACGCGGTGATCACCAAACAGCAATTGAGACATTAAATAACATATTAAATAATGTACGTTAATTAATTAATTAATTAATTAATTAATTAATTATTCAATTAATTATTTAATTATTTAATTATTTAATTAAATTATTTAACTATTTGTTTAATTGGATAATTTATTTTTGTTATTTTTTGTTTGTTAGTTAGCCAGATAAATTAATTAATTAAATTAATTAGTTATTAGTTATGTTGTTGCTACTCCTGTTTACTGCTGCTGCTGTTTGCTGCTGCTGCTGCTGCAGTGCCCTGGCGACGAGACGGCTCTAACGAATGCGATTTGCTGCTTCCGTCAGCAGCAGCAAAATGCTGCAGCAGATGATCTCTCTGCGTATGTCTTTTATATTATTTGTTGCCTTTTTATTTGTTTTTTTTTTGCCCTTCTTTTGTCTATACTTTTGTTTATTTACATTTGTTTTATTTATTCTCATGTTTATACATTTATGTAATTATTTATTTATTTATTTATTTATTTATTTATTTATTTATTTATTTATATGTTACCTATATTTTTTAAATATGTTTACTATCTATATTTATGTTGTATAATTTATCGGTACTATCATGTATATGTTAGTGCTGTCTTTCTCTATTTATAATATTAATTATTAATTATTAAATTAAATTAATTAAATTAAATTAAATTAAATTAGTTAATTTAATCAATTAATTAATTAATAATAAAATTTTTTTTTTGTGTCCTTAAGGCGTTTATCATCAAATTTCCCCCAAAGTTTTTTGGCTATGCAGCGACAGCGGCTGCGCGATGTCTTTGCTGCTGAGGCAGCAGCAGACGTTCCTCTATGATCTGCTGCTGCTGCTGCTGGAGCAGCAGCAGGTGCTGCTGTTAATGCTACCGATGCAACGGTTGCAGCAGCAGCAGCAGATGCTGCTGCTGCCCTCCATTTTTACCGCCGTTAAAGCACACAGCGTCATTTGCTGCTGCTGTTGCTCTTCATTGCAAGCAGCAGCAGCAGCAGCAGCAAACCTGCTTCTGGTGCTGCAGTTGCTGCAGCGGTGTGTAAGGGACATTCAAAAACATTCACTGTGGAGGGACAATTTTGCTGCTGCTGTTGCAGCAGCAGCAATATAAGATCTAATTGTTTATTGTTGCTGTTGCTGCTGCAGCACTCTTGCTGCAGTCTTACACTACATACCGTGTCTGCTGCAGAGGCACGGTCGCCGGCAGCAACTGCACCGGCTGCTGCTGCAGCAACAGCAGCAGTAGTAGGCTTTTAGCTGAAGAGAGACATATAAAGGGCGGACCTAGCCGCACGCTGCTGATGAGCAGCAACTGCAGCAGCCTGGTCCCTTCTGCTGCTGCTGCTGTTGCCTCTACTATGGCAACTTTGCTCTGGCACAGCAGCCGCACCACCACCAGTACGTGATAGTAGACAAACGAGCAGCGACGCCTCGGATAGAGACACAGGAAGCATTGGGGGTTCCTCGCTGCTGCTGCGGCTGCTGTGTAGGAGAAGCCCTGCTGCTGCAGAAACAACAGCATCACGACATTCGCTGTCGCCCTGCTGCTGCTGCTGCTGCAGCGGAAGCCCCCGTCGCAGCAGCTGCAGTAGCTCTTCTTTCTGCAGCAAAATACAAACAAGCCGGCAAACGACAGGAATGCAGCAGCAGCAAACACAACAGCAGCAGATATTGCAGCAACAGCAGCAACAGCAGCAACAGCAGCAGCAGCAACAGCAGCAGCAGCAGCAACAGCAGCAGCAGCAACAGCAGCAGCAACTCGAGGAAGACTCACCGCAGAAGGCAGAAGTTTGCAGATGCTTAACGCTGCTGCTGCTGCTTTTAGCTGCTCTCCCCACATACGCAGCCGTGTCACATTTCCCTCTAGTGCTGCATCTGCTGCTGCTGCTGCAGTAGTAGTGGAGCAAGTTGAAGAGAACGAGCACTGCAGCGGCAGCTCCTTGCTGCTGCTGCGGCTCATAATCCAGTGTCGTGTCGCTCGTTTGCTGCTGGTGCTGCTGCCGTGATTACCAGCCAGCAGCACAAGAGGCAGCAGCACACCTGCTTGCTGCAGCTCTTTTGCCGCTGCTCTCGCTGCAGCAAAAGCAGTTGCTGCTGCCGCCGCAGAGTATTCAGGCCAGTCCTCTGCTGCTTCTTCTTCCACAGCAGCAGCAGCAACAGCAGCAACAGCAGTAGCATCTGCTGCGGCTGCTGCATTAATGTGTTTGTCTTCTGCTGCTGCAGCGTCAATATCAAGCCTCCACATGGCTAAAGCTGCTGCAGCTGTCCTGTGGTGTGTACACCTCAATCTGCTGCTGTTGTTGCTGCTGCTGTTGCTGTTTCCACCACTGTGGAGTAGACACAGCAGTACGAAAATCGAACGGAGTGCAGAGAACCAAAGAGTTGGTAGCTTCACTCGACTGTTGCCGCTGCTGCTGCTGCTGCTGCAGCGGATGCCAGCTAACGAAAGGGATCGCAAAACATTTGCTGCGTCTTGCTGCAGGAGCTGCAGAAACGGAGCCACTAAAAGCGCAAAGCGCTCCTGCTGCTGCTGCTGCTGTGGCAACAAAGGCGGTTTGGCCTGCTGCTGCAGCATGGCAAGAATCCCTCCTGCTGCTGCTGCTTCCATCAGCAGCAGAAGCAGCATTAAGGTCTCCTCTCTAAGAAGGGAGGCTTCTCGCAGCTGCAGCAGCAGCTGCTGCCACAGAATGCCTGCTGCTGCAGCAGCAGCATCCAGAGCCGGTGCTCCTGCAGCACCCGCAGCTTCTCCTGCTTCACCACTGCTGCGGTAACTTGCGGTTACCATTTCGGAGTCTGCTGCAGCTGTTGTTGCTGCTGCTGCAGCGTCTGGTGCTGCTGCTGCAGCATCTGTTGCAGTAGATTGAACGCTTACAGGGGAAAGCGGCGAAAATAGAAGCAAACGATCTGCTGCTGCTGCTCCTTGGCAGCAGCAACGTTCGTGACTCTCTCCACAGCACCAGCAAATACCCCCACTGGTGCTGCTGCAGCAGCTGGTGCTGCTTCTGTTGCTACTGCGGGCATTCGTTAGCCCCCACGGGGTCTCCTGCTGCAGCAACAGCAGCGCTACCCCCTGCCACATGCAGTGCAGCACTTCTTGGCGCACAGCAGCAGCCTGCCTCTGTCGCTGCTGCTGCTGCTGCAGAAAGTCTGAAGCGCCATCGCTGCAGCAAAGAGTAAAAGCCTGCAGCAGAGTCTCAATAGTGGCGGGCATGTTCCATTGCTGCGCAGCAGCGGCAGCAGCAGCAGCAGCAGCAGATCCTGATGCTGCTGCTGCGTCACCGTCTACCACGGATGGAGGCCTCCTCCTCCTTGCCTTGCTACTGCTGCTGCTCCGACAGTTGCTGATTTGTATGTCATTGCTGCGCCTCCTGTCTGCGCCCAAGCTGCTGCTGCTGCTGCAGCTGTTGCTCTTGGTCCTTTGGCTGCTGCTGCAGCTGCTGCTGCTGCTGATCACCAGCGAGTCTGACAACTTTCTGGCTGTTTTCGAGCCCAAATGCAACTCCATTCGTCGTTGCTGTTCCTGCTGCTGTTGTTGCTGCTGATGCAGGTAATGATGCTGTTGTTGCTGCTGATACTGATTGTCCTGTTGCTGCTCCTCCTGCGGCTGCTGATGCCGCAGAATGGCGCGGCCCTGCCCAACAGTGGCTGCAGAGGGTGACGCACCAGGAGCAGCTGGGAAGGCTCCTGTTTCTAGTGCTGCTGCTGTTGCTGCTGCTGCAGATTTGTCTGCTGCAGCAGCAGCACCGCAAATGCTAGCTACTGCTTGTGCTGCGGCGGCGCTGCTAATACTATAAAGTGCAGCAAGAGCTCCAACATCGAAATGGCCGTCTCCTTGCTGCTGCTGCTGCTGTTGCTGCTGCTGTTGATGCATTTGCTGCCGAATGGTTTGCAACAGTTGCAGAAGCACCTCCACGTTCCTCGCAATACTTCGGCCTGCGAAGGAGGCACAACAGCTTGACTGCAGCAGCAGATTAGGCTGGTTCGCTGCAGCAACAGCAACAGCAGCAGCAGAAACAGCACCGCCAAGGGCAACAGCAGCACGGCAGGTCGAGCTTACCTGGCTTCTGCATGTACACCTGAAGGAGCAGCAGGTAAGGTTTGGTTGGCAGCAGCAGAGGCAACTGCTGCTCTGCCATCAGCAACTCCCGTGTCCGCAGTAGCAGCCACGCTGCTGCTGCTCCTGCTGCAGCAGAGTGCTGCGGCATCAGCAACCGGTCCTGCTGCTGTTGCAGTTGCTGCTGTTGCTGGTGGTCCAAGAAACCATCGTCGATCGTGCTGCTGCAGCTCCAGCTGCTGCTACTGCCACTGCTGCAGCAGCGCGTTAAGGCCGCTCCGCTGCTGCGCTTCTGAAGGAAGAGATGCTGCTGTGCTGCTGATTGCCTGAAGCAGCAGCAGCAGAAGCACAAACAACAACAACAGCAGCGTCAGCAGCAGCAAATGAAACATGAACTGCAGAGCTTAGTCCAACAGAGAGGAATCCATACAGCTCAAGAGGAACCCGTAGCTGCTGTTGCTGTTGCTGCTGCTGCTGCACCTAATGCTACTCCTGCTACGTCTGCTGTTGCGACTGCCACTGCTGCTGCATTTACCTCGTAGCACGACGCCAATGCTGCAGATCGCCTAGAAGCAGCTGCTGCTGCCAGTGCAGCGCTGTACTCAGCGCAGCCACGCGCCGCTGCTGCTGTTGCTGCGGCTTCTTCCCACTGTACAGCAGCTGCAGCAGCTCTTCAGCAGCTACGAGCTCAGCGCAAGGATTTGCTATTGCTGCAGGAACAGCAACAGCAGGAGCTGCTGCTGCAGCAGCTGCTGCAGACTGCTGCATCTGAATCTGGAGAAGCAGCACTCGATGGAGCTGCTGCACCTGCTGCTGGAGCAAACTGTTTTTGCTGCTGCCGCTGCTGCTACTCTGTGCGTGTTGCCGGATCCACAGCTGCTGCAGCAAACGAACACAGGCCTGCCCTCCGACAGAAGCAGCTTGAACCATGCAGTTTGCGGCTCCTGCTGCTGCTGCTGCTGCTGCGCCTGCTGCTGCCGCCGCTGCAACTGATGCAGCACCACACAAGCCTCCACCTACCCACAGAAGCAGTAGCAAAGTTGCTGCAGCTTCAGTTGGCAAGGCAGCCTGCGGTGCTGCTGCTCGTACATCAGCAGCAAGTGCTGCTGCCGCCGCAGACGTTGATGATTCTCTTCCCCGGGCTGTATCCGCAGCAGAATCCACTAAGGTTAGCTGCTGCTGCTGTGTGCATCGCAGCAGAGCTGCCAGCAGCTGAGTCGCGTAATAAGTGATGGCATATTCTTCAGCAGCATCTTCGGAATGTTTCTGCTGCTGCTGCTGTAGCTGCTGGCCTGCGTGCCGTGTGACATGCAGCAGGAGCACCATCCCAATGCCAGTGTTGCTGACAGCTTGCTGCAAGGCAGCAGCGACAGCTGCTGTTGCTGCTGGTGCTGGTGCTGCTGCTGTTGCTGGTGTTGCTGTTGCTCCATAGTTCAACAGTGCACACAGCAGAGGCAACAACAGCAGCAAACATCGACGCCATGGCTTATTAAGGGACAGACTCGTGTTGCATGTTGCTGCAGTTGCTGCTCCTTCTGTTGACGCTGCAGCAGATGCTTCCACCTCCTGCTGTTGCTGCTGCTGTTGCTGCTGCCATGCATGGACACCGTGCGTATCTTGCACTAGGTCGCTACCCATAATATTCCTGCAACCCACAACACATCGCAGCACCTACAGCTGCTGTTGCTGCTGGTGCTGCTGTTGCTGCTGTTGCTTCTCCTGGTCCTGCGACAAATCTTGATTCTCTTGTTGCTTTTCCTGTAGTTTTTACTGCCACACACACTCGTCAGTACTGCTGCTGCCGTCACTGCTGTGGTTGCTGTTGCTGTTGCTGCTGCTGCTGCATACTTACCGTGCTGCAATGCTTGCTGCGAACGCGAGGGCCTCCAAGAAATGAAGGCCTCCAAGAAGGCGATATTCGAAGGCACTCTGTGCACAAACCCCAAACCCTAATCCCTAAACCTAAAACCTAAGTACGGTTAGGGCAGGGCATATGTGGCAATACTGGCAAACCGTCCTAATTAAAAGGGCTTAGGGCTTAGGGTTTAGCAGCTGTCCCCTACAGTGTTGCAGAGATCCAGGGCAGAGCGCAGCGCAGCAACGATCGCCTGCAGCAGCAGCAACAGCAGCAGGCTCAGCATCAGGAACCGCGCAATCAACAACAAGCATAGAAGCGCATATTTGGGTAGGCTGCTGCAGCTGCTCCCGGTGGTGCTGCTCCACCTGCTGCTGCTGCTGCAGCATCTTTGCTTCTGGCTGTCTCGTGGTTGCTCACCTCATAGAGGAGAGGCTTTGGTTGCTGCTGCAGCTGCTTCAGCAGCAGCTCCAGCAATGGCAGCAGCAGGACCGAAGGTAGCGCCGCCTGGCTGCTGCTGCAGTAATCCTTCTCCTGCAGCTGCTGCTGGGTGAGCTCCAGCACGACGAGGCGCTGCTGCAGCAGGGCAGCAACACCCACAACGCGCTGATACAGTGGGCTGTCCGCAACAGCAGCAGCTTCTGCTGCTGTTTCCGTTGCTGCCGCGGCTGCCGTCGCTGCAGCGTTGCGAACTCCATCTTGCGGTTTCTCATCAGCAGCAGCTTCTGCTGGTGCAGCAACACATGTAACCAATGCCTACAGAGCAGCAGCAAACGCACCAACCACAGCGCCAGCAGCAAACATACCAACCGCAGCGGCAGCAGCAATATTTCAATCCAGGCGGATTCCCACTGCAGCTATACAAATGCTCTTGCTGCTGCTGGTGCTTCTGCTCCGTGTATAACTGCATTCCCCCAAGAGCGTACCTCCAGTGTTGCTGCAAAAGCAGCAGGAGTAGCAGCAGCTCGCCGCAGTGCAGCACTACTGCTGCCCCAGAGTCTCGAGCTTCTGTGGTACTTGCTGCTACCGTTCTTGCTCTTGTTGCTGCTGCTGCACGTGCTGCTGCTGCTGCTGCTGTCGCTTAAGGGGCCCCATATCAGCAGATGTGTCCTCAGCGGCTGCTCTCTTAGCATCCGCATGGCCAACGGCCTTAAGTACAGACCGCCTACAAACTCCTCTGCAGCAGCAGCAGCAGCCCAAACAGAAGCAGCAGCAGCCCAAACAGAAGCAGCAGCAGCCATGGAAGAGATGGAGAAGCGCACAGGAATTTGGCAGCACATTGCTAACCCCAAGACAGCTAGCTAGCTACTAGGCAGATAGCTAGCTGTCTTGTAAGTCTACCCAGAAAAGAAGATAAAACCCCTCAAAGTTTTAGGGTTTAGGGTTTAGGGTTTAGGGTTTACTTCTGCGTAGGGCGGGGTGCTGATAATGGAAGCCATCTGCTGCTAAGAAGCCGTCTAGAGACCACACTGGCAGCAAATGCTTGCTGCTGCTGCTGCTGCTGTTGCTGTTGCGTCTCCTAGCAGAAGGCAGACTGTAGGTATCTTTAGAACGCAGACTCAGCAGCAGCTGCCGTGCCTGCAGCAGCAGCAGGAGCAGCAGCGAACACAACAACAATAGCAATAGCAGCAACAGCAACGGTAGACTCAGCAACAGAGCAACAACAACGGCAGATGCAAAGCAGCAGCAACAACAGCATATGTAACAGCAGCAGCAACAGCAACAAAACAACAGCAGGTGCAGCAGCAACAGCAGCAGCAACAGCAGCAGCAGCAGCAACAACAGCAGCAGCAGCAGCAGGGCGCACAGTTTCTGCCTTGACAGTGTTTCTGTTATTTTCATTCCAAAGACAATCTGCGGTGTATCGGCAGCCCATTAATATATTTATAAAACGCAGCAGCTGGTTCCTCGTGCATGCTGCTGTTGGGCCTGTCGCTGCTGCTGCTGCTGCTGTTGCTGCTACTGTTGGTGCTGTGGCTTGCTCTGCTGCTTCTGGTGCTCCTGATACCTCTTGACACAGATCCACCGGATAATCGGTGGAGGCGGCTTTCCCTGCTGCTGCTGTGCCGCTGCTGCTGCTGCTATTGCTGCTGCTGAGGAGCGACAGTTGCTGAAGCCGCAGCTCGCTGCATGTGCTGCAGCTACCGTGCTGTGGCAGCAGCTGCAGCAGCAGTGCAGGTGTTAGCAGCTGTGCTAAGGCCTCCACTATCTGCAGCAAAAGAAGCAGCAGCAGCAGACCCATCGCAACTCGTCAATGTCACCAGCAGCAGCAGTAGTGGAGGAAGCAGCAACATGGAGGCGTCAGCAGCAGCAGCAGACACAGCAGTATCGTTCGTCGCAGCAGTAACAAAATAAACAATCGCACCAGCAAAGCTGCAACAACAGCTACTAAGGCATCAGCAGCCACAGCATCAGCAGCAACAGCAACAGCAGCAGCAACCGCGGCAGCAACAGCACCACGGCCTCTTGCCTGTGTGTCTGGAGGCTCCCATTGGAGGGCAATGCCTCTTAAGGAAATAATTCCTCTGCTCCCTTCTCGCTCCTCAGCAGCAGCAGCAGCAGGTGCACCCGTCGTTGATGCTGCTTCTGCTGTTGCATGTGCTGCTGCTATTGGTGATATTGGTCTACCCGATATCGCAGGAAGAGAAGCAGGAGAGCAGCAAGAAGCAGCAGCAGCAGCAGCAGCGAATCTGCTGCAGCGAGGGGTTATCCCCACAAAGGCAGCAACAACTTCACCCAGAAGCAGCAATGTTTCCTCATGCTGCAACATTGCTGCTGCTCTTGTTGCTGCTGTTGCTGCTGTTGCTGCTGTGGCTGAAGGAGCAGCATCCTTAGTTCCTACGTGCTGCTGCGAGTCGTCCAAGGGTTGCTGCTGTTGCTGTTGCTGCTGTTGTTGTTGCTGCTGTAGGTCCTGTCTTTGCTTCTGGTCTGGCCTCCACATCTGTTCCTGCGTCAGCTGCTGCTGCTGCTGTTGCGGTTGCTGCTGCTGCTGTCTCTCCGGGCAGCAAGGCACTGGTACTCCGTCAGGATTACTTCTACCGCCACCCAGCAGCAGCAACTGCAACCTGCAGCAGCAAGCAAACACACACAACCTTCTGGGGCTGCTGCTACTGGTACTGCTACTGCTGCTACTGCTACTGCTGCTATTGCCGCCGCTGTTGCAGCAGCTGTGCACTCACACTACAAGAGGGACTCCATGCCGCAGCAGCCTCTGTTGCAGACACTTCTCAGCGCACAGCAGCAGCAGACAGCGCAGCAGCAACCCTGTGCAGCTGAAGCAGCAGCAAACACTGTCGTTGCTGTTGCTGCTGTTGTTGCTGCTGCTGCATGCCTCGGCAAGCAGCAAAATGAGCCCTTCGGTTATCCCGTCGGAGCACAACATATGGATCTTCTGCCACTGTCGCATGCGCTGCTGCTGCTGCTGCTGCTGCTGTTGCTCCTGATGCTGATAGTGCTGCTGATAGTGCTGCAGCTCAGCTGTGGACAGTTGCCTCCAACTGTTGTTACTGCTGATGCTGCTTCTTCTGCTGCTGATGCAGCTGCTTCTGCTGCTGCCGCTGCTCCACGAGTCGGCGGCATCGCTATCCTCCGCAGCACCTGCTGCTTCCCTCCATTGGCTGCTGCTGCTGCGCCTGCTCGGCGGCGCCACAAAGGCTGCAGCCCACCGCGCAACGGGTGCATTGGAGATGAGGCAGTAAACTGCAGCAGCAGCAACAGCAGCAAAAGGTACAGCACAACGGCAGCAGCAGCATTAATAGAAGAGGCACAAGGAGTTGACAGCAGCAGAAGCAGCAGCCAAAACCTTCTAAAGGGGTATCGAAAGTCACCAGCAGCAACGGCAGCAGCGCAGCAGCAGCGGCAGCAAACCGAGAAACAGAAGGCGTCTTACCTGTTTCCAACACTGCCAGACGGAGATGCAACTGTTGTTGCGGCTGATGCTGTCCTTGCTGCAGCTGCTGCTGCTCCTGCTGCTGCAGACCACTGGTTATTGCATCACTCTTCGCTGGGGGCATCAGAGCAGCAGCAAATGCAGATGAGGATAAAAGCGACAGCTGCAGCAAACTGTTTTGTTGCAGCACAAGCTTGCTGATCCCCTTCCTCTTTAGTTTCCCCTTGTGCTGCTGCTGCTGCTCCTGCTCCTCCTGCAGCTGCTGCTGTTGCTGCTGCTGCAGTTGCTTTTTCTGCGCAGGAAAATCGTCTGAAGGGTTGCTGTTGCTGCATGTTGCATCATTAGTACTGATGCTGCCGCCTGTGCTGCAGCTGCTACGGCTGCTCTTCCTGCTGCTGCTGCTGCTGCTGCTGTCCCGTCCTCGGGGGCTGTTGCTGCTGCTATTGCTGCAAGGTGAATCGGCAACTGCTGCTTGCTGCAAGTACTGCCTCAGCTGCTGCAGCAGCGAAGACTTGCGCGATTGCTGCTGCTGCTGCTGCCGTTGCTGTTGCTGCTGATGCAGGCTCCCGCACTGGAGCTCCTGCAGCAGCAAAAGCAACTGGGGGACAGCGTCTGAGTTGATGATGCGTTGTAGCAGCAGTGGATGTGATTCTGGTGCAATTGTTGTTGTTGTTGCTGCTGCTGCAGTTGTTGCTGCTGCTGTCGCCTGGGCCAAGGCTACCTGCAGCGACGCATGCAGCAGCAACACTGACTGCAGCACCAGCGAGGTCGGCAGCAGCCACCTGCTGCGCAAGAGGCATTCTATCTGCTGTAGCAGCTGCTGCTGCGCGTGGCACACACTGCAACCGCAATAACCCTCCGTTACTGCTTCTACTCCTGCTGTTGCTGCTGCTGCGCTGCGCGCCAATTTGCTGCCGCTGCTGCAGCTGCAGCGCACAAACATGCTAGGGAAAAGCAAAAGTAGGAGCTGCTCCAAACGCAGCAACTGCAACAAATCCAGTTCGCTGCAGATCCTTCTTGAGCAGCATGCTCCGTTTTTACTGCTGCTGCTGCTGTCGCTGTTGCTGCTGCTGCCGTTGAAGTCGCCTGGCTGCTGCTGCTGCAGCTTTAACCCAACATGCGTGTGGAAGCATTGTATCAGCTGCAGCAACAGCGTTACAGGCCGCTGCTGCTGTTGTTGCTTCTGCTGTCGCTGCTTCTTCTTTTCCTCTTGCAGCAAAAGCAGTTGCTGCTGCTGCTGCGGTGCGCGCCAACACTTAAGAGGCAGCTGCTGCGTTCTTTGACGAGGCAACGGCAGCAGCTGCAGCTCCTGCAGCAGCCGGTCTTGCTGCTGCAATGCTGCAGCAAACCATATCTGCAAAGTAGCACCATGCACGGAAGCTGTTGCTGCTGCTGCTGCTGCTGCTGCAGTTGCTGCTGGTTCCTCTGCAGCACGTTTGCTTGCGAGCTGCTGCTGCTGCAGCTGGTGCTGCTTCTCTAAGGCGTGGTGGAGGCACACAGAGCTGCTGCTCAATTTATATAGCGTGTGCTCCTGCTGCTGCTGCTGCAGCAACAGCTGCTGTTGCTGCTTGATTTGCTGCAGCAGCCAACACCAAAGTGTCTCTGCCCGCAGGAGTGACGGGAGCACAAAGAGTCTTCCTACTGTCAGCAGTAAAGACAGCTGTCTGTGATGTACAAAGACAGCAGCAGCAGCAGAAGCAGAAGCAGCAGCAGCAGCAGCAGAAGCAGCAGCAGCACAATCAGAACCCATCCCATCTTTATTGGCCACATCAAGACAGTCAGTTGCTGCTGCTGCATTTTGCTGCTGCAGGCCCAAAGGAGCGTTTAGCGCGGTAGTAAAGCTGAGGCCGTCACAAACTCCCTTACTGCTGCTGTTGTTGTTGCTGCTGCTGCTGTCGCGCTGCAGCAAACCGGCAATAGGGTGCAAAAGCTGCAACAGCAGCTGTTGCTGCAGTTTGTTGCTCCATATAAGTTCGGGTGTCTCTACAGCTGCCCCTGCAGCACAGGAGGAGAAAAGAGCGGCCAACGCGACAGGCCCTCGCATGTCGCGCTGGGCTGCTGCTCCCGCTGCTGTTGCTGTTGCTGCTGCCTTCTCTGCTGCAGCCGAGAGAGTGAGAGAGGCTTCAGCTTGAAGCAAACGAGCAAGAGGGCTCGGCAGCAACCTGCAGAGATGCTGCGTGCCTAGTGACACACCACCGCAGCAGCAGCAGCAGCAGCAGTAGCAGCAAGTATTGAGTTGATTGCTGCTGCTGCTGTTGCTGCTGCTGCAGCAACAGCTGTAGCAGCTAGGCCTGAGCTCAAAACCATTCAAAGTCAATACAATGCGGCGCATCAATTTGCATGCGGCGACTCTACTTGCAAATCCTGAGGACGGACCTGCTGCTGCTGCCGCCTTGCTGCTTTTGTTGCTGCTGCTGTTGCTGCTGGCGGGGGTCGGAGCAAATCTGCATGCAGCAGCGCAGCAAATCGGCAGCGCTGCTTCCTGCAGCAGCAGTAGCGCGACAGTCGGATACTTGCGCAGCAGCAGCAACAGAAGCTTTGCCGCAGCAACTGCCAGTCTTTCGTGCTGCACTGGTAGCAGCAGGAGCAGCAGCAACTGCTGCAGGATGCCTCTGTTGCAGCACAGCTGTCTTGCCAATGCTGAGCTGTACATACACCCCAAATGCAATGCATGTAGAGCAGCAGCAACTTCAGCAGGAGATAATTTTGCAACAGCAAATGGAGACACGGCAGGCAGCAGCAGCAGCTCCTGCTGCTGCTGCTGCTGTTGCTGCTGCTGGTGTTGTTGCTGCTGCTGCTGTGGTTGCTGCTCCTGTGGCTGCCGCTTCTGTGGCTGCTGTTGTGGCTGTTGCTGCTTGTGCTGCTCTTGGCCCTGTTGCTGCTGTTGCTTGCAATCCACAGAGGAGTCCCTGTAGCCAGTATGCTGCTGCCATTGCTGCTGCAGCAAAGTGCTGCTGCATTGCTGCTCCTGCTGCCTCTGCTGCTGTTTCTGTTGCTTGATCGTCCGGCGTGTCGCTGCTGCTGCTGCTTCTGTAGCTATTGTTGCTGCTGCTGCTGCTTCTGTTGCCGTAGGTACTGCTGCTGCTGTCGCTGCTGCTGCTGCTGCTCCATGCACGCCATGATACGCATGCGTCTGTTCCCACCTGCTGCGTCGGCTGCTGCGCTTGCTGCTGTAGTTCCCGCTGCTGTTGAATTTGCTGCTGTATTTCAGGTCAGCTGATCCATTACTGCTTCTGCGGCTGTTACTGCAGCTGTTGTTGTTGTTGCTGCTGCTGCATAGATTGTGGTGGCGAGCGCTGCTTCCGCTGCTGCTGCTGTCATCGTAAAGTTCGCTGCCAGCAGCACTAAGGAGCGATGGCAGCGGCGAAGCCTCTCGCCGCCGCATCTGCAGCTGCTGTTGCTTCTGTTGCTTCTGTTGCTGCTGTTGCTGTTGCTGTTGCTGCCGTCCCCGCCGCTCTGTCCAAGTGGTGGATATTGAAGACTTCAGAACTGGCCGTCGGACGGGTGTCTTCAGCCTTCGGCTGTTGCCGTTTTGCCTGCTGCTGTGTCTGCTGCTGCTGCTGTGTCTGCTGCTGCTGCTGATGTTGATGTTGCTGCTGTCGCTGCTGTAGCTCCTCAGTCCACTATGAGTGCCACGGCCGTCCTGTGCTGCATTTAGAGCAGCTGCTGCCCCGCTGCAAGAAATTGTCTGTTCAATATTGTCATCCGCACAATCTGCTGTTGCTGCTGCTGCACGTGCTGGTGCAGGCCCTGTTGCTGCTGGTGCTGCGGCGGCGGCGGCTGCTTCAGGGATGCCCAGCAGTTGCACCAGCACCTCTGCAGCTGCATGGTGGTTGCTCCTGTAAGTACCTGCAGCATGCTGCTGTTGCTGCTTCTGCTGCCATTTCTGCTGCTGCATGTTGTGTTGCAGCCGCTGCAGCTCCTGAGCAACGAATGCGCGCACCAGCAGCAATAGCAACCGGTGCGCATTACACTGCAGCAGCAGCCAGGCAACGTGCTTCTGCTGCTGCTGCTGCTGCCTGGCTGCTGCTAGCAGCAGCAGCAGCACGTTCAGAGCTAGGCTTCGCGCGGCTTGAGGTAGCGACCCCCCCTGCTGCAGCAACACAACAGCAACCTCAATCCCTTCGACGCGCGAAATGGTTGCTGCTGCTGCTTCTGCTGGTGCTGCAGCGGTTGTCTTTGCTGCCGTCCCTGCTGCTACGCTGGAGGAAGCCGTTGCACCAGCAGCAGCAACAGCATCAGAACCACCAGCAGCTAAAGGTGAGTCTGCTTCAAGCAGCGAGTCATGCTGCAGAGACCTGCTGCTGCTGCTGTTGCTATGCAGCTGCAGCGCTTGGGGATAACACTGCAGCAGCCGCTTCCACAGCAGCAGAAGTAGCGGCAGGAGAGCAGCCGCAGGTGCTGCCGAGTGCAGCAGCACCTGTTGCACCACAGCCTAAGAGCGAAAAAGAGCACACGCATAGGACAAATCCAAGCATCAGATGAAGCAGCAGCAGCAGCGGTAGCAGCAACAACATACACACTAGCTGTAGAAGCAGTACAACATGCGTAGAAGCACCAGTAGCAGCAAAAGCAGCAAAAGCAGCAACAGCAGCAGAAAACCAAAAGGTAATGCAGCAGCAACAGAAGGATGAATCACCGCTAAATACAAAACCAGTAGGAATAGCAGGAGTGAGAGCAGCACTACCAGCAGCACCAGCATCAGCAGCAGCGTACATTGCACATGGCTGAAGGGTCTCTGACAACTTCTGCTGCAGCAGCGTGCTGCAGCAGCAGCAACTCCTCGCTGCCGCGCCGCAGCAACGTGCATGCAGCACCTTCAGCAAGGCGTGCAGCAGCAGCTGCTGCTGCTGCTGTTGCTGCTCCAGTTGCCGCTGCAGCTGCATTCGAATCCATCTGCAGCAGCTCACATCCCCGTGCAACGGCATTGCTGCTGCTGCTGCTGCTGCTCTGGAGGGTTTTCCCCAACGAATGGAGATCCAGCATCTCCCAGCCCCACACCTCATCAATGCTGTTGCTGCTATTGCTGCTGTTGCCGTTGCTGCTGCCGCAGTTGAAGGCAGCTCTTTGTGCTGCTGCACGCCTTCGCTGCATGCGCTGCAGCACCGCCAAGCGACGGAGGAGCTGCTGCAGCGCAGCAGCAGACATTGCAGGGTTATGTACACCCCAGTGCTGCTGCAGCAGCTGCACGTGCAGCAGCTGCTGCTGCTGCAGTAGCTGGCTAGCTCCGCCAATGTCTAGCGGCAGTCGAAGGAAGCTCTGATAACTCGGAATAAGCTGCTGTTGCTGCTGCTGCTTCTGTTGCTGCTGCAGCAGCTGCTGTACGTACAGCAACAACAGCGACATCCAGTCCTCCTGCAGCAGCTCAACGTACACTCCACCGCACAGGCCGCGGAAGAGCAGCAAATCATCCCACTGCTGCTGCAGCAGCAGCAGCAGTGCGGAAACATATTTGCTGTTGTCAGCCTGTCGACGCTGCTGCTGTCGTTCTTGCTGCTGCTGCTGCACAACAGCCTGCTGCAGGGCAGCTGCAAAGAGACGCCACTTCATGGGTGCATCCCACCTGCTGCAGTTCGGCAGCAGCGCCGTACTGCTGCTGCTGTTGCAGCTGTTGCTGCTGGTGCTGTTGCTGCTGCTGTATTCCCATCCAAGCAGCAGACTTTCCTCTGATGCTGCAACGCAGCGCCCAAGGACGGGGCAAAGGATGCCGCCCTCCTCGCTGCAGCAGCTGCTGCTGCTCTTGCTGCTCCTCCTCCTAGTACGACCAGCAGCACCAGGGGATGGGGCGGCAGGCTGCTGCAGCTGTAGCAAGGCAGACGGAGGCATTAAGTGCAGCAGCTGCAGCAGAACTTGTTGGTCGCTGCTGCTACAGCACTTGCTGCTACCGCTGGGGCAGCCGTAGCTGCTGCTGTTGCTGCTGTTACTTTTGCTGCTGTTGCTGTTGTCGTTGGTGCTGCTGCTGCAGTCACCGGAAAGCTCACCACACAGCAGCGCCAGAACATTCAGCAGCAGCGTCTCCTCCGTCTGGTGTACTTGCTGCTGCTGCTTCTGCAGCAGCAGCAAACTGTTGTTGCTGCTGCCAGAAGCGGCAGCAACAGCGAAATCACCCCTAACTTCCTCCAACTCACTAAAATCTCTTGGTAGGGTTTCATGCTGCTGCTGCTGCTTCCGCTGCCGCCACTGCTGGTGCTGCTGCGGCGTCAGGCCTTCTAGTGGAGCTAAGCAGGTGGCGGTCTGCTGCTGCCTGCCGCCTTGTTGTAGCAGCAGCAGCAGCCGCAGCAGCAGAGGCAGCAACATGCCAACGCGAACAGCAACAGCAGCAATCTGGTTTCTAAGAGGTGCCGACGCATGCAGCAGCACCTGCTGCAGCAGCAGCAGCGCCTGTAACATCAACAGAACGAAGCCCATACACGCACACACACACACACACACACACACACACACACACACACACACACATACATACATACACATACACACTGTAGCAGCAGCAGCAGCAGCGAAGCGCTGTTGCAGCTAATCCAGTATCGAACGCGCTCTGTCGAGCCAGAAGCAGCAGCAATATAAACAGCAGCAGCAGCACCAACAGCAACAGCAACAACAACAGCATTAGCAGCAACAATCAACCCTGCAATAGCTGCTGCAAGTGTAGCGTCATCCGACATTCGAACTGCAATATGACGTCAAGCAGGAGGAGCAGCAGCAGCAACAGAAGCAGCAGCAGCAGCAGCAGCGGCAGGAAGACTTACCCTGCGTCTGCATCTTTCGTGTGGGTGCTGCGTAAGATCTAATATAAGAGCAACGCTGCTGCTCCTGCTGCATGCAGCAACAACTCGCAGGAGCAGCACCATAGGGCTGTGCTGCTTCTCTCCTAAGCAGCAGCAACAAAGCTGCAGCGCAGCACATATCACTTCAGCATCTGCTGCTTCCACCAAGACCGAAGCAGCAGAAGCAGCAGAAGCAGCAGAGGTAGCAACAACAGCAGCAGTTAATGGTGCTACAGCTGCAACTGTCATATTCTGGCTTGTTGCTGCTCCTGCTGTTGCAGTTGTTGTTGCTGTTGCTGCTGCTGCTGTCTTCGATGAGTCCTCTGCAGCAACAGAATCAAGAACAACAGCAGACTCACAGCAGTAGCTGCTGCTGCTGCCGCTGCCGCTGCTGCTGCTTGTGGGTTGTGCAGCAGCAGCAACTCGAGGAGGTATCTGTGCCGCTGATGGGGCAACGCAGGTGTAGAGAAGGGAGACGGGCTCGATCGTACCAGCAGCAGTGGTTGCCGCTGCTGCTGCTGTTGCTGCTGTTGCACTGCTGCACATTGGATGCTCCACAGTGCCGCAGCTTCCTTGCCGCTCTTGCTGCTGCTGCTGCAGGTAGCGGCAGAACAGCAGCAGCTGCAGAAGCAGATCGGAATCGATCCATGCCTCTCGCCATGCCATCGATACTGCATGCAGGTGCAGCAGCTGCCGTCTGTTGCTAACAATCAGCCGTTTCTGCTGCTGCTGCTGCTGCTCCAGGTGTATGACACCCCGCCAGCCAAGGTACAGCACAAGCGCAATGAACGATCTTATAAGGGCGAGTTGGTAGAGATAGAGCCGAGATAGCAGCTGTTGCTGCTTGTGCTGCTGCTGCTGCTGCTGCTGTTGCTCCTGCTGCCCGTCTATCACGGTTCCTCTGTCTGCCTTCGGTGTTGCTGTTGTTGTCTCTGCTGCTGCTGCTGGAGGAGAAAACTTTAAGGCACAGCGCATGCATCTCGCCCCCTGCAGCAGCTGCTGCAGCAGCTGTCGCAGACAGGAGTTGTGGGGGGCCTTTGCTAGGTGCTGCAACCACAGCAGCAGCAGCGACAACAGCAACAACAACAACATTAGGCCAGGAGCAGCAACAGCAACAGCAACAGCAACAACAGCAGCAAGAGGCAAGTAACAGACGCAGCAGTTGGCATTACCAGACTTCCCACGAGTGCAGCACCTGTAGCAACTTGTGCTGCTGCTGCTGCTGCTGACAGCTATGACTTACCTTAAACAACGCAGGCGACTGCAGCAGCTGCTGCACTACCTGAAGGAGCAGCAGCGTGTCTGTTTGCCAATTCTCATATGCTGCTACTGCTGCTGTTGCTGCTGCTGCTGCTGTTGCTGCTGCTCTTTCCGCAGCAGCCGCAGCAGCCGCAGCAGCTGCGGCGGGACAGGTGGAACTGCTGCCCGCAGGCTCATCTCCTGAATACGTTACCCCTGTACCTTGCTGATGCTGTTGTTGTTGTTGCTGCTGCTGCTGCAGAGCCAGCAGAAGCTCATGAAGCAGCACAGGGGCCTCATCCGTCAGCTGTTGCCCCTTCAGCCATAGACTGTCTAAATACGCCTCGTCGGACCTGAGGTTTTACAGCAGCAGCAGCAGCAGCAGCAGTAGAAATCAGAGATGCAGCAGCAGCAGTGACTGCAGCACGAACAGCACAGGGTGCAGCACGGCCTACAGCAAAAGCAACAGCAATACCAGCGGCAACTGCAGCAGCAACACCAGCAGCACCATCACGGACCAGCGACAAGGGGAGTCCTCCCCAAAGTGTTGCAAAATGGCAGAAGAAAGGGAACGCCATTCCGCCTGCTGCGTCCCCTCCGTCTGTTGCTGCTGCTGTTGCTCTTGCTGCTGTTGCTGCTGCTGGAGTAGCCTCGCCTGTGGGTTTTGTGAAAGTAGCAGCAGAGCAGCTTGCAGGCGACTCTCCTCAGAGGACACAGAGGCCCCCATGGGTGCCGCTGATGTTTCTGTTGCTGCTGCTGTGCTGCTAAGGAGTGGTTTATTCGAGTAGTACGGGCCAATCCCTGCAGCAGCCTGGGGTTGCTGTTGCTGTCACAGCAGCAAAGTGCTGCATATCAAACCTGATGTGTACAGACAGCTCAAATAAAGTGATCTAGCGTCCCTGTTGCTGCTGCTGCTGCTGTTGTTTCTGCTGCGGCGGCGGCGGCAAGTTGGTCCTTTAGGACCTTCCTTGGCTCCCGTCTGCGCATTCGCTGGTAAATCAGTACAACACCTTCGCCTGCTGGTGCTGCTGCTGCTGCTGCTCGTATTCCTGCTGCTGCTGCCTGTACTGCAGCAGCAGCTGCTGCTGCTGCGGCTGCTGCTGCTGCTGCCGTGAGGGGGCAGCTCTCCCCATGCCGAAGGAATAAACCTCTTGTCGAGTTTGCCTTGAGAAAATGTCTGAGTAGGGAGGTCCCCACAGCCGTCAATTATGTTGTTGCTGCTGCTGCTTCGGCTGCAGCGGGAGGTGTCTGAGCCCTAGCAGCTAGAGCAGCAGCAGCAGCAGTAGTAGTAGAAGTAGCAGCAGCAACCAGCAGTGGGATTCTGCTGCTCAAAATTCAAAATTAAATATAAAATTAATTATTTAGCAGTAAAATATGTTGCATTAGACAAGTAACATAACTAACAGCAACAGCAACAGCAGCAGCAGCGTGTGCTGGCTGCTGCCATCCCGCAGCCGACCACCGGCAGTTGTGTTTATTTTTGCTGTTTTCTTTCCCTAGTTTTGTACCATTAAAATTAATTTAATTTAAATTATCTGTATATATATTACTTAACATGTGCCATTAGAAACACTGTTTTAGGGGTTAGGGTCTGGCATTTTGCCTCTATGGTCTTAGCACTGGTATTCTTTAGGGTTTATGATTTAGGGTTTGGTGATTATAGTTTAGGGTTTGGGGTTTAGGGTTTAGCGCTCATAGCTAAATCTTTAGAGTGTAGACTTCAGAAGCTTAGTGTCTTGGGCTTTTTAGGGTTTAGGGTTTAGTGTTTGGGCTTTCTAGGGTTTAGGGTCGTAGGGTTTAGTGTACTCGAGGGGCTCAAAAGGAGCTATTTTGTCTATGTAATGCAAATCTCTCTTAATTTTTATTTATTTTTCGTTTGTTATTTATGTTTTCCTTTTTCTATTTATTTTTTATTTTTTCACTGCTTGTCGGGAGCAAAAAGTGGTTAAACAAACAAAAACAAAACAAAAAGGGATTTGCTGCTTTGGTTGGGGCACTGCTTTTGTGCTGCTGCTGCTGCAGCAAGAGTAGCAGCAACAGCGACAGCACTAAATACTGTTCCTGCACAGTGCTGCTGCTGCTATTGCTGCATTCAGAACCTTCGGGTGTATAGGCAGCTATAGCACTCTTTCCAATGATTCCAAAAGGCAGCAGCAACGATCAAGAGTCAGACGTTATGCTGCTGTTGTTGTTGCTGCTGCTGTTATTGCTGCTGCTGCTGCTGTTATTGCTACTGGTGTTGCTGTTGTTGCTGCTGTTGTTGTTGCTGCTGCTGTTGTTGTTGCTGTTGCTGCTTCTGTTGCTGTTGTTGTTGCTGCTGCTGCTGCTGATTCCGAGATCTTTGATGTGAATGGAACCTAAATGGGCTTCTGCGGGGTATAATATGCGACTGCTGCTGCTGCTGCAAGACAGCCGCAGCAGCAGCACCAGCAGTAGATGCCTGCAGATCGTGCTCTTGCTGTGAGGTGCCGGGTTGATGTGGCAGCAGCAGCACCTGCTGCTGCTGCGGCTCCTGCAGCGGACGACCCCACCGTGGGGTCCTCCTGACGGTTACTTCCTCTTCGTTGTACGGTTGCCGCTGCTGCTTGCTTCTACTGGAGCTGCGCCCAAACAGCTTAGCAGCAGCAGTCGCGGGACTGGGGGGAGCCAGCGCGACCGCTACTTGCGTTGTTTGCTGCTGCTGCAGTTTGTACTGTTGCTGCTGCTGTTGTTGCTGTATGCATTCTTCCTGCTGTTGCTGTGGCTGCTGCTGCTCACGTGTGGGGGTAGGTAAGGGCCTCGCCCTCCTTGTCCCCATCCACCGTTGCTTCTGCTGCTGCTGCTGCTGCTGCTCAGTTACCGCTACTGATGCTCTCGGTGCAGGTTCTGCTGCTGCGGGGCTCCTCAGTGTGGAGTACCGTCCGCCCCGTGATCTGCTGCTGCTGCTGCGGATCACATGGATTCCATGTTGATGCTGTTGCTGCTGCTGTCCCTGCTGCTGCTGCATTATCTGCACGTGCTGTCGTCCTCGTTGCTCTGGCTGCAGCTGAAAGTGAGAAGCATCTTGCAGCAGCTGCTGCTGCTGCAGATGCCTGTTGCCGGACACCAAGGGAAGTGGGGTTTTGCTCCTTGCTGATGCTGCAGCAGCAGGACCAGCAAAAGCATTACCAGCAGCAGCCTGACCAGCAGCAGCAGCAGGCGGCGCAACATTCTTTCCCCCAAAAGAGGAGAGCCCCCGAAACGTCAAGCTGCTGGAGGGGACATTTGCACGCTGCTGCTGATGCTGGTGCTGTTGTTGCGTCTGTTGCTGCTGCTGTTGCTCTTGCTGCAGTTGTTGCTGTCGTTGTTGCTGGTGCAGCTGTCGCTGCAATTGTTGCTGCAGCAGAGAGGCTACTTGCAACTCCTGTAGGTTTCGCAGCTCCTCCACCCCACAGTCTCCCACCCAACCGTTTGTATGCTGCTGCTGCTGTTGTTGCTGTTGTTGTTGCTGCTGGCTGCTGCCGCTGCCGTACAGCCTCCGTAAGTGCCGCAACAGAGATGTCGAGGTGGGTCCAGCCGGTAAAGGGCCATGAGCCTGCCCTTGCTGCTTCTGATGCTGCTCCTTCTGATGCTGCTGCTCCGGATGCTGTTGCCCGTTCGAACTGCTCATTCGATTGCTGTCCCCGCAAAGGGCGGAAAGGCTTTGGGCGACGGTGTTGATCTGCGCGTACACCTGCTGATCTGGGTGCTGCTGTTGTTGTTGCTGCTGCTGCAGCTGTCTAGAGGTGAAGAACCGCTGCATGCGGTGCCCTGGGTGGGCCGTCTCCTTCCACTCCCCTTCGGACCATTGCTCAGACGACAGACTCCTCAGTGGTGGTGGTGGTGGTGGTGCGGCTGCTGCTGCCGCTGCTGCTGCTGGTGCTGCTGCTTCTGTTGAGTCGGAAGCTTCCATTGCCTCTCCCTGGCTCTCCTCTGCCTCAGATCGAGCGGTGGCCTTCGTGGGTAGCTGCATCTGGTGCTGCAGCAGCAGTTGCTGCCGCTGCTGCTGCGAGAAGTGCCTGTCTGGTGCAGTTGCAGCTGCTGCAGCTGAGAAACCAGAAGAATTGCAGCGCCATTGTCCTTCGGAGAAAGACCTGCTGTAGCTTCCGGAGAAGCTGCTAGTCCTCCACCCAACAGCAGCGGCAGCAGCATCAGCAGCAGCAACACCAGGGGATTCAACAGAAGCACTGATGTAAAGAGCAGCAGCACCGTCATTAACGGGGTCGGCAACCGGAGGCACATCTGCTTGGCTCTGCTGCTCCACTAGCTTGTCTTCCTGCTGCTGCTGCTGATCTTGCTGCTGCTGCTGCAGTTTTCGCTGTGGTGGTGGCTGCTCCTTCCCTGTATACGAAGGCCGTCTGCTCACTCGAGCCTCTTCCAAAAAGATCTCGTTGCAGCACTCCGCCTGCTGCTGCTGCTGCTGTTGCAACTGCTGCTGCTGTTGCAACTGTTGCTGCTGTTGCAACTGCTGCTGCTGTTGCACCTGTTGCTGCTGCTGCACCTGTTGCTGCTGCTGCACCTGCTGCTGCTGTTGCACCTGTTGCTGTTGTTTCACCTGTTGCTGATGCTGCACCTGCTGCTGGTGTTGCACCTGTTGCTGCTGTTTCACCTGTTGCTGAGGCTGCACCTGACGCTGGTGCACCTGCTGCTGCTGCAGCAGATGCTGCTGCAGCTGCTGCTCCTGAAGCTGATTTTGAAGCTTTTGGTTTTGCTTTAAGAGATGTACTAGCTTGTGGCTATGTCGGAGATGGCAATGCTTATGGTGCTTCTTCTGTTGCTGCAGAAGCAGCAGCTGCTGCTGCTGTTGCTGCTCCTTCAGCTGCTGCTGCAGCTGCTGCTGCACATTCAGTAGCATTCTCTGATGCCTCCTCTCCTCTTGACGCAAGCAATGGAGTTGCTGCTGCTGCTGCTCCTGTAACAGCTGCTGCTGCAGCGACTGGTGCTGCCCCCTCGCTTGTTGTGTCTGGTGCTGCTGTTGATGATGGAATCCGCCGTGCTGCTTGTGCTGCAAAGAAAAAGAAGGGACAAAATAGCTGTCCTTCTTTGCTTTAGCAGCAGCGGGAACTGGCCGCCCGTTTACACTGGGCTGTTTTTGTTGCTGCTGTTGTTGCTGCTGTTGCTGTGGCTGCTGCTGCTTCTGTTGTTCGCGCTGCTGCCTCTTCTCTGTGTCTCCCTCGCTGCTGCATACACGCACTGCGGCACCTGTCTTTGGCTGCTGGATATCAGGGGTCATCTGTTTCTGTAGTTGCTGTTGATCCTGCTGCTTCTGTTGCTCTTGCTTCTGTTGCTGCTGCTTCTGTTGGTGTTGCTCCTTGTGTTGTTGCTGCTGCTGCAGCTTGTCCTGCTGCAGCTTCTGCAGCACTTCACGTTCATAATGCGGCTGCACCTGCATCATCCAGCGGTGTTGCTGCTTTCGATTGCTGCTGCTGCTGCTCCTGCTGCTATTGCTCTGCCAGCCAGATACTTGGACGAAGCTGTCCCGCTGCTGTTGTTGCAGCTGCAGCAGTCGCTGCTGCTGCTGCTGCAGCTGATGCTTGAGGAGACGCATCTCCTCCATTTGCTTGGCTCTACCGTGCAGTCTGAAAGCATACGCATAATGTCCACCAGCACGGCCTGCACCAGAGACAGATTAGACGGAATTGGTGTCGTTGTTGCTGCTGCTGCAGCTGCGGCTGCTACAGCAGCGGCTTTTCTTACCTAGCGGAGATAACCTCTATTGCAGCTGCTGGCAACTTGGATGGTGCGCGGAGCTGCGAAGGTGCCGGGGTTGGTGGTGCTGCTGCTGTTGTGGCTGCTGCTGCTGCAGGGGAAGTGCTATTGTCCCATGGAGGTTGCAGCTGCGGATGCATCTGCTGCAGCTGCTGCAGCTGCTGCTGCTGCTGCTGCAGCTGGCGCCGCATTTTCGATATCTTTTCCTCATATCGCCTTTGCTGCTGTTCATGGATAGCAGCCCTCGAGGCCATGTCTCGCTGCTGTTTGTGTGCTACCTGTACCCGCCGCTGCTGCTCCTGCTCCTGCTGTGGGAAATGCAGAGGTGCAGCAGCAGCAGCAGCAACAGCAACAGCACGTGCAGCGTCAACTGGCTGCAACTCAGCCAAAGCTGCAGTAGGGAACGTACTGCTGCTGCTGTTGCTGTTGGTGTTATTGCTGCTGCTGCTGTACTTGCTGCTCCTGTTGCTGCTGGCAGTACATCTAGAAGCTGGAGCGGATTGATATCTGCGGCATTTGCTGCACGGATTTACTCGCACTGTTGTTGCCTCAGCAGAAGCGCTAACAGGCCTTTTCTTCTGCTGCTGCTGGTGCCGCAGCAGCAACGCTTGTCGTTCCTGCTTCCGCTGCTGGTGATGCTGCTGCTGCTGCTGCTGTTCTGCAACATTCGGGGAATTACACCCTATACACCACGCTCTTTTTATCGTAGGGCGGAAGGCTCGTAGCAGCAGTGCATCTCTAACAGGGCAACTGGTGCTGCTGTTTTTGCTTTTGCTGCAGCAACTGCTGCAGCTGCTGCTACAACTGCTGCTGCAGCTGCTACTACAACTGTTCCTACAGCAGCTGCAACTGCCACTTCCTGCCCCCAAAGCAAATGCCTTCTCGTCTCTGCAGTGTTTACACTGCTGTTGCTCAGCTTCAGCAACACCCGCTGCAGCAGCAGCAGGTGGAGCAGCAGAGTTGACAACTGGAGGATAAATGGACACTCCATGAGCACTGATCCCCCTTGCTGCTGCTGCTGCTGCAGACTTAACGATTGACGAGGCAGCCGCAGCTGCTGCTGCGTCGGCAGCCTCCGCTGCTGCTTTTGCAGCAGCAGCGACGGCAGCAGCAGCAACAGCAACCGCAGGCGCATTCACATCTCTCTCATGCGACCACGATGATGCTTCGTAAGTAGAATTTAAAGCAGCAGCAGCTTCTGCTGCTGAAACCGCTGCTGCTGTAGCCGCTGCTGCTGCTGCTGCTGCTTGGGGGGTGCGCCTCCTGGTTCTTAGCTTGCTGGTGCTGCTGCTGGAGCTGGTGCGGCCGCAAGTCTCGGCTGCCTGGCTCTGCACCTGCTGCTGCTGCCGCTTTTGCTGCAGCAAGCAAGTCTTAGGCGCAGCAGCAGCAGCAGCAAGCCTCTCCACCTCAGCGTCAGCGTCTCGGCTTCTGTCGTTGATAGCGTGCGCTGCCAGGGGGGGTCTTGCTTCTCCTTCGGTGGTGCGTTGTCTGCAGCAGCAGCAGCAGCTGCTGCTGTTGTTGTTGTTGCTGTTGCTATTGCTGCTGCTGCTGTATGCTTGGGTGGTTTGCAGCCGGTGGCTGCCTTTAAGCTGCGCCTTCCCTCTTTTTTGCTGCAGAGTATTTTGTGGCAGCTGCTGCAGCAGGGCCTCACGCTCTCTAGCAATAGCTGCTAGGGCCGCCTGTAACTGCAGCTGCTGGTGGTTTGCTGCTGCTGCTGCACCTGCAGCGGCACAGCAGCAACAGCAGCAAACGTTGGCATTCAGACGAAACGCTGCCCTGGTGGGCACTTTGGAATCTGGCTTGCTGCTGCTTCTGCCTGCTTCTGCCTGTTACGTTCCTTGTTGCCTGCACCTATCTGGCTAGTTAGCTCCCTAGCCGTGAAACTGGTCATCTAACTTAGAAGCTGCGTAGCTTACTAGCTGGCTAGTTGGCTGCTGGCTAACTGGCCAGCTGGCTAGGCACAAGACTCTCAGGTGTATGGCTACCTAACCGATTAGCCTGGGGATACCATGCAACCACCCCTAGCTAGCTGCCAGCTGGCCAGCTGGCTATCTATCCAGCTAGTCAGATGGTTCTCTAGCCAGGTAGTCAGGTATAGAGTGATAGAGACGGCTGTTAGAGCTACAACTCTGTGAAGATTGACAGCAGCTGTAGCACGGACATGATGAAATTCTAGGATACTGCAGCAGCTGCTTCTGCGGCGGCTTTTGTTGCTGCAGCAACTGCTGCTGCTGCTGCCGCCGAAGGGAGAAACCGCGAGCCACGTTTCTACCGCCGCTCTTCAGAGAAGTTGTGTCCCTCGCCTGCAGCAGCAACTTGCTGCTGGGGAAAGCAGCAGGAGCAGCAACAGCAGCAGCAGCAGAAGGCGCCATATGGTGTGTAGGTGCAGCTGTCCACACACGCAGCACGCCACAGTCCCCACACTTACTCGCAGCAGCAGCAACAGTAGATGCACTAGCAACAGCAGCAGCAACAGCAGCAACAGCAACAGCAGCACCAACTTACTGCCAGCCGATTGCCGCGGGGTCCGTTGCAGAGACGAGGGGCTGCAGCACTGCTGTTGCTGCGGCTGTCTTCCTGCTGCTGCTGCATCTGTAGGGGCAGCAGCAGCAGGGGCTTTACGCCGAGCCCATGCCTCCCAGGCGCAGCAAGTAGTGTTTGCTGCTGGTGTTGCTGCTGCTTCTGCAGCTGTTGTTCGGGATCCTCCACTACACCCTGCTGCTGATGAAGTAGCAGCCGAAGACGCTGTAGCAGCATCAGCAACAGGGTGCGCTTCTGTGGGTGCCGCCTTCCCTTCTAGTACTGCGGTGGGTCTCTCCGCTGTCACGGCTGTTGCATCTGGTGCAGCCGCTGATGGTGGTGACACTGCTGCTCCAGGGGCCCAAAGCATGGCTGCTTGCTGGGGTTGCTCACCCAAGTACGAAGAGATCAGCATCTGCTGCTGGTGCTGCGGAGGTTGCTGCACTATCAGCAGCTGTTGCTGCTGCATGTGCTGCAGCATTCGCTGCTGCACTAGCCGCTGCTGCTGATGTTGCTGCGGCTGTGGTTGCTGTAGCAGCGGAAGCGAAACTAGGGGCAGCCCTGGAAGCTCAGCTAGCTGCTGCTGCAGTGTTGTGGGCTCAGAGAACGAACCAGCAGCAGCAGAAGAAGCAGCAGCATCTCCCCAGCTGTTCTGGTGCTGCCTATATTGGTTGTAGCTGCAGGGAGGGTTTTCGCGTGCTGCTGCAGTTCCTCTAGCAGCTGCTCCTGCTGCTGCTTGCTTTGCTCCTGCTGATAGTCCTAATGCCTTCTCAAGCAGCGCTACTTCTGCTTCTGCTGCTGCTGCTGCTTCTGCAGTTGCTGCTGCAGCCCATTGCTGCTGCATTCTCTGTCTCCATCCAAGATGGCGTTGGGTGTCTATACGCCGTAGAGCTGCTGCTGCTGATGCTACTCTTGCTTCTGCTTCCGAATCAACGGGGGATGTTGCAGCTGCTCCTTCTCTTGAAGAAGCAGCAGGAGTAGTTGTAGCAGCACCAGCACCAGCAGCAGCAGCAGCTGCTGCTGTACAGCACAATCCTTCTTCTGAGGAAAGCTCAGAGGAAGGCACCGAGCCGCAGCAAAAGGGAGGCTGCAACAACTTTTTCAGCTGCTGCGGTGACCACTCACGAGCTGCAGCTGCTGCTGCTCTTGCGGCTGCCACTGATACTCCTATCCCTGCTGCTGCTGCTGAAGGTTCTGGTGATGCTGGTGTTGGTGCTACTGCAGGTTCCAGTGGTGTTGCTGTTGCTGCTATTTCTGCCATTGTTCCTGTTCTTGCTGCTGTTGCTGGTCTTGCTGCTGCGGGTTCTTCTGGCGGTGGTGATGCTGCTGTTGCTGCTGCTGCTGCTGCTACAATATCTCCTGCTGCAAGTTCCACTGCTCCTGGTGCTGCAGCTCCGATTGCTGCTAGTGCTGCTACAGGTTCTGCAGGTTCCGTAGCAGCTGCTGCTGCTACTTCTGCAGCTGCAATGGCTGTTGATGCTGCCTCCGGTGTTGCTATTTCTGCTTCTGTTGCTGCTCTTTCTGTTGTTGTTATTGTTTCTGCTGCAATTCCTCTTTCTGCTGCTGTTGCACGTCCTCGTGCTGCTGGTGTTGGTGCACCAACTGCAGCTGAAACTACAGCAACCTCAGCAGATCGAAAATGTGTTGTTGATACTTCCCCTGTTGCTGCTGCCGCCGCAATTTTTGCTGCTGCTGCTGCAATTTTTGCCGCTGCTGCTGCTGCTCTTTGTACTGCTACTGTAGCAGTTTCTGCTGCTGCTGACGCTGCAGTTTTAGGTTTTGCCGCTGCTTTTGCTTCCGCCTCCTGGGCTGTAACTGCTGGTGTTCCAACACGTACCGCTGTAGTTTGTGCTGTTGTGGCGTCTGATTCCTCTTCCGCAGCAGTTTTTGTGGCTGCTGCAGATTCTGCTGCGGCTGGTGCTGCTGGTGGTGCTTCCGCGTCTTCCGTTGCTGCTGCTACTCTCGCGGTTCCTCTTGCAGCCCCCGCGGCTTCTGCTGCCGCCGTCGGAGTTTCTGTAGATTCGAAGACGTTTGCGATGCCAGGCGTTGCTGCTGCTGCTGCCGCTTTCAAGGGAACAATTTGTGGTTGTTCTGCTGCCTCTATTTCTGGTGCCTGAGCTAGTTCCGCTGCTGATGTTGCTCCTGCTCCTGGTGCGGCCGCTTCTGCCGTAGGTGCTTCTGTAACTTCAAGAGTTTCTGTTTCGGTTTCTGCTGCTGCACCGTTTGGGCTCATTAATGGCTCTTCTGTGTTTGCCTCTTGTGTCGCTGCTGCTGCTTCGGTTGCTGTTGCTGCTTCTGTTGCTGCTGCTGTTGCTGCCGTTGTTGCAGCTGTTGCCGTTGTTGTTGCTGTTGCTGTTGTTGTTGTTGTTGTTGTTGTTGTTGTTGTTGTTGTTGTTGTTGTTGCTGCTGCTGTTGCTGTTGGCAATACTGTTGCCTGTGCTAGTGCACCTTCTGTCTCCTGTGGTGTTGTGGTTGGTTGGTCAGCTGTTGCTGCTGCTGCAGTTTCCGCAGCAGCAGCAAAGTGCTTATGTAGCATCTCTCCAGGTTCCCCACAGTCCCGTATACAGGGCGACAGGGGAGTCGCTATGCGAGGAGAAGCTACTGCCAGCCTGCATGGTGCTGCTGCTCCTCCTCCTGCTTCTGGAGTTGCAGCTGCTGCTTCTGCTGCTGTTGCTTCCTGTAGTGTGTGTCCAGAAGTTGGTGTGCTGCTGTTGCAGCTGTCGCGGCTTTGCTGTGCAGCACTAAAGCCACCCCTGTCACTGCGTTTCGTCTTGCTTCTGGTGCTTTTTCCCAAGCTGCTGCTGCTTCTGCTGCCGCCGCTAGAGCTTGGGCATCTTCCACTATATCCCTGCAGGTCTGCTGCTGCTGCTGCTGATGATGATGATAAAGAAGGGGGAATCAAAGAGACACACCTGCAGCTGCTGCTTCTTCGAAGCAGCTGCTGGTGCTGCAACAAACCTTCGTGCTGCGGAGGGTGGCCCTGGCCCTTCAGTTGCAGAAGGGGCTGTTGAGTTGCAGCAGCAGTTTGCTGCTGGTGCAGCAGAACGTCTGGCGGGATGCTGAGTATAGACACAGGACAGGGACAAAAAGGCACGGGCTGCTGCACACGACTTTCAGCAGCAGAAACAGATACCATCGCCTCTAGTCCTGTTGCTGCTGTCGCTGCTGTTGCTGCTGCCCCGTCGCTGCGCTGCTGCAGTTGCCGTGAGCAGAAGCAAGGGAACCGCCAGGGGGTCTCCTCAAGCAGTGTAGGTGCAGCTGTAGCCTCAGCTGCCACAGCAGCATGTGCAGCAGCAGACGCGAAGCAGAAGGAGGAGAAATTGTTTAAGTGTGTGTTTTGCTGCAACAGCTGCTGCTGCTTTTTCAGCAGCAATCTGGAGGCAGGGGGTCTACGTTTTTAAGGAGATTTAAGGAAAAGGACGAAGAAGAAAGCCCAAGGGAATGGACAGAAGAGTATAAGGCAGCCTCAAGGCTGGCAGCCGGTGACCCTGCGGTGACCTCCGTCATGTGCACATCTGGTCAGCCGCAGCAGCACCAGCAGATATCTTCTCTATCTGCAAAAGCTATCATTAGAAAACAAATTTATGCATGCAAATAACAAATAATAACTGTCAACACCAGCAGGCAAAGGGCGCATCTGGCTGGACCAGCTGCAGCTCACTGCTGTGGGCCCCCGCTCCCGCTCCTGCTGTTGCTGCTACTGCAGCTGCTCCAGCAGATCTTCGTTGATCTATTGAAATACGGAGCAACGAGTTGTTCTACATGCTTCTATTCTACCTGGAATAGAGAGACACAGCAGTAAGAGCTGCTGCTAACAGCGGCAGCAGGAGCAGCAGCCACCCGCCGGTCTCTCGGGCCTCATCAGGTTTAATGACAGCTCTTCTCCATCGGTGCATGCAAAAGAAGGAATACGTAAAGTTTGCAAAACATAAAATATGATATTAACAGAATAGAAGGCGAATTAAGAGACGTTGCAGTTCGAGCAGAAACACCGCACACCCGCAATGTAGACAATAAACCCTCCAACAACATTCTTAGTCACCCTTTATACCACATCCTTTATACCACAAAAACAAAGGCAAAAAACTGCTGCATACACACGTAGTGGTAGAGGAGACGTTTACAGTAGAGACATCTTTACACTCAACTTGTTATAGGAGCGGCTGCATGCCTATACGTACGGTGCACGCTTAGCTACGAATTGGCTTCTACGCCACTTACTGTAGGGGCAGGCCAAAACAGCCTTAGAACAAGAGCGTTAAAGAAAGAACTAAAGAATACCGGCAAAGCGACTGCAGTGAACGCGCTCGAATGCACAGGTCTATGCTCCTCCAAAAGTTGTTTGGGTGTACTTGCATGAGCATAGACTTGTGGATTCGAGCAATTCCCCTTAAGAGGCATTTGGGCATGATATTGTTTCCAGCTCAGGCTATACAGGAGCACACTATAGAATAACAAATATGCCGACAAAGAAAGTATAACCCTAGCACAGGCCCCGTCTAGGGTGCCATGCGTCTGAGCCCAGAGCACCATGTATACAGATAGATGCAAGCAAAAGCGGAACAGTAAATAGGCACCACCGGAGAGCGGATAGTATAAAGGGTATTGGACTTTACGGGGGTATTCTGTACCTCAGAACGAAGCTTTGAACTGTTCCATCTGCGAACGATCCGTCAATTGCGCCCCTATGCTGTTTTCGGTTATTATTACTGGATCGAAATCCTCAAGCCAACTGTCTTCGTATAAATGCAATTTTCCGGTTGCCGCTTCCGAGAGGGGAAGGGTAAGACCCTCCTTACTCGCTGCTTCGAACGCCTGTTGTCATTTCGTGGGTGGGGCTGGTATTCACAGATCCAACATCCACTGGCCCAATATCCGGATTATTCCAAACCTGCGCTATTCATTCCCACGTAGGACGCTAAGGTGGTTCTTCCGTGAGTTCTTACTCTATCTTCACAGCCAGGTTGACCCTTTCGTCTCTTGGTTCCTTCTCTGCGGCCAGGCAACCTCAGAGAGATTCGCCAACACTGGACAGCTTGTGCTGCACTCCGAGGGCAGGTATTTATCAATGCCTACTGTGTTATGGAACTGCAGCTCTGAGATTTCGCGTAAGCTTTGAGAGATATGTAAAAACATCTTTTCTCATTTGCGTGTATAGATTTCTTACAAGCACTTTAGGTAGTGTTCGCTGCTGTGCACCAAGGCGCACTGTTGTGATGTTGAAGCTGGTTGCTCGCACCGGATCCGTGGTACACTACATTACAGTGTGGGGTAAAGATAACCTCGCGGACACCAGGTGAGTAGTTACAAAACAGACGTTGGAACTTAGCTTCTTGACACATTAGGGGGCTCTGCAACAGAACCCAGAGCACGGGATTAGCAGTGCCGTTGCTTCTGGCAACCGTCGTTGGCACCCGAAGGAAAGTGTGGTTTCCCCATCGGAGGCGGCATTTGTTTCCTCCTGTAGAGGACCGCAGCAGCGGGTGTCTTGAGCTTCCCATGTATATCTCGCTGACTATAGTGGTTCGACACTGGGACTTTCTTAGGAGGGGCTTACCTACATCCCCCCGTAAAGGATATGTAGCACACCCTGCCTAATGCTGGCAGGTCCGTCGGGAGTTTGAGCGTTGACTATCTACTTGTTCTGGGTAGCCAGCATTCCCGCAACGTACTCAACAACCGTCTACAGCGTCAATGCACAAAGCCAAGAAGACTTCTCATTACTTTTAAATGGAACACTACTATGTAAATTGCTGCACGCTGAACATGAACTGACTACAGGCTATCTTCCCCGCGTGGCTACTGGGCAGTTGCCCCTATGCGGCCTGGAGGTTTTGTAGGGGGTCAGATGCTCTTATCTAACTGTTTTCGTATGGCTCGGTCTCTCAGTAATCCTTGGATATGTCCTAGCAGGCATTGCACTCTGCAGCACCACATTGTGTAATACGACGCCTCAGCCCTATCCAAGGAGTAATCTAGCGGAAGAGCACGTGAACCGATGTACTGAGATACTTACATTCCTAAAGAACCATTTACTTCCTTCCACGATGTGCCTACGTCCATTCGGCACCATTCCCAAATGCCTGAAGATTAGGGAGAAGTGGTAGCTAACCAAGAGTTGCGACGCACCGTGCTGCTGCAACTCTGTAGCCGCAAGACAACAGCAGAAGTAAGTATCAACTTCTCGACTGCATGCACGAACTAAGACTGTAGACAATAGTTGGAAACCTGTGTTCATCTGCCTATTGTCTACTACGCGTGAAAAAGGGTTTATATGCTAAGGGCACAAAGGCAAACTAGCCAACATCGTGCAGGTTATATAAGCCAAAATAGGAAGAGCTCGTGCAGCCACGTGAGGGTGCGCGGTTGGCACGGGGTGGGTGGGGTGTATGTAGGCGTCAAAAGAGAGAAATCTTCGATAAAAATGGGATTCTTGGAGTTTTTTTGTTATTTTTTCTTTACTGGGGTATTAACAGCCCACGGGAAAGGATGGCAGGGACAGAAGAATCCCCCCTTGGTGCCGCAAGGCGCCTCTTCTTCCCCTGGTAGCAGCGGTCCTCCTGTGTGGCACTCGCGCATGGGCGGGGGCGTGTATGGGGGAGGTACTAAGGGTAGTGATGGTTGGCTAGGGAACCCTTTAGGTTTATATGGTAGTTCACTAAATGGGTTAAATATAGGAAAAAGAGGAATATTAAGAGAAAAACAGCCATTAAAAGAGGGTCTTGCTACAATATTCCCTATCCTCCCCCACCACCCCAACAGGAGCACCAGCAGCAGGAGATTGGGTGCGTTAGCTGCTGCTGCTGGGTGCTGCAGCAGCTTGGGTGCTGCTGCAGCTTGTGGTAGGACGAGTGTGTTGTGTTTTCAGCGCGTAGGAAGTGCAGGAGGACCGTCTCCATCTATATATAAACCTCAAGGAAAAGTTTCCTTGTTGGAGAGTGTTAACCCACATCCCAATTATCATCATCTTACCTCGCCTTTCTCCTCTCCCGCCTGTCTATCTGCCTTTAAAGCAGCAAATTCTTCTATTTCCGCGACAATGCCGAATCCCCGCGTCTTTTTCGATGTATCCATTGGCGGTGGTGCTGCTCGCCGCATAATAATGGAGTTATTTGCGGATGTGACCCCCAAGACTGCGGAGAATTTCCGTTGTCTCTGCACAGGAGAGAAGGGAACGGGTCAAAGTGGCAAGCCGCTTCACTATAAAGGTTCCTCATTCCATCGTATTATTCCTCAATTCATGCTGCAAGGAGGCGATTTTACCCGTGGTAATGGCACTGGAGGCGAGAGTATCTATGGCGACAGATTCGCCGATGAAAACTTCAAGCTCCGCCACGACAGACCCTTCCTCCTCTCCATGGCTAATGCAGGCCCAAATACAAATGGGTCACAATTCTTCATCACCACCGTTGTATGTGACTGGCTAGATGGCAAGCACTGCGTCTTCGGCCAAGTCACAGAAGGACAAGATGTCGTCAAGGAAATCGAGAAGGTAGGAACTGCATCCGGAAAGCCGAGACAGGTCGTCACCATTGTTGACTGTGGACAGCTACAGTAAGCAGCAGCAGCTGCTGGCGCTGAAGCTGCTGCTAATGCCGCAGTACAACTACTACAGTTGCTGCGGCAGCAGCCGCTGCAGCCAACAGCCTCTTTTACAGAAACCCTTCAGCTGATAAGCACGTTGCAGCAGCTGCTTTTGCGGTTGCGGTGCCGTGCGGTCACGTGTAGCAGTTGGGCAGCGAACCCGCAACAGCTGCAGCAGGTGCTGTAGCCGCTGCAGTAGATGGCAGGTGTTGTTGCTGATGCTACGGCAGCAGCTGCTGCTTCTCAGCCAGTTGCTGAGGGAAGCAGCACTATGAGAACTTTGAATGTGTGAAGGGGAAGGGAGGCTGCGTGTTTGTTTATCCTAACCGGAAGTCTGTATATACACCGTAAATATATTATCTTTTTAGCATACCCAAAAGCAAACAGCTCTAGTAGTTCCAGGCCCTTTAGGTATATAAATACAGCTCATATAGGTAGAGGCCGCTGTTACTGCCATATATATAGATGCTGCCCCCTTCAGTATATGTTCTACCAGGGGATATGCATTATTTATATATATCGGCATATATAATGAAGAAGGTTTATATTAGTAGGGAAGAATAGATAAAACATGTCAGGCATAGGTGGCGTTTAGTTGAACATAGTTTAGATCTCAACATAAGTATATGTAGTTTATTTGAAATAAAGGCATGCATCTGTCTAATTAACAGGATTATTTCAATTTACAGGAGGTGCACGAGCTCGCGTCAAAATATTGTTATTATGATGGGCATGCTAATATATTTAGCTGCTTTCGTACTTCTATTTCCCTTCCTACGCCGATACTTATGTGTAGGGCAAATACGCTCTATGCAATGTCACCCTATCTATAAATAAATGCTACCATGAACTCTATATATTTGTTTATAGTTAAGGGTATAAGCGTAGAAACACCATTTAGTGCTTTTAATTAGGGAGAAACACTGTTGCTTTTTCTCTTTCCTACAAGCAACACACTGCAACAAGGTATATGCGGATTCGCTCTACTTCTTTGGAATATAGTGTAGCAACTGTGCATAATATGAATATATATTTCTCTATCGGCATATATACAGATTCTAATATACATTTACATAGGTGTGTCTGTACATTATATATGTTTATATTCATATGCATGCATACAAATGCGTGCACAATATGCATAAGTATGTATAGATATATCATTGGACCTAGGGTAAACCTCCTAGTAGATCCTTTTGCAGGTTTGTTCGGTCAAAGCATTTGTGCAGTTGTAAACTTACTACCAGAAAACACAGATTTAAGGTTTACATTGAGCTATAAGACACACTTGTTGGCTATTTTGCCTTACAACGTGGATTATAAGCTGAAATTTTAAATATTATTAATATACATTGTTTAAATAAACGAAGGGACTTAATCTAATACCTAAAATGGCTCCTCCTTTTCTTCCTCATTAATATGATTGCCGCTTGGCAGAGCGCAAAGAACGCAGATGATCATGGGACGCTATATCAATGGATGGAAAAAAGGTGAGAAAATGGGACAAGTTGGGGCTCCCTACACTTTACTGCAATTAGTATAGTGGAATGATGTTTTGTGTGAATTGCAATTTTAATCGATATAACAGAAACGAAAAAAAGCCCTAAAAAAAAGCCCTCATGGGGCAGCAAGAGACACGGTGTGCGTGCATAGGGGGGCAGCCAAGAAGACTGCATATTTGCTAATAAAGACGCAGGACTAATAGTTAATCAATGTAAATATTATTTATTAATATCATTCAGTGTTAATTTATTTAAAAAGGGAATATATGCCTTGTTCTGGTCCACCACTCCCCCGCCTGGTTGTTTTCCCTAAGGAATAACAATAACACCACGGTGGGAGAGAGGCCCCCACTTTTGTCGCCTGCGGCATATAGAGAGGTAATCGTCCTAATGGTTTCCTTGATTTGTTAGTACCACTAAATACCTCAAAATACACATTATTAGCTTGAAGGAATACCTTTTCTCACTAATTTCCTCCTTGTACTGCAGTCGGCCGCTCTCCCCCGGGGGGCCCCCCATCCCGTAGGCCCCTTACACCACCACCCTCCAGGGCCCTGGGGGGGCCCCTTCACCCGTCTTTTTCTCCTCTTTCTCATCCTCATTTATTGCATTTTAAACTATTCTTTGTTCTCTCTAACACCATAGAGGCCTCCACGTGCAACGCAGCCATTGTTCCCCCATAGCCCTGGGGCCCCCACAGCCGCCAGACACTTCGGGGGGAAGAGGGGTCCCCAGGGAAACCTGGGGCTTCTTTTAGTATCCATATGGGTTTCCAAGGGTCCCATAAGCCTTCCAGAGAGCCATAAGGGGCTTCATATGGCCCTAGGTGTCCCCAGTTGTTCAAAGGGGCCCCCAGCCGTAGCCAAGGGGACCCCATAGTACCCCAGGTGACCCCATAGAGGTTGAGAGGCCTCCCTTATACGGGTTTGAGTTATTATATAGGAGACGGGGGGAGAAAGGGGCCCCCGGAAGGGTGGGTGGCCACAAGGGGGCCCCCGTACAGCCAGGGTTCCGCAGGGGGCCCCCTTGGAGTTTGATTACTTGACTTCTGCTGCTGCTGGATAGCAAAGGAAGCAGAAAGAAACAGCACCAGACAAGGCACAGCAGAAACAGCAGCAACAGGAGGGAAGCAGCAGCAGCAGCAGCTGTTTTCTAGTGTTTTAATATTTGTGTTGTTCTACCTGTTCTTGTTTGTGTTGTTAAGCTGTTCTATTGCCCCTTCTGTCTTTGCTGCTTAATAAAATGGAGACCCCGAGGCTTCCTGCGGCGGCAGCAGCAACAAATAAGCCGGCTGCTTCTAAACCTCCTCTAGTGCGTTTGGGGGCCCTCTTAAGCAGTGTAGGGGCCCTCAGCAGCTCGCCTACAGCAGCAGAGGTGCTGAACACGCAGCAGCAGCAGCAGCTTCAGCATGAGCTGCAGCAACTGCTGCTGCAGCACCTTGCTGCTGCCCAGCAGGAAGGCCGTGCTGTTGCTGCGCCTCTTTCTGTTGCTGCTGAAATGGAAGAAAGGGCAGAGCTTTTCTCAGAGCTACATGGTACCTAATGCTGCTGCTGTTGCTGCTGATGCTGTTGCTGCTGATGCTGTTGCCGCTGCTGCTGAAGTTGCAAGTTCTGCTGCTGCAGGTGACAGACCAAGAGATCGCCATTTTTCTTTATTTATCTCAATATGCTGTTTATTTCTTTTCAATATCATTTTCTTTTGTTTTGTTTATATTATCAGAAATACTTAAAACTGCTGCTGCTCCCCCTTCCCTCATTTCTCAGCTTGCTGCTCTGCTGTTGTCGAGGGAGCAGCAGCCGTTGCAGCGGCCGCATGCAATCCTTAAAGTGCTGCTGCTACTCTCGAGGTCCCCAGAGTTTCAGGCATCGCGCAAGCAGCACAATCATGCTGCTGCTGCTGCAGCAGGGCACGCAGGGCGTGAGAAGGGCTCTGCAAAGGGGTTCACCGCCAACAGCAACCAGCCCGCATCATCTGCAGCAACAGAAGCAGCAGGCGCGGCAGAAGCGAAGGAAGGAGGCGTATTGGCACAGTCTCAGCAGCATCTTGCGATGTCTCTTAGCCATCAGCGTGCAGCAGCAAACAGCAACTCCCTCCCCCTTGTGCAGCAGCGAGAAGTCTTTTCTTATGGTAAAGCCTTTTGCCGCTGCTGTTTGCAACTGTTGTTACTGTCCCCGTCGCTCATGCTGCTGATTCGGGTGTTGGTGCCGTTGCTGCTGTGATGCTTGCTGCTGTTATTCTGTTCGCTGCTGATGCTGCTGCTGTTGGTCTGGAGAATTGACACATGCGCTGCTAATGCATTAATGCTTCCTTTTGCTGCTGTTCTTGCTGCTCGTGTGCTGCTATCAGCTGCTAGTATTGCTGCTGTTGCCTCTGTCGTAGCTGCTGTTTCTTGTGTTGTTTGTTTTACTGTACATCTGCTGCTGTTTTTGCTGTATTTGCTCCTGCTACGCTTGCTGCTGCACCGTGGCAGCTATTCCTATTTTATCGTTTTATTTTGTCTCTTCATTTCCCCTTGCTGCCATTTATCTGCTTGTCTCTTCTTTCCTTTTGTCTCTCTTCATGTCTCCCCTCTGTTTCCGTCTCACCCCATTTTTCTTTCTCTCCCCTCTCGACAACATTAGCTTTAGCGGCAGCAGCAGCAGCAGCAGCTCGTAGGACGAGATGCAGCAACTGCTTTGCGTTGCATATGGAGATGACCCTGTTTAATGCCATTCTGCTGCAGACATCTGGGGAGCGGATGAAATTGCTGTCTTGAGGGATCTTCTGTTTATTTTACAAGGTGCTGCACAGCCAAACGAATGCTGCTGCTGCTGCTGCTACTGGTGGTGGTTATGCTGATGCTGCAACCGCATCTGCTGCTGCTGCTGCTGCTGCGGGGATTTGTGGTTGCTGCGTGAGTGTTTTATTCCTTTTGCCCGTTCGTTTTATATTTAATTAGGCATCGTATTTCGTAGTTTGTCTTTTTGTGCGGTTGTTTGGTTCCTTCCTGCCTGCTTTATTTTCTTTCTGCATGCATACATTGGTTTGCTTGTTGCCTTTTTCTTCCTATACTTTTGTTTATAAAATTTCTATTTCTATCTTTGCTTGTCTTTCCATAATCATTATACTTTTTCGTCTTTATCTGTTCAATTTGTGTTTTTCCCCTTCCTTTTTTATCTTTCCCCCTTGCATATCATCGTCCTTGTCTCGTTTGTTTTTATCGTCTGCTGTTTTCATAGGAATTGACGGCCGATTTATTCGATTTGACGTCGAACTGCAGACAGCACAAATTTGTCCCCCTGTAAGTGAATATAACTCTTTATATATACAATTATGTATACTTTTATTTCTTTTGCATTTGCTCGCTCCTCTCTTTTCTTTGTACCGTTGTCGTTGTCTCTGTCCTTGTATTTGTTTCTGTTTGTCGGTGTAGTTCTCCCTATCATTCTCCCTGTTTATGCTCCCCATTTGGTTTTGTTAGCTATTGTCTGTTTTCATTTTTGCTTCTCCCTAAATACGAAGGAGATCTGCATCGCACTACAAATGCCGTTTCGGGCAATCATGTTGTTTAGAGAGGAGAATATAATTAAATATAATAATTAAGAAACAAAATGTAATGAGTTTGTTATAGAAAAGAATTTAAGAAGTCGAATGTATGAAACCTAGTGGATGTTGACAATCATAAAGAGAGTTAATACTTAAACAAAAGCTTGTGACACCCAGCATAATAAAATGAATTGTAATAACATAAAAATAACGGGGACAGGGATAGTAAAATATGAAGATTTATTATAACTAGTCAATGTAAAACATAGGAAGAAGGACTCCTTTGTTCGATTTGCTGTTGCAGGTGAAGGCATCAAGAAGTGTCCTCGGTCTCGTGGCTCGAGTAGCCGCATTGGGATGTATGTACACCCGAGTTAAAGCCTTTATTGAAGGCCCTAAGGTAAGCAAATCAAGAACAAGCACACAGAAGAGGCAGAAGTAGATAGCAAAGAAAAGGTAACACAAACAACAACACCACAAAGCAAACTGACAATACAAAGAGAGGAAAGATCCTTACTGGCAGGGATGACTAAATTTACTGCAGTAAAACCAAGTTAAGATAGAGAGTGATTAAATAAACAAATTAAACGTATCGACAGACACATAGTAAAAACGCGATAGGGCTGGGGCGGAGGCGCAGCGGCAGACAGACAGCAGAAAATCTTTTGGAGGAGCAGCAGATTAAGCACACAAGGCACAACACCTAGTTAAGTGCAGCAGCAACAAAGTGAATTAAAGGGGAAACAACGACACTACTGCTGAACGAGCAGCAGTACCACCAGCAGATTAAATTCAGACGGCATTGTCAGAGGCAGCAGCGTCGGCAGCAGATTAAATCGAATTAGCCGAGTCAGAAGATTAGATCCGCAGACCATCAGGTGCCGATGCAGTTGAACCAGCAGCATCAGCTGCAGCAGACTGCTTTGACTGGGCAGCAGCATAAGCAGAAGTAGCAGCAGAAAAAGGAAACGGGGTTGAAGGATCATAACTTTCTCTGTTTTTCTTTCTTCTGTTTTTAGACGTCCTTCCTGTCTTCTCGCCCTCTGACAGCGGAGGCATTTCGCCAAGGTATTGCTGCGGAGGTGCAGCAGTACTTCAAGCTCATTGCAATCCTAGAAGAAGATATATCACGGTCAGCAGCAACAACAGGAACAGCAGCAGTAGCAGCAGCAATAGCAGCAGCAGTAGCAGCAGCAGCAGTCACTTCAACTGCGGAAACCGCAAAACTGTTGTGTAGTTGTACAATATTGAGCTCTCTGCTGCTGCATCTTGTGCTGCTGCTTCCGCTGCTGCTGCTGGCGGTGCAGTCATTTCGTGTCTGCTATGGTTATGTACCTCGCGGTGCAGTCTCCTGTTGTTCGTGTCTTTGTCTCTTGTTCTTCTGTTGCTTTTTGAAGACAACGTTAGATTAACTGGATGCTGCTTTGCTGCAGAGAAGCCGCAGCACAAGAAGCAGCAGTCCTCCTCTCTGCTGTGTCTCTCTTTAAACAACAATTGCTTCTTCCCTTCGTTCTTTGTCTGCTGTGCAGCGCTGAAGCCTTGCAGAATGCCCCAACAGCAGCAGCAGCAGCAGCAACAGCAGCGGCACAGAGCAGCACGCCGACTCTAAGGCGTCTCGCAGTTTGGCTGCAGGGCCCTTACCAACGCATGCGCCTCCTCACATCCTTGGTACAGCTCTGCATGTGCTGCATCGCTGCTGCTGCTGCTGCTGCTGATGGCGCTGGTTGCTTGTGTCCTTTTGTCCCCTTATTTGGTCTGTCCCCAACTGTAATCCCTTTAGATTTCGTTCCTTTTTTATTTTTCCCTTTCCCCAGTCTTGCTGATTTCTGTCATCTTCTGTTTTCACTTCCCAACCCACCGCTCTGCAGACTCTTGTTCGTCTTGTTCTATCTGCAGCACACGCTGCTGCTGCTCTTGCTGCTGACGCTGCTTGCTCTGTTGTTGCTGCTGCTAACGCTAACGTTGTTGATGTCATTGTCATGTACAGACGGAAGCTGCTAAGGGTCTCAAGGGTGCTGCTCTTCTTTCCACCATTTACGGTGGGCAGTCGCTGCTGCCGCTGCTGCCGTTGTTGCTGTTACTGGTGCACTGAACTCTACGGATATCTGCAAATGCAACAAGTGGCGCTGCTGCTGCTGCTCTGTTGCTATCGTTGTTGTTGCCCCTGCTTTTGTGTTGCCATCGTTGTTTCTGCTGTTGTTTTGTGCCTTTGTGCAGCTTACTGCTCTACAGGCGATTCGGAGCTGCGTGCTGTGGCCCTTCAAATTGTGAGCAGCTTCTGCTTGAGCAGCCGAACGACCGCACAGCAGCAGCAGGAGCAACAGGAAGCAGCAGGCAGCAGCATCAGTAGGAATTGTCTTGTGTGCGGGACCTGCTGCAGCTGCACCGCTCGTTTTTGCCTATGGCCGATGCAATCGAAGGATGGACGAAATACGGCCACCTCCGGTAGCAGTGGACTCACGTTGCTGCTGCTCTGCGCTGCTGTTCCTAAATATGCTGCTGCTGCTACTGCTGCTGCTACTGCTGCTGCTACTGCTGTTGCTGCTGCGTATGTTGCTGCTGCTCCTGTTTATGCTGTTGTTTCTCGTGCTGCTGCTGTAGCAGTGGAGGCTTCTGGCTTTGAAATCCTGGTGCTATTTCTGGCTTCGCTGCTGAAGTGGCGCCGCCTGCTGCATCAGCTGCTGCTGCTGCTGCTGGCGGCGATGCTGCAGCAACCAGTGCTCAATTCGCTGTTGCTGTTCTGCTGCCACAGGGACGAGTCTGGGGAATTTTTTATTCGGGAGGCGCCCCAAGACCCGCAGCAGTCAAGTTGGCGTTCGAGGTGAGGGCAGCACCAGCGGCAACCAGATGGACACCAACCGAGGCACCGGAATAACAGACAGACACAGCAGCAGCAGCAACAGCAGCAGCAGTACTAGCACCAGCACCAGAAAACAGCAAACGCGCAACGAAAACAACTGAAGGTGAAAGGATCTAGTCGGCATATTGCCTCCTAACACGAGGCCCGCGCACAGCCCATATCTGCTGTTGCTTGTGCTGCTGCTGCTGCTTAGGTTTGTGTTGGTACGGGAGAATATCCCGTCCTTCATGCCGCCGCTGCTGCCGGAGAGGCTGTTGTTGGCAGGCAAAAGCGTCCTCTACAGCCAGTAAGACCTCCCTGCAAATTTTCTTCTGCTTCTGCCAGTGCTGCTGCAGCTGTTGCTACTCCTGCCTGTGCTGCGGCTGCGGCTGCTGCTACTTGCGCTGTTGTTTCTGCTGCTGTTCATCCCTATGTGCTGGTGCTTCTACAGCTGCTACTGTTGTTACGCTGATGCTGCTGCTGGGGATACGGATAGTTTTGCTGCTTGCCCTACTATGCATCTCGGTATATGCAGAGCTGCTTGAAGTTCTGCTGTCCGTGTTGCCGCTGCTACTGCTAGTGTTGCAGCGGTTCTTTAAGTAGCAAGGGAGACGTGCCTCATCCTCCCGTTTCCCCTTGTCCGCTATTTGGTGTTTCTTTATGCTTTAGCCTCGGCGCTGCTGCAGCATTTCATGCTGTTGCTGCTCTGTGTGCATTCAGGCTGTTAGAGCGGCCAGTTAAAGCCACAGTAAATCCACTGCAGCAACGGGAGCTCCCTGCCACTTTGCAAGAGCTGCTATCCCAAGAGGAACAGCAGAAGCTGCTGCAGAGCCCGGAACAGCAGGACGAGCAACAGCAGCAAGAGCTGCTGCTGTCACAACGCTTCCATAGTCAGGATCTCGCTTCACGGCAGCAGCAACAACAACAACTGCTGCTGCAGCAAGAGATGCTGCGGCAGCCACACGACCCGGAGCTGCCGCTGCTGCAGAAGATTGACGCTCGCGTTGCTGCTGCGTCAACAAAGGGCAACCAAAGGCAAGCGCGAACAGCAGCAGTAGCAGCAGCAACGCCAAGGGTGGCAAGCGCGACCGCACAATCACACAACTCAGGCTACGGAGGACAAACGCAGGAAGGCATCACAGCAAAAGCAACAGCGGCAGCAACAGCAGCAGCAACAGCAGCGGCAACAGCAGTTTTCTGTATAGTTGTATTTCGTGTGTATCGTTCAATGCTCAGATTGGTGGCGCTGCTGCTGTGGGAACATCAGCTCCTGAGCTGCTTAGAGGCGATCCGAAGGTCAGGTAGCCGCTGCTGCTGCTGATGCTGATGATGCTGCTGCTTAAGCAGATGCTGATGTAGAGGTAGCAGCACAGCGAAACGGAATTTTCGTCGCACTTGCTGCTGCGTCTTCTTCTACCTAACTCTTTTTGTGGCCCCCATGCATCTGTTGACTGCTTCTGTGTGCATTTGACCATTCGTAGTTGCTGCTATATGGCAATGCCGGTCCCTCTGTGTCTGCTGCCGGTGCTGCTGCTGCCGGTGCTGCTGCTGTCTCTTGGTGGTGCGGTGTTTTGCGTTGTTACTTCTTCTGGTACCGGCCCCATTATACTCGCCGCTGGTCGTGTGACTCTTTGTTATTGATTCTTTCTTTGCTCCTGTTTCTGCCTTTGGCTTTGTCCCTAGCTTTGCCTCTTCATTGCTTTGCCTCTTCATTTGCTTTTGCATCTTTATCTGTGTTTGTTCCTTTACTCGCGCTTATGTCTCTATCTGCGCTGTTTCTTTAGCTGTCTCAATTTCTTTCCTTCTTGTTTAGTGCCTTTTTGTCTGCTCTGCTTTTGCTTTTCCCCTGGCTCTCTCTGCCTTCGTTTGTGTCTTTGTCTGTTTTGTCTTGTTCTGTTCGCTGCCGTGCCATCCTTCAGCTTCTTGTCGTATCTGTCTTCATTCCTTAGATTCCTGCTGCTGGCTGACGGCGACTTCACCTCCCAGCTGCTCGACGCGGCAGCTCAGCAGCAGCAGCAGCAGCACGGTGGAAGCATTTCTCTGCAGCCCCTCATCCTTTCGGCCATTGATACAGCAGCGCGGCAATGTAAGAGTAGTAGAAGCAGTAGTAGGAGTAGTGGTAGCAGTAGTAGTAGCCAGAGCAGCAGCAGCAGCGGTCCTGTCTCCGTGTGTTTCCTTTCGTTTGCTCAGGCAGCAGCGGAGCCAGTCTATTTGCTGCCGCTCCTTCTCTGGCATTCGCTTTAACGGCGCGCTTTCCTCACACATCCTATCTGCAGCAGCAAAATACCAGCGGCAGCAGTGGTGGCAACAGCAGCAACAACGCTTGCAGCGCTCTGTGGAGGGGCCTCGTGCTGCACCTTCGGATTGAGGAACCTCTGAGATTCTTCATTGGCGACGAATTGCTGCAACTGTGCCACAAAATGTTTGCTCTCCTCTGGAAGTTAGCGCTAGATGCTGCTGCTCCCGCTGCTGTTTTATTGCTGCTTTACATGCTGCTGGACCTGGCCAGTTGCTTCACGCGCTGCTGCGTGTGTTGCAGCCCACCCTCTTAGAGCGATTGGCCCTTTTGTAGTTGCGGCTGCTGGTGCCGCCGCCCCTACTGCTGCTGCGACTGCCGTTATTGGTACTGAAATGAGGCGCCTTGTATGATGACGTTTTCTGCACACAGGAGTCACCAGACCCACCGCCAGCTGCACTCCGCTTGGCTACGGGGCGGTTCGTTGCAGAAGCAACTGCGACAGCAGCAGCGCGCTGCGGCGGCGGCAGCAGCAGCAGAACGTGCATCAGGGGCAGCCGCCGCCGAACGGAGTCTGGTTTCCCGGGCCACTGCAGCAGCGAGGGAGGAGATACTTATCATGCAGATCGCGCAGGTGCATCTCCCGTTCTGTTTGTTGTTCTTTGGCTTTAGTGCCTTTGCTTTTTGTACCATCCCTATTTGCTCTTTGTTTCATACATTATTTTGTTGTGATGTCTCGTGCCCATGTTATATTGTTTGCTTCTTTCCGCTAGCGTGTGCTGTCTTTGTACTTTTAAGAAGCTGTGTGCAGGAAGAAGACGCACAAACAAAGCAAAACAATGTGAACATTGTTTGATTTGCTTCGCGTTTATAGTCTGCCTGTTGTCGCCACTTGTTTTGTTGTTTTGTTGTGGGTTTTGTTTGTCTTATGTGCTGCGGATATTGCTGCTTTTTATTGTAATGACTTGAAGCACAATGGCACAAATAATAATAATATTATTCGAGTTGTTCGTTTGTTTCCCTTTCAGTTAACGCATCTGCTCAGCGAGATGTTGCACTTTTCTCGACATTGGCTCGATTTCGCCCACCAGGACATCCTCCGCCCTAACTGGACCCACCTCTACAAAGCCATCCCCAAGTCCGAGAAGGAGCAGCAGCTAAAGTAGTAACAGCAGCAGCAGTAACTTGAGCAGTACCAGAAGCAGCAGCATCTAGAGTAGTAGAAGCGGCAGCAGTGCCTAAAGTAGTAGTAGTAGCAGCAGCACCTACAGCCACAGCAGCAGCTACAGCGGAAGCTGCAGCAGCACCAGCAATAGACTCTCAACAGCAAATGCCGTTGCATTAGAGTTTTAGCAGCAATTGTGCTGCTGGTGCTGTTGCTCCATTTGGTCTCAGGTGTCGCGACGTCGATGAATTCCTCGAGCTCTTGTGGCAGTGCATTCAGCAGCAACACGTACGCTCTCGAACTCCGCATGCTGTTGTAATTTGCTAGTGTGACAGTTGTTCTTTTTTTTTTCATTTGTGCTCCTGTTGCTGCTGCTCCTCTTACTCTTGATAGTGTGGATGCTGGTGCTGTGGCGGCAAAAGCTCCCAGCAGCTCAGCTGCAGCAAGGCAGCAGGCGCTGCAGCAGGCGGTGCTTGTGTTCCTCTTCTTAGGATGGACTTTTCCTATACGGCGAAAAAGAAGCAGCAGCAGCAGCTTCTGCTGCTGCTGCTGGTGGCAGCGGCAGTATTAGCGTGCAGCTGCACAAACTCATTCAGGAGATGCATGATACCTGCTCATCGATGGCATCCCGAGCGGTCCTGCTGCTTCCACTGCTGCTACTCTTGCTACTGTTACTGTTGCTGTATTTCCTGTTGCTTCTACTGTCGCTTCCGTTGCTGCTACTGTCGCCGACAATGCTGCTGCTGCTGCTCCTGCCAATACCACTGGTATTACTGCTGCTGGCGCTGCTGCTGCTTCTCTTCTGCTGCTGTATTCTCATGGTGTGGAGAGCCAGAAGGTCTTCATGTTGCGCTTTCAGGAGTTTCGATTTGCTGCGGCAGCAGAGGAGCAGCTTCGAGGGCCCCATGAAGATCTGGCACCTGCTGACGCAGCAGTCAGCAGCAGCAGTAGCAGCAGCAGCATGATTATGGTTGAAGAGCAGCGACAGCTGTTCCGGCAGCAGGTGTTGCGGCTGTTGCTCCTGCTGGACTCAAAACAGAGTGAAGTCCGAGCAGCAGCAGCAGCTGCTGCGCAGGCAACTAGTAGCAGCAGTAGCAGCAGCAGTAGCAGAAGCCGCATGCATCTGGACCACTGCATGGCGATAAGGTAATTCTCACGAGTTAGTTTTGTGTGTGTGCCATTCTCCTGTTCTCGATATGCTTGCAGCGGCAACGACAGCGGCAGCGGCGGCAGCGGCGGCAGGCATATATGATCACAACGTTTTACTCGAATTTGTTATTTGTTGCTGCTTGGATCCTGTCCTTTGCTAGTGCTCCTCCTGTCTTCCGTTAGTAATTAATCAAATTCATATTTTTTTGTCTGTTTATTTGCTGCAGGTCTCTTTGCCTGCGCCTCGATTTCAACGACTTCTACGAACACCAACGCCAAATGCAGGCGGCTGCTCCGCATCAGCGCTGCGACACCGCGGTTCCGCGTTTCCCCTCGTTTTTGCTGCAGCAGCAGCTCAGTGCTGCCACCACAAGCAGCAGCAGCAGCAGAAGTAACAGCAACGCCCGCACGTCGGACAAGAGGTCCGATGGCTTCAACACCACCCCACGTGTATTGAACACCGATGAAGCAGGAGGTGCTCTGCCTGGGGGGCCTGTGTTTATCTCCAAGCTGCAGCAACAGCTGCAGCAACAGCAACAGCAGCCCTTTGCTGAGGAGCTCACGCGGCCACCCACAGCGTGCGAAGCCTCAGGGCCGTCGTCTCCGCTTCCGTAAGCCGGAGAGGCAACAGCGACAGCAGCATCACAAGTAGAAAAACATGCTCAGAGAAGCTTTTGAGTCCTTTCACTTCGGTCACTTTGCCTGTATTTGCTTCATGCCGATTTTTTATTTTGCTGCTCTCGAGGGAAGAAGAGAGGGGAATAGAGAGAGTGAAAGGAAGCAAACAGACGACGCAAAACCACCCCTTCAGTTAAACCGATTTAATCACCAAACGGCGAGGAAACCACCCAGGCAGCCGGCGTCAGTAGCTGCTGCTGCGGCTGCCCTTCCTGCAGTTGCTGGTTCAAGTGCATCAGCTGCTGCTGCACAGAGGCAACGCCATACGCTGCGGTCGCAGAGCAGCAACGTTGACAAACAAGGACACTGTCAGCACCAGCAGTGCAGGAGTAACAGTATCATCAGAAAAAGTCGCAGCATAGGGGCAGCAGCAACACCAGCAGCACTGTACATGTAGGAGCAGCAACAACCACAGCAACAACTGTGTGGGAGCAAGAACAGCTGCAGCACATGATTAGGAGCGAGAGACGTAGAAGTAGCAGCAAGTAGGTACGAATTCCATTCTCCCAGTTACACGGGTTTTGTTTGCTGATTATGTACGACAGCCAGGATGGAGCGTCCGCTGAAACACACTGCAGGGGTGGTGGACGGCTGCTGGTAATCGGCTTATGAACTTCTGCTTCATTTCAACACTTTCTGAATTTCTCCGTCGCTGCAAGAAGAGGCTTTCTCCCCTTGGGCGTTCTGCCTTGTCTACTGCAGGGGGCCTCTCTTCGACCAAGCGCTAATTATTATGGGTGTGGTTTGTTCATTTTCAAATGTGTTAAATTTATTCATTACTTACTATTAACTGATTTCATTTGCAGTGCGCCCTTCCCTTCCGTGTTCTTGTAGCTGCGACTACCCCCAACCACAACCCCGGGGGGCTCAGCTGCTGCTGATCCCCAACTGTTTGTTTCTTCCTGGATTCGAGCGTTTGTTTGCCGTGTTAAAATATCCTTTTCATGATTAAGGAGGTTTTCACTTGTGAATTTCATCATATATCACAGGCATGCAGCTGCAAGGACTCCTCTGCTGCGCCCCTAAGCCCTCACAGAGGGCCTTAGAGCAGTAAACCCTGTAGCTAGCCAGGCTGTCTAATGTCATTAGTTTGCTGTCGATACAACAGCAGCAACAGAAATAACAGAATAAGCCACAACAGCAGCAGCACCAGCTCGCCTGCGTGTATGCTGCTGCTGTTGCCTCGGTGCTGCAAACCTCACCACAGCAGTCCTAGATGCAGCACCAGCAGCAGCAGACACTAAAGCATGAGCCGCGGAGATGCTGCAGCTTCTGTCACGTGCAACGCCGGTTGAACTGAGCCCAGACAGTTCGCTCCAGCACGGCAGATGGGGCCACCCTGGCCCACGGATGGGCATCCCCCCCATGTTGCCGCTGCTACAGAAGCAGCAGCAGGTGTTGCTTCCCATTCCTACCTCGATAGCGGCGATGAGGAGGAGCAGCAACTTGCTGCTGCAGTGCAGCAAGTTGAGAGGCCTCTCCCAGTAGACTGTGGCATATCAACTCCGAGCAGCACTCCCCGCACGGAACGCCGCAGCAGCACAGGCCTTTCTGCTGATGTTGCTACTGCCGCTGCTGATAAACACGACAGTGAATCTGCCGCTGTTTTTACAGGTGCCCCTCCCCAGCTTCCGCTCCATTTAACGCCGCAGCAGTCGCAACAACAGCAACAACAGCTACAGCAGAAGCATCCAATACAGCCACAACAGCAATGGCCACAAGAAGTGCTGCTATACAATCATGGCAAGCAGAATCAGCAACAGCAGGGGCAACAGCAGCCCAAACTGGATCTTATTCTGGTGCAACCGCCACGCGTTGAACAAGATGCAGCGGCAGCAGGTACTCCTGCTGTCGTTGCAGCGTCGGGTAGCCATGCGGACATGAAGGATGCGGCAACAACAGCCGCAGTTGCAGGAAACGCTGCAACGGCTGTTGGTGCCGCCAGTGCAGGAGTAGTGAATGACCCCGGCGGGCTGAAGGAGCAGATGGCACTGCTGCAGGTTGCAGCTGCAGCAAAAGATGCTGCACTCAACTTCGTAAGGCGGCAGCTGATGAGAGAAAAGAAGAAAGCAGACGAGCACAGGCGGATAAACAGAAAGGGAGGAAAGAGGAGGAGACGCCAGATATACTTGTGCAGAATGCCACAGATAGCATCACACAGATAGGTAGAGCAGCGGTAGAAGCAGCAGTAGCGGCAGCAGCCAGGGCAGCAGTAGCAATAACGAATACGGGGAGACAGAGACATACGGAGGCCAACACAAGCTTGCTGAGCCTGCTGAACAGCAGTTAGAAACAAAGAGCGGCACATGAAACAGGTAACTTGGGGTTGAGCGTCTAGGTTTCGAGAGTTGTCTTTGCTTTGGTTGCTTGTCAGGAGAGAGAGCAGCGGCAGCAGCTGCAGATGGAGCTAGCTGAGGCGCGAAGGGAACTACTGCAACTGCGTCAGCAACACGAACAACAGCAGCAGCAGCAGCAGTTCCTGTTACCACATCTAGGCGTTGGCGTGGATGTGCAGCAAACGCAAACCCACAGGCTGCAGCAGCAGTTGCTGCAAAAGGACCAGCAGCTCAGGGGCCTTGCTACCGCACTCGACAGCTTCAGGGCGCAGAGCAGAGCGGCAGCAGCAGCCCTGCAACAGCAGCTGCAGCAGGCGTTTGCACGGATGGCTGAGGTGTGCTCTGGTTCGCTGTAGGGATGTTCCTGGCGTTGCTGCAGTACTGCTGCTGTCGTCTGCAATTGCTGCTTCTGCAGCGGGCTGCTGCTGCGGAGGAAAAACCTGTGCTGATAGCTGCTGCTTCTGTACTTGGCTGAGCGCTGTTGCTGTGTCGAGGTGCTGCTGCTGTGGTTTGCTGCTGCAGGCAGAAGCGGAAGCGACGGAGAGCCAGCGACAGACGCAGGTGCTGCAACAGCTGGCTTCTTCCTTACAGCAGCAGCTCGCAGAGCTGCAGCAGCAGCACGCTGCTGCTACTGAGGTGCGAAGTACCCTGCAGCAATCTCTGCAACAGCAACAGCAGAGCAACGTGCGGCTGCAGCAGCAGCTCGCGCAGCAGCAGCGCATTCGTCACGAGGTGCAGCAGCAACTGGAGGAGCAACGGCAACAAGTCGATCTGCTCCAGCAGCGAAATGAGGAACTTCAGGAAGAAGCAGCAGAGTATCGCCGCAACGCCGCCGCAGCCGTAGCAGTGGGGCCTGCCGCTGTTACTGCTGCAGCTGGAGGAGGGGGAGAATCGGACGGCATTGCTGCGTTGCTGCAGCTCGAGCGGCAGCTGGCAGCTGAGCAGTACGAGCAGCAGTTGCAGCAGCAGCTTGAGCAACTGCAGCAAGTGCAACAAGAGAAAGAGCAGCATTATCGTGAATTACAGCAGACCAAAGCTGAGCTGCAAGAAGCACGCCAGCAGATACAAATGTACCAGGAGCAACAGCGGCGGCACCAGCAACAAGAGGATGAGCAGCAGCAGCATCAGGCCGACCTAACGCAGCAGCTGGCGGAGCAACAGCAACAGCAACGGCAGCTGCTTGCGGAAAGGGACCGATTTGTTGCTGCTATTCGCCTACTGCAGCAGCGCTGCGATGGGCAACAGCACCTACAGGAGGGTCAGCAACGAGAGGACCCCCAGCAGCAGCAACAGCAGCATGAAGAGCAACAGCAACAGGTTGCAAACGTAGAGACACTGCAGCAGGAAGTGAGATCCCTTGTATCTGTCAACGCTCAGCTTTCTCAATGGATTCGCCGGCTCCTGCAGCTCGTGCTGCAGCGGCTGCATCACGTTGGCAGCAGCGACGAGCGTAGCACCAGCAGCATCAACAACTCTCTGCAGCAGTCCTCGGCAGCGGGAGACGCAGAGCTGCGCGAGAACCTTAACGAGCTATTATGCTCATTGCAAGAGCAGCCACTCAACAAAGAGCTTACGTTGAGCTTGTCGTCCTATATGGACAAGCTGCAGCAACAGCGACAGCAGCAGTGGGTTCCAAGACGCCGGAGAGCGCGATCCACTTCTCCCAACCGTGAAGAAAAGGCGAGGCTGCCGTTGCGCAGCAAGAGCAGCAACAGCAGCAGCAATGACCGCAGCAGCATTAGCAGCAACAGCCGCCGGAGCAGCAGCGGGCCTGATCTCGAGGCGGTTGCTGACAGCGCTGAAGAGCATCAGGCAGCGGCGCTGCTCCTTTGGCAGCAGCAGGTGCAGCGGAGAAAGCAGTTATCAGAAGCACTTGAAGCTGTAGATCTCGAGACGTTGAACGAGCCCGAAAAGCAGAAGCAGCAAGTTCCAGAGGTTGCTACAGTGGGCGTGCAGACGGAGGGCGAGCCATCGCGAAGTGGAGGTCCTTCTGAAAGTCAAAGGCAGCACCAGGAACTTGAGCAACTTCAGGAGGAGCTTGGCCGGCTGCAGCTTCAGCTGCGGGAACAGAAACAGCTGCAACAGGAGTGGCAGCAAAAGGAGCAGGAGTGGCAGACAGAGCACCAAGAGCTCAGAAAGGCCAAGGTGTTGCACCGCTATGCTGCTATTGCTGCTGTTGCTGTCGCTGCTGCCTCTGTAGTTGTTGCTGTTGTTGCTTTTGCTGCTACTGACATTTTCGTACATGATTCGTCTGGAGCGTGTGATCTGCTGCTGCCGCTGCAGGAAGCAGAGAGCGAACGGGCAGAGACGGTGCAACGGGAGTTGAAAGTAGCACAAGTGCAGCTGCTGGAGTCCCGTGAGGCACAGCAGCAGCTGCAACAACAGAAGGAGACGGAACAACAGCATTACGAGCAACAGCAGCAAGAGCTACAACAGCTGAAGTGCCAACTTGAAACAGCGGAATCAGCGCTGCAGCAGCAAAGGGAACACTATGAGGCGGTCCTTGAGTTGAGCAAAAACCGTGCAATTGCAGCACAGACGCAGCAGACGGCTAAGCTGGAGATGACCTCTGTTGCAGTGCAGACAACGGAACAGCAGCAACAGCCGCTACTGCAGCAGCAGGCAACCCAAACCGAATTGCCGCACCTCATGGCAGACGTCTCCACTTCGGAGTCTCAGACAGAGTTGTCGCTTCTGGAACCATTGCTGCAGCAGCAGCAGGCAAGTTCTGCTGCAACAGTAGGAGCAGGAGGGGGATCGACAAAGGTGAGAACCTGTGAGGCCGAGACCCAAACGCCTTTGCAGCAGCACCGCAGCGTGAAGATACAGTGCAACAGGAGCAAGCCAGTGGGAGGTGGGTCAGATACATCAGCAGCAGCAGCATTAGCAGCAGCTGTTGCTGGTTCCCCTGTTGACACACTTGATGCACAGACCCAGGTAAACCCGGCAGACTTGTTGCAGGAGGAGCAGCTAGAGAAGCAGCAACAGGAGCAGGATGCAGAGCAGGGCTCCTTAGGTGCACCAGCTGTAGAGAACAAAAGTGAAGGGTTAGGCGCGCCCTCTGTTTGTTGTCACCGAGCTAATGACGGCAGCAGTAGCGGCAATCGCAGCAGCAGCAGCAGCAGCATAAGTAGCAGCACGGCGCGGCTGAGAGGTCGTCGAAGCATTTCTTGGGTGCAGCCAAAAATGATGCCTACCCGAAGAAGGCGTTCCTTATCATCATCAGCAGCTGCAGCTGCAGCAAGCGCTGCTGATGGAGACCGATGCTCGTGCCGCTGCTGTAGGAGGCGCCAAAGGCTGCATCGTTCTCTGCTCCATGCTGCCGGCGATTGTGCCGATGCAGGCACGCTTCAAAGGGGGCGATCTCGCACACCAACGCAGCAACAAAGCCATCAGAGCAGCACCCGGAGCAGCAGCAGCAGCAGCACTGGAGGCGACGGGCTTCAGCTAAGAGGGAACTTCACATATCGTGCAAGGCGCCGACCCAAAGGAGCATTGCAGCAGAAGCAGCAGCACCAATTACAGGACAGCGAGTCTTCGTTGGCAATGAGCTCACCTACAAGCCGCTACATGCGCAGGCTGCTGAAGCAGCAGAATCAGAAGCAGTGGCAACATCAGCAGCACAAGCATGCGGTTTCCGTACATCCAGTAGAAGAATTTGTCGATCTGCTGAAGGAGGTCGACGGCATCGCAGATCCTGCGGCACCTCCTCCGCGCTTCCACCGCCAGCAACATATGCAACAGCAGCAGCACGACGCAGCATCTTCTGCACCGTTTGCAACAACTGCACAGCGCGCTACCAGTCAGCAGCATCTGCAGCAGGGAAGAAGGGGCCGAGCAGCAAAGCGCAGCCCAAATGCTGCGGCGTCACCGGGCGACGAGGACATCGAAACCACGAAGCAGGGGCAGGTGCAAAAGCAGGAACACCTTCTGGATCTGCAAAAGGAAGCTGCACTGGCTTTTGTTGCAGTGCTGGCAGCAACTGCTGCAGGAGGTGGCTGCCGGCTGGTTTGCTGTGCATGCGGCGGCTTCTTTGCCTGTATGCATGCTGCGCAAGCTGCACTAACAGAGACAGTTGCGATGAAGGGCGCGGCAGTGAACACTACATCTGCTGCTGCCGTTGCTGCTGAGAAGCTTGGCGGCTCCTTAGCTGCTGGGGACCAGTGCAGGGGCCTGATGTGGGATACGTCCCTCCTTAAGAAGGAGCAGCGGCTGCTGCTGCCTCGCTGGCTGCAGCCTTGCTCCTGCCCTTTGCATGCGCACGGAACCTACGTCCGCGTGCCTGCGATGGGAGACGGAGGTGCAGGGGCAGCAGCCACGGCGGCATTTAGTGCTGCTGCTGCACCAACTGTTCCGCATACACAGCTGCTGAGCAGTGCAGAAGTGCAGCGGGTCTTGCAGCATGATCTGCTGCTGCAACAGGAGCTTGTGCTAGCCCAGAAGCAACGGCAGGAGACAGAACAGCAGCTTCATAGACAGCAAAAGAAACTCACCGACACTGAGCAGCAGCTGCAGCAACTGCAGCAACTGCAGCAGCATGCGGTGGCAGCAGCAAAATCCGCTAAGGCAGAGGCATATTCGGCAGCCCGCAGAGGCCTTGCTGCTGTAGCTGCATGTAGAGAAATGTTGCAGCAGCTGCGGTCTCTGTTCAACGACCTTTTGAAGGGTCTGTCTCCCAACGACCAGCAGCATCATCTGCAGCAACTGCTGCAGTTGTTGCAGCAAAGCGGCAGCAAGCTACCTGATGTTCCTCTCGTCCCCTCGTTGTTGCTTCCAGATCGCCGTCTTATTTCTTGGCTGCTGCAGCAGGTGAGGAGTTTCCTGTCTGTTGCTACACCTGCTGCCGCGTACTGCTGCACATGCTGCAACCCCCTGGAACTGCCTTTCCTGTGTTGTCGACGCAGGTGTGGCAGTGTCTCTATCTCTTCGTTGTTGGCCAGAAGCAGGTTTCGCGTCTGCAGGTGCAGGATCAGAAACAGTTACTGCAGACGCAACAGCAGAGACAGCTACAGGAGCAGCAGCAGCTTTGGCAGGCGCAGCAACAGCAGGTGATGCAGCAGCAGCTGCAGCAGCAACTGAAACGAGTGCAGCAGGAAAACCAGCAGCACTCCAAGACACGCTACATCGACACGGCTCTGCTCCTGCTGCAAGCTGACAAGCAGCAACTGCAGCAGCGGGAGCAATGGATGCAGCAGCAACAGAGGACTCTACAGCAGCAGCTCCAAGAGCGCGAGTTGCAGGTGCGCAATCAAGAAGAGGAGCTGCAGCATTTGCGTTTGCAACAACAAAAGCACGAGCAGCAGCAGCAACGGCTGCACTCAGAACTACAAGAGCACCAGAGAGACGCAGAAGAGACTATCTCCCGGCTGTCAACTCGTTTGAGGGAGCTTCTAGTGAGTTGTTGCATTCCTACTGCTGCTCTTCCTGTTGCTGGTGCTGCTGCAGATGCAGTGGTAGCATCAAGGGAGAGGCTGCTGCGTGTGTCTGCGGAACCGCGGCGACCAGCTTGCTTCTGTCCGTCTCTACTGCGTTTCAGGCTGAACAAGACTCCGCTAAAGAGGAGCAGCAGCAACAACAACAACGATTCCGTAGGGCAGAGCAGCAGCTGCGGCAAGAGCAGCGAATTCTGCATGACGAGCAGCAGCGCCTGCTGCAGCAGCAGCAGAAACAGCAGTCGTTGCTGCAACGGGAATATAGACAACTTGATGAGGACAGGCTCCACCTGCAGCAACAGCAGCGCGAGTTCGACGCACTAAGCGAGAAGCTACAGCAGGAGCAGCAGGATGTGCAGCAACAGCAGCAACAACTGCACCTGCAGCAGCAGGAAGTGCAACGCCAGCAGCTAGAGCTGCAAGAGCAGCGGCACTCGGTGAACAGGCGAGAATCCGAAATGCAGAAACAGCAACTGCTGTTGTTGCAGGAGCAACACGCGCTGGAAGAACGAAGACGGTGCTTGAACCAGAGCGAAAAAGACCTGGAGAAGGTGAAGGAAGGCCTGCGACGGCAGCAAGAGGACCTCCAGCAGCAGCAGCGCGCAGCCAGCGAAGTGCGCCAGCAAGCAGAAATTCAACAGCGTCGTATTGCTGCTCAGGCGCAGCAGCAGAACCGGGAAGCGGAACGCCTTGGCCGTGAGCGAGAGGTTCAACAGCAGCAGCTGAGGTTGCAGGAGCAGCTTTTGAAGCAGCGGCAAAGTGATATCGACCAGCAGCAACAGCGACTGGTGGATTGTGAGAAAGAGCTCGCCGAAAAACAGCTGCAGCAGCAACAGGCCTTGCAGCAGCAGCAGCAGCTACTGCAGCAGCAGCTGGAGGAGCTAGAGATGCAACGGAAGCAGCTGGCTGTTCGCGAGGAAGGGATTGTACATCTCCGCCGGGAGCTGGAGCAGGAGCAGTGCAGCAGGAGGCAGCAGCAGCAGCAGCAGAAACAGCACGAGCAGGGGACTTCAGCAGGCGGCACGCCGCCAGCAAAGCAGGAGCTGCAGCAGGTCAGCATCACATCCAGGTGCTTGCCTGTGTGAGATTTCATCAACTGCTACAGCGCAGGCAACCCTCAACAGCTATGTAGTTAGTTTTTCCAGCCTGCTGCTACTACTTCATGGGTTGTTTCCTTTGCGGCTGGTGCTTGCGGTCCTCAGGAGCAATACAGAGAGATAATAAAGCTGCAGCAGGCTAACGTGGAGCTGCAGGAGAAGCTGCTGGATGCTCAGCAGCAGCAGGAAAAAGCCAGGAGCAGCTACGTGCAACAGCAAGAGCAACTGCAGGCTCTGCAGCAGCAACTGGATCAGCAGCAGCAGCAGGCAGCACGGGAGATAGCACAAGCGCAGCGCGACTGCAAGGAGCTACAACAACAGCAGCAGCGACAGCAGCAGCAGTACACTGTTGAGCTACAACATCTGCGACAGCAGTGCCGGAACCTCCAACAGAAAGAGAAGCAGCACAGGTGTGAACGAGACGCCGTGAGCTCGCAGCTGCAGCACCAGCTGCTGCGGCAGCAGCAGCAGGAGGAACAGATGGTGCAGCAGCGGCAGAAGCTGGAAGCAGAGCTGCAGAAGCAGGTGTCCACGGCAATGCAGCTGCAGCTACAGCTTGCCGAATCGAAGCAGCGACTACAGGCGCTGGAGGAGCGAGGCGAGAAGCAGACGCAGCAGCAAGTTATGCAGCCGAACAAGGATACTGCCGAACAACAGCAGCTGCTGCAGCAACACATGAGTGATGCGTTTATGCATGCAGAACGAACCCTCAGTTGCTGCGCGCTGCTAGATACTCAGCTGAAGCAAATCCAAACGGAACAGAGTGCGGAAAAGGAGCAGCACCCAGATGACCGCTCCAGCCCAACTTCCCCTGTTGTTTTCCAGACATTAGAGCAACTCTACCAGCTGCAGCAGCAGCTGCTGCTGTTGCAGCGTTTTATTACCGACACAAGGGAGGAGGAGGTGACGACTGCAGCAGGCAGCAGTAACAGCAGCAGCGACAGCACTCGCCTTGGCTCATTCATCGCACCGCAACAAGCACTTGCTGACCCCGATCTAATCAACTGTTCTCCTCCTGTCACGGAAGGTCTCTTCGTGCAGCAACAGCACCAACGAACAGATCAGGGACAAGAGCAGCTGCTCCGGCGCGAGCTTGCGAGTCTTCGTGATGAGTTGCATACGAAAACTCGTCAGCTGCTGCAGAAGACAGATGAGCTTTCTTCAGCCCGCCTGAAACTGCAACAGCTGCAGCAGGAACAGCAATTGCACCAGGAGCAGGAGCAACATCAGACAGATGACGTGGAATCCAAGCAGACGCTTGGAGACGAGGTAGCGACGTTGAAAAGCATGCAGCAATTGCTGCAGCAATCCATAAAACAGCAAGCAGCAGAGCTGCAGCGGCGAGAGAAGAAGCTGCGGATCGAGCGGCAGCAGCTCGAGGCGGCGCAGGCTGAGCTGAAGCTGCAGCAGGGGACACTGCACGATAAGCAGCAACAGCTGCTGCTGCAGCAAGCCGCCCAGGAGCGAACGGCACGTGAGCAGGAGGAGCTGCAGCGGCGCCTAGAGAAGCACACTTTTCTCCTGAGGCAGCAGGCGCCGAAGGCGCAACATCGGCATGGGCAGGTGTCACAAATTCCTCCTGAGGAGGCAGCATGGACTGAGCACCAGCACAAAGAAGGCGTTACTGGTGGTGAAGTGGAACCTGAGAAGCAGCAGGAGGAACTGCTGCTGCAGCAGCTGGAAGAGCATCATGGGCCACCTGCTGACAAGGTTCTGCAGCATCATGGTGATCAGCATGCACTGCTTCGGCAAAGTCTTGCAATGGAACGAGGCCTTCTGCAAACCGTTTACGCACATATTCAAGAGGAGCAGCGCATGCTGCAGCAGCAACAGCAACAACACCAAGAATCAGACAGTCGCGTGGCGCAGCTTAGCGAGTTTGTCTTGATGACTGTCAGAGGATATGCGCGCTTCTTTAGTTTCCACTGCAGCGGAGACCTTAGCAGCAGCAGCAACAGCAGCAACAGCAGCAGCAGCGGTAGCTACGAGGGGAGCAGCCGCACAGGCGATTTGCTTAGCAGCAAAGCCCTCTCCAACTCTTCACTTTCCCACATGCAGACCTCCGATCAAGAAGCAGAAGAAGACTCAGGTGCTGCAATTTGCCCCACGGCGCCGACGGTGCAGCAGCTGATGGATGCTTTGGCCCTGCGAGATCATTCGAGTGCACACGTTCCCCAGCAGCAGGAGCAACAACAACAGCAGGACTGCGCGACAAGCCCCATGTACCTGTCCGTCAGCGGCGTGTCTCTAAGCGCATTGCAGCAAGAGGACATCGCTTTCCTAGAAGCATTTGTTGCTGGCCTCCACCGGCTTGTGCTGCGCTGCGCCGCTGCTGCTCGGCGCTCACAGAAAAAGACGCCGCCTTTGACGGGCGCAGAAGCTGCAAATACAGGCGCGGACACGGCAGTTGAACCAAGAGAGGGTGCAGAGGTGGCAGCGGCATCTGCAGCAGATCGTAAGCTGCAACAGCTGGTCCTGCGGAAGGAAATTTCCCTTTCGCGTATAAGCGAACCGAATAACAATGCTGCTGCAACCCGAGTAGCAGGAGAAGCAGTATCAGGTGATACCGACTATGCTGCAGTGGATCTCCTGCAGCGTCAGAAGGAACGGAAGAGTGGCAACGACCCAGGGCTGCATTCGCCAAAATATGTTGCTGCACTCCATGAGCAAGAGGATGGCGGCTTTTCGCTACCCACAGATAGTCCTTTTGCTCATAATAGCAACAGCAGCGGCAGCAATGGCAGTAGTAGAAGTGGCGGCAAGAACCCACAGAGGCGTTGCAGAAACAGCTGCAATAGAGGCAGCAGCAATCCAGACGGACGCGCTTGCGGCATGCTGCAGCAGGTTCCCTTGTTGAGTAGCGCTTCTCCTCGGATAGCTGTGCAGCAAAGTCTAGTGCCGCAGGGTTGCCACGCACGTAGTGCAGCGGCGAGCGGAAGGGCATCGGAAACAGCAGCAGAAGCAGAAACAGCAGAAATATCTGAAGATGAAGCTTCTGCGCCAACTTCCCAGATGCGGGTTAGCTCAAGACACGGGAAGCAGCAGCAGCAGCAGCAGCAGCAGCAGCAGCAGCAGCAGAAATCCCAGCAGCACAGTGCACAGGAGTTGCTGTCGCGGCAACCCTGGACAGGTGTGGTTACAGCAGCACCTGCTGCGGCTGCGTGCTCGCCAAAGCGGGAGACGCCGTCATTTCCTCCAGTGCCTGACAAAAGGGGCACTCACCGCAGCAGCAGTGCCAGCAGCAGAGGGAGCAGTAGAGGTACATCAACCGGGGAACTGGAGCGGCTACCGGAGAGAAGGCGCTCAGCTGCAGAGGCAGTGGCAACAGCGGTACCAGCAGCAGCAGAAGGGGAGGTGTCATCCCTGACATATGTAAGAATTTCAACCGGCAGCGGTGACCAAGTGTTCCTTGCCGAAAGAAGGCCTTCAAGTTCCCCTGCATCAGAGGCCACAGAAGATGGCTCGGACTTCACGCTGTCTGGGCTCTCCAGTGTCTCTGTCTCAGGCTGCTCTTCAGAAGACGGCCAGCTTCGACAAGAGAGAAGGGTGATACAGAAGTGAAATTTCCGGAACCGTAGCAATGATGCAGCAATGCTGCATCATCAATGGAAGATCCACGGGTAGCATGCTCCTGTATGCCTCAAGAGCGGCTTCAGAGCGCACTCACGCATTTTTTCATGTGATTATTTGCTTATATGCTAGCTTGCTTCAATATTAGGTATATAAATGTCTGTGCGTTTAGCTTATATATATGTATATACGCATATTATATATATCTGCGCACAATTGGATAGCCTCTTTCGTATACTTGCATTTCATGATCCTGCGAAACTGCTCATATCGGTACGCAAGAACTTGACATACCTCTTCTTGGCAGACTTTTTCAGCGTAGTTAAGCAGCCGCGACACAGAGCTTATAGAGGCTTCCTTTGTTTCCTGGGTCGCCTAAAGCTGAAGCTCAACTCCCACAGCTCTGCAGTTTAAATGAATCAACTTTGATGCCGACTACTTAGCTTTTGGGGTTAGGCCGAACGCAAAAACGTTAAGACAAGCGAAATAGAGAGCATTTCCAGTGAGGTATGCACGCCTATACCTGGCTATGCATGTAAGGCGAGGCGCTGATCTCACCGACTTCCGAACGGGGAGTGAATTTCGTTTACTGAACAGCGTATATCCGCTTGTAACTTCATCTTCTGTTGCAGTTCAGAGCGAGCAGCTGCAACCAACGGCTTGAGCGTCTGGAGATGTGGGTTCGCCTTCATTCAAGCAGGGTGAAAATGAATCCTTGCAGTTTGCAGCGGCTTCTGCCAGACGGACATCTAGCGAACGTGTAACATGTATCAGGGTGTGACCGTGAGTACCTTCCGGATAAGTAGTTATGCCGAAGGAAAGTGCAAAGGAACAATGTTCTTCTTCCCGATTGCCAAAGACTTCACAGTAGAGGTTGAAGACACCTCAGTCCTACAACCCTACATGAGGTGCGTTTTCACGAGAACAGGCAGACAGTGATGCAACATCTGCATGGACAAACATGTATATTTTTCCCGGCACGCAGGCACACTGGGTACACTGCTCCAGACGGAAAAAAAAGAGCAGGGGCAACAGAAGCCATTCCTCCCGCACGCATGCAAATATGAATGCGGGTCAGCATGCACCAGGAAATAGCCTGCATATTCATGCATAAAAATGTACAGTTACACACACATACATGTTTGCGCACTAATGAAATGCAAACTGCCCCAAAGCAGACGAAAACACTAAGTGACCTGCTCACAGATGCACGGGTGTTTTGCACATTTATCCTTTCCCTTCAATTCAGTAAAATACGTATCAGGTTGTAGAAGCATGCTGTTTCTTCGAATGGGCTCGCAAAGCCCCATGACTCGGAGTCTGTTCTATAGTGTGGTGTCCAGATATGCACGTGCTCAGCTCGAGGCTTCGTCGGCCAAGCGTCTTGAAAAACATTTTAATAGACTTACTACGCCTCAGCTATAAAGAGGAATCACCGAGGAGGTGTGAGTGCATAAAGCGGAGTCCACCCTCTGCAAAAAGAGGTGCAGGTTTTGTGCGACACGCTGAGGGCACCTTTCCATCATTTTTTTTAATTACTCTTGCCCACTTCCCTGCTCCTTTGCAAGTTCCTTTCTCCTTTCTGCACTGCTCTGCCTACGCCTCCTGGTTGGCTGCAGCTGTGCAAAGAAGACTGCTGCAAAAGGAAGTGGCACAAACTACACAATGTCAGCCGAACGCGTGACGAAATTATTCTAAAGGAAAGAGCAGAAGCCACTAACATCAGGCCTAGAAAGAAAAAGGCAAAACTGTTTCAAAAAGGGTTGGGGACAACAGTCTGTTGGAGACGCATCGCCAGAAAGAGATAAGCTGACGGCTATCTCGAAGGACGCCCACAAGAGGGCGAGGGTCACTTGATAGTTACGAACGAACGGAACGGCAAAGATGCAGGGTCCAGAACTGCACGTTCGGTCAAATGACAAAACAGACCCGGCAACTAGGGACGGTAAACCTCAGTTGCATGTGTGCAAACAAGGATGTCCAAAAGAGTAGAAACGAAGCTCATGTTGAGCAAGATGATCACACATTCCACAACAAAGCAGGTGACAAACGCCCCGACTATGTCGGACAAGAGGAATGACAACAAGTGATACGGAATATGAATAGGAACATCACACGTTCGCGAAAAACGTGCGAAGGTCGGAAAGATACAACACACCACCAACTACTAATGTACACACAACAGCAGCACGCGAGTCAACCCTACGCGCAAACATCTCGAGCAATCCCAGGGGAGCACTATCGGAACTGGTGATCAACACGACGGAATGCATCAAACAGGTTGCATCTGTACAGTGGGCAACCGAACGGGAAAGGTGCTAAACTGTACCAAGTGGAGAGAAGACCAGGCAAGCTCCGGCAATGCAGAGTCCTCGCACGCCATTCTTACTGAACAGCTCTATACAAATGACAGCATGAAGGACCAAATTATGTTCAAGCAAGCCTGTGGGCACTATACATACATACTCCTCAGCCACGTAGCACCAAAGGAGATGCAGATCATACAAAAAGGATAAGAATCAAAAAGTCACGGAGAAGAACACACGCAGCCCAAGGGGATTGTGCGGCTATCGAGCTAACTGTTCAATGCCCTAACAAGCCAGTCAGGTGCTCTGCACCTTTTTCCCACATCTCTGGGCTATCTTCCAGCACGCAATTATGCAAGTGCAGCAAAAGATGACAAGGACAAAGCTGAGGGGCAAGGCCGCACAGAGAGCAGCTGCAACTCTGTGCTGAATAAAGGCTTCTTCGACTCTACAGGAAGCAATAGTTGCAGTAGCAACACAGAAACGCGCCTGTTCCCTTGTCATCGTGCGAACGTTTTTCATCAACTGTGCAGCCTGGTTCCCTGTGCGGGCCATATTTTTTTCGTGTCTGCTCAAGTGAAACTGTTCAAAATGACACTGTCCCGCACAAGCGATGTTCCGCTTGCTTAGAAGGATGAGACTACGTTCTACATATCCACAGAACAAACCCCAATACAGCAGCGAGCGGAACCGTCTCAAGACGTTTTCGGCAAACACAGGGCTGGCTTCGGCCTTAATGATACAATGCAGATCTTCTCTTGAAAAATGGTAAGACGGAGAGGAATTGTCTTCGCTGCTCCCCCGTGAAACTCTTGCATTGCTGGACTGGGAATTGGACCGTTTTCCCGTGTTTTTCCCGGTGCTCTGTCCTGCTGAATCCGTAGGGAGTCCCTGACCTACTCCAGAGTCCTGATCTCCAAAGCTGACCCAGGTTAATTCCTTTGCAAGGACGCTGAGACTGGAGATGATTGATGTGAACCTTGCAGACTGTATGGCGAGCAGATCAGAGTGGTCGTTCTGCTCGCCTGCTGAGAGTTTGTCAAGAGAAAAAACAGGCAGCGCAGGGAAGGCGGCCTGTTCAGGTGCAGATACACCCCGAGCTGAGGAGGGTGAGCTTTGCTTTTCAGACGCGGCTCCGCTATCAGGGACCCGCGCATCGCTGGAAGACGAAGCGGACGGCTCTTTGGCTTCAAGTCGATGACGAGTTGGGATATCAAACCCTGCATGGGCAAAGTAGAAATCCAGCATCAAGTTGAACGTAGGGGAGACATCTGCTCCGTTGTTTCGCGCCTGTGCTCGGACATTCAATACCAGTAAAGAAGAACCGTGGACCACGGTGAAAAGGAGCAGGCAAATGTGCAGCACGTTACCTAAGATGGCGACCACAGCTTTATACCTCTTTGGGTGCGCATGCGTCGAATATGTAATATACGGAAAGATAAGTCCGAGCACACAATTCAGAACGCAAAGAATAACTCCAACATGGCACATGAAAAAGAGGCAGCAAATCCCTATACTCAGCGATAAAAATCCCATCACAATTGGCAGCCAGCATAAATACGCACAGTTGGGCCCATGGTAGTCTGGCCGCAAACTGTATGACTCCATTAGATGAAGTGCCATCGTGGGCATCTCAACAACCCTTTTGCTAAGACAGAGAGACAGAGGAAGGCAGAGGCAGCAGAAAAGGAGCTGCATACAAAGAGGTGACCAGGCCCAAAAAGCCAGGCAGTGTCTCTCTACACAGCTGCCATGCAGCTAAGCGAAGCTCAAAATTTCTTTAAAAAAAAAACAGGTGGGTCAGAACTGTAGAACCCCGATGGTGGGCATATCGGGCCTGTTCTGACGCCACCACCACCCAGTTGTGAATGGGCACGCCTTGATGGAACCTTTTGAAAGGGAGAAAAAAGTAAATGCCTGCAATGAAAAATGAATTGTGGCACCACTTTGTCAGTAAGACAGGGCTTTTTTCAACCAAGCCCCGACCAGCACTGCCGCAACCACGAATGTGCCCGCAGCGCGACCAGTTCTGCTCCTTGGCTGTTCATATTCAACTGAGCTCAAGTTCAAAGAAACCATGTAAGAACACTTTCCCTTTTACTTTTAACTTTTAGTGTAGCACTATGCTTGGGTTTTGCTTGGCAAAGGGTCGCCAACAAGGAGGGCAATACCGATAAAAACCGCACAGCGAACCCCAAGGGGGCGGATAAAAGAGCCACTCCATTCATTCCTATTCAGGAAGGCACAGAACATCCAAGTGCCAAAGACTCCTACGTTCCTGGGGGAATTAATATTTGGAAGCGTTGTGACCAACTCCAAACGGGTGAGTTCCCTAATAACGGGTAGACAAGGTTTCGATGAGCACTTGTGGGTTCAGAAGCACAAGGCATACACAAAATACCGTCAGACTGTAGTACGAACGGTAAACTATACACCATACTTTCTCGCCAGTGTTTCCATACATACAAGGAGAGTGTAATCAGGATGTTTGATTTTAACAGGGGACCATCGTGAGATAAAACTGACTTAGAGCCCTGAGAGTAGTCTACAACCAACTGGCATCCCCTGGTGCCCTGGCTTCTTCTCCACAGCAGCACCAGGGAATTGTGGTTGGTCCAGATTGGAGACCGTCTATCCTGAATTGCCGCAAATATCACTGCAACTCCTTCATCAAGGCAGTATTAGATGCATTTATCCCCCTTTACAGCATGCACTAGCATAGCAAACAGCTACTAAACAATTCCTTGACATTCGATACCCAACATTAACAGCAGGTCGAAATTCAGTCAACAACTCCAGACGGGCCACGTTACAGAGAGTCATTGGTGCCAAAGAGCAGGCATATTTGGCGCCATCGAGTACACGTGAAGGTGCCGTTCTCAATCAATTTCATCGTTGTTTCAACATTTACATTTCATTGAAATAGTAAGCGCAGCGAGTTCTCTCCAAAAACACGTAAGACGAGAGAGCCCCGAATGCTTGGTGCTGCTTATGAAAAATTAAGCAGGGGACTGCTGAAGACAACAAAATGTTGGGCGATTGAATTCTCTGAAGTAGCTCTGATATTGACACTGACTGTGCTGAAAAGGTAAGACAGAATCTGCACAAGCTACAAAACAATAATAACTACTCCAATTCTCGACGTATCTCTTAGGTATTTCAGGCTCATCTGGCTCTGACTGAAGCGGACGGCAACTGTGCTCAAATAAGCGAGATGCAGGCAGAAGCTGCGGTCTTTCGCATGGACAGAAGCATCAAGCAACTTCGTGCAACCCAGGCAACTTGCCAGTTGCCAGTGATTGCTTCCGCAAGTATGGAAATGCCAATCTAGTTGAATCATTCACTATGCCGAGCTACGCGAAGGAGATATTGCTGAAAAAGCAACTTAATGACACACGTAAGACACGCCGTCTCTGTCTGCGTTCATGAGAATCCTTTCTGCAGAGAGAGATCCATTTTCACATCCCAACGGATAAACAGGCATTACCCAGGCCTAAAGGGAGGGTTGGAAGCTAGTCTCTGCATTCTCTTGTTGTCGTTTTTGATAAATTTGACACAATCCGCAAGGCATTTGATGGCGGCGCAGAATATAGCAAGGGACACTACGATTGCTATACACATCGTAGTCGTCGCTACCGAATCAAGGTTCTGCTGGCTGATTCTACATGTGGTCACAGTGGCAAGAAACGTGCACGCCTCAGCTTGTGCAGGAGCCATGCTATCCAGCGCCTCCAGAAATTCCTTGGCTTGCTTGTCAGTCTTCTCCGCATTGTTCCTGTATCTGCTGAAGTTTAATTTGTCGAAGTTGCAGTCCGTTGAACAGCTAATAGGCCACTTGCGGAGAACCGCGATAGAGTAGCGAGTGTATCCACAGAACAGCCCCCAATCCAAAAGCGCACGAAGGAGAGCTTCTGATTGTGGCAGAATTCCACTGTCGTAATTCATATCTATAAGGCATTCCAAATCTCCCTTGCTTACAAAAATGTTCTGCCTCGACTCCCAGGACTGACGCAGCACAGCTGGGTAAAAGGAAGAGTCTCCTCCTACAAGGAGCTTATCTGCCTTCTTTTTGGCAGTGCTAACCAAGGCGCTCATGGTTTTTCCAGAAACAGGCATTTTCAGTGCCTCACCGCTCGTCGACTCCCAACTGTTACCCACATGACCTGACTCAGTATGTTGCACAGCCGCCTCACTATTTGCACTCTCCTTAATTGGCTCTCCGGAAGTCGTCTGCCTTGCTTCAATATTTGCACTGTCTTCCAGCAAACGGGAACTGACAGACGTACTAGTTGTGCTAACTGGCTCTTCATCTCCTGCTCCTGTCAAGGCCCGGAGTGCCTGCTTCCCCGAAGTTCCCCGAGAGCCCATTGTTCTCCCATCAAATAGCGGTATAACACCAAGGCCTTTAGACACTTTGGTTTCTTGTAGACGGCGTACACTGACGAAGCCTGCCTTTTGAGCATACATGCCTAAGAGGGGAACAACCAAGGGGCTGCCGTCAACGCTGTTCATCTCTTTTTGTGCCCGAGATGTCTGGAGTAGGAGCCAGACGCAATAACCAAAGCTCGCGATGAGGAGCAGCATCAAGGAAACAATGCTAATGATGGAGACTATCCCCCAAAATCTTTCCTGGGTTTTATACAAGGCAAAGGGGACAAACCCAAGAGCGCAGCCTGCAGTGCAGTAAATGATGCCAAGAACAAGCCCTCCAGTAGACATGAAAAAAATACAGCTAACGCCCATTATGAACGAGAGGAGCATCATTAAGATGGGGATCCAGCAGAGAGCACTGCAAGAACAGCTTTCCAACCCGGCAGATTGGGAAACCCGGAAACTCTGGCTTCCCCTCATCCTGAAGGCAGTGTGGGAAAAAAGGCTTCGAAATTTCTAGAAATGTGGATTTCATCAGCTCTACAACCCGCGGAAAACAGTGGGAATTTTCCGCTGAGCATACTAGCCCATGGTAGCCAGTTGCACACCCCCGACAGCCCAGGGTACGAAGTTAATCCGCTTGGTAACCAGCCTAGCGGAGCTTAATCATTAAAGATATAATGTTGAAAGGCGGGATTGTCCTTCAAGAGGCGGATATGATAGGCGAGGGGGACTCTCGTAAAAGGGCTCCGCTTCCTTGTGCCGAGCGGCACGGCGCAGTTGGCGGAACACGACTGCTACAGAGCCTCCAGGAACTGCTTTCTGAACTTTTGGACTCGGATTCAAACCGTTAGCATTAAGTACCGGTATAATTTGGACTGTGAAGCATGATGTCTTCGGTTTGCAGTGTGTTGCAAGCCACCGAAGCATAGACCGAGTGACCCTAATCGATGCGCCGGGCAACATCCCGTCTGAAGGTTCGGGAAAATTAAAGCCACCCTTTCTGGTTTTTAATCAAAAAATACATAATTCATCAAGGCCTTAAATACATGTTTCCCCGCCATGAGCAAGTGAACTCCGTATGCATTGTGCTCGACACAATGGCCTGCAGACTGGGACCTGGTTAGTAAACGCTGCAGCCGCCTGCTACGTAACTCTCCCCTGCCACAAATGGATTCACCTTTGTAATAATCGATGACTCTCTTGCTGGCTCACGGCAACCGCGCAGTCTATAGAGGTCCCAGAGTCGTAGCGAACTGTTGCATGATCTGTCCGCTGTTTGGACGTGTATTTGTACTTGTGCTCACGCTAACTACTGACGCAGAAAGAATAATTCACTGTCGTATACAGAGTACTTGAATACAAGGGCTTTTGGCTATGATTGCACGTGGAGTTGCCTCCTAACATGTGGTGCAACCAGCTGCCGGGCAACGCTTAGCAAGCAGCCTTCTCTCTGCCAACGACCACAAACCTGTAGATGGCCGTAGCCGAAATGCCTAGAGACTGGAAAAGAAGCCGGTTGCTTTTGGCGAACCCTTATGAGCATTTTTGACCTTGACAACTCAACATGGTTGTTGGCGAAGAGCGCCGATGTTCGTTACACAAGGTCCGTGTCTCGATACCGTGGGAATAACTAATCCTGAAGAATTAACTAGTTGCACTGTTTTCATGTAACAATTCTTTTGACTACAAGAGGTGCGTGGAGGTTCCGCACTTGCCCCGTGGCCCATTTACTCGTATGATTCACATCGGTATATATAGGAGAGCTGTGCTTTCCCAATAAAGTACCGGCAACATTAAAACTGCAACAGACAGCGACACTGTAAGAGATAGCCGAGAGATTACAAGGCCCATAAGCTCGTTCGAAGTTTCCCAGATATAGCCCCCTCCCGTCGGACGTTGATGACGAGATGACTTGCATTTTTGGTTTCTTATTGCCTTCCCAGCTTTTCCCAATTATCCTAAGAAATGTGGAGGAGAGCTATGTTTCACAGGAGGATGGCGCTTACTGTATGGGGCACCTGAAGTGCATCGAATTGCAGGAAACGGTCCAGTTCGAAGAGGAAACTGCGGACATCTTTGCACACTGGACGGGAACTACAGGTCAGTCTGCAAGAGAAGTTTCTCCGCTGTACAAGCATTCGTAGGCCAGAATCGTCTGAGTGTCGCAGAGGACAAGAAGAGTAACAATCAAAAAGCAACTGAGAAAGGGCCAAACAGAGTACTGCTATATCGTGCGATGCACATGTTTGCAGACTACAATCGTATTCGTATCTGCGCCTGTCCTGCCTGAATACCTAACGACACAGGTCGTTCAAATTACTCCACATGCAGCCACGGCGATGCAATGTGGAGTAATTTGAATAGCAGGGTGCCCAACACAACCAAGCAGATTTCCACAGCGATCTACTTGATCCTCTGCCGGTGCAGGAACCTCAATTCACGAAGCTGTCCTGAAATGAGCCCGAACCCCTAACAGTTAGAACAAGCCGACCTAGTAACCTAATGCTTGAGACAGGCAAGCACTGTAAGAACCTCCAGAGACAAATGTACACGCTAAGGATAGCGCATTTTAGTTTGCAGCTCCCTCACTGGGGACGTTGAAGCTAAACTCACTTGCATGAGCCTGAAAGTCCCACAGTGGCTCTTTGCGCCAAAAAGTTAGATTGAGACGCTTTGCTGGCCTGCTGCAGTGGCCCTGGAGCAGCTCGCCTGTTACCAGAAACCTCCTAGAGACATATGATTTCTGGGTAGCCCAGAGACACAACGCACTGTGTAAACGGAGTCGTATGCTGGAGATGCGCGGGGAGCCTGGGGCTGCCTCTAGACGTCAGCTTTCAGTTTTCTGCACCGTATTCACAAAAGTAGAAAAGTTCTTGCAGCAGCTTTTGGAGGATGGAACGCCGACTGTTCGGCATACTGTTTCAAAAGGGCTCTGCAAACCAGCCAGAATTGCCCTTTCGTTCTTGAAGGTAATCTACTCTGCCGCAGAATCGGTCACGCTTTAGGTAGCATCTCGTTTGACATTACAGCAAACACTGTCCAGTCTCAAGCTCTCCTTCGCCGAGCTGGGCAGTCCAAGCCGTTCTTCACCACGAGGGAGGCGCAACAAGCCCGTTTTCCTGGATCAATAGCGTGAACTGCCTTCTATAGGAGCACAACTTGTCATCCAGTTGTATGCTTTGACCAGATGCCACTGCAGTTGCGTAACGGGAGATCTCGCCAATATACGGTATGCTGTCCCTTGTTGGCAACGCTGTTTCGGTGGCATTTATTCTGAACTTTTCAAACTTCCTAATTCTTGAAGAAACTCGACCCGATTCGCAAGGATGTCACAGCTGTTTGGTGATATCCGTGCAAGACACCCCGCTGCCGAACACGGACAGGCGGGACCGCGGAGCTGTCCCACAAAAAGAGGTCCACCGGCTATATTTTGCAGGAGTTCTCTTTTTTGCATTCGCGTGTTTGGAATTAAGAAGCACAGTGAGGTATAGTACTCAACAAACATCTAAGCTAGACGGCTCCCTCTGGGGCCCCCCTTCCCTATCGCAGTAAGGCCCCCAAGGGGTCTCCTCATACTTCCCACCTTCTGCGAAATTTAGTTTGACTATCCAGCATATATATTACAGGTTGTCTGCACTGTGGAGGCTTGCACTTGGTTTAATGGGCCTTGGTCCCGGCTGACCGAGTTTTCTGTGCGAGTCTGCGCCGCGCCTCCATTCTACGATCATCGGAGCTCTTGGCGTCACACTGCACCATGGGAAGGGTTGGAAATGCCTAATTATGAAGAATCAGGATTGGAGGCCCAAACGGAAAAGTTCACACGGGGTGGAGACGCTGAAGGCGGCACCTGAACACAATGGATGTAGACCTGGCCCTCGTCAGCGCGCTGCAGCTCCGTGAGCTGTTGCAACAGCACTGTACGCTCAATTCCCCATTCTCTCACACGCCATTTACATGGGCTCCAGTTTCACGCCGATGTCAGCTGCAAAAGGCGGCTCAGGTGCAGCAGCGGTGGCTGTTGCAGGGGCAGTAACCATCGCTGGAACTGCAACAGTCCCTTTAATTGAAGAAATTGAGAGAATAGTGGTTAGCTTTCATTGACAGTGCCGCGCTCTGCCAGCACAGGAATTTGCTTTGTGTTGTTCTGCAGCACCCCTCTCTCCGCAAGTACAAGACTTGGCCTCCGAATGCAAAAAGTGAGATTTTATTTTTTTTTTCCAAAGCAAGCACTTTTAGCGCCACATCTGTTGGCTTTAAGGGGTTTCACTTGATCGCAGAAAATATGCGCAGCTGAGGGATTTCATGCTGCGTATCACTGTCCCTTTTGTCCGTGTCTGTGCACTGCCGCTTGACTGCCCGTAACATAGTTTGTAGCCGTCCTTTCCTACTCTTCGCTAATGCTGGTCTCTTAGCGCTCTGTTAAACTCATCCTGATAGAACTGAGTCCGATTTGTTACCTGACAAGGCTCGGTAGCAGTGCTCTGAACAACAACTAGCAACAACTTGGAGTGCACGTACCGCCTTTCTGACAACCTGTCTGACTGCTGTTGCAGACTGTTCGCTCTTGGGGAGGAATCCCTCAAGGGGGTGAGCCCGTCGGACCCTCGGTTGCAGAAGGTGCGCTTGCTATGCACATATTTGCGTCTTTTTTTGAGATGGTTGGGTGTTCAGCGTACTGCAGAACCCGACTGTGGTTGCTTCAACAGCAGTTGCAAGTGGAGTCCACGCTGAGCCTGCAACGGTTTCTCTTCGTTGTTCTGTGTGCAGGCGTGCAAGGAATTGGAGGAGGCTCTGACGTTCTTTCATTCTATTGCTGCAGCAGATGAGGACTTAGCAAAGCAGCAAGGGGCTGACGAGAAACAGAACCATGAGCACCACCAGCACGAGTCAGCGGCCTCAGGCCGCCACCGACATGGCAGGCGCGCCGAGAGGGAAAACAGCAAGAGACAGCATCGAGGCCGGAACAGTAGCAGCAAGGGGAAGAAGAAGGACAAACTAAAGGCAGCAGAGGCAGAACGAACTGCTCCTGATGCGCCGGAAAAGCCGGTTGATTCCTTGTTCGGGAATTGGCCCCCCATAGACTTCACCTTCCCGGAGAGCCAAATCGTAGTTCCAACTGGGTCTACTGGGCTCGAAGTCCCTTCGTGGGGAAACGGCGCAGCTAAGGACCCTTTTCGTTTATCCGCAGCAGACTCTTGTGCTGCGGCAGCTGCTCCAGCGAATGCGCCAGCAGGTGCTGCAGAGGAATCGGCAAGGCTCAGGCGTGGCAGGGCAAGGACTCACAACAGGAGGCGGGCAAAAACCAGCAGCACCAGCAGACCGTGTGAAGCGGATGCATCAAGCAGTGACGGCGACAGCAGCAGTAGCAGCAGTAGCAGCCGCAGCGTTTGCCTGAGCAGCACCGCGGAAACACACAGGGAAAACAGCAACGAAAGCGAAGTCACAAAGAGCAACGACAAGCGTCGCAGGCGCCAAAGAAGGATCAATCGTTCATTGGCTCAGCCCTGTAGTGACGAGGAAATTACAGCTTCGGCAGCGTTTCACCCTGCAGGAACACCAGAAGTGTCAGCTGATGACTGTTGCAGAATTTGCGTTTCATCTCTGCGTGCTGTCTTCGTGGCCAAATGCGCCGCCAGTCCATTTCGCATAGATGCAAGCATATTTGTTCCTTCGGAGGTACGGGGTACACTACTGTGAATGTCTTTTTACGTTTGATGGATATGCAGTAGCGGACGGAGAGGAAGAGCTTCATCAGAAGTGATAATCGGCAACTGGGCATCTCCATAGTTTGCAGTACCTCCTTCAGCTGGTGTGAACGGGACTGGTCTAGTACTTTGAGGAGGAGCGAGGGAAATATCTTCTTTTTCCCAAGTTGTAGCAACCATTTCAGTAGCTGCTGCATAGAGGGCTGGTACATGCGTGTAGCCCCAATTCGTTTGCAGGCCTTGTCTCGCTTACGCGGGCTTTTTATTTCACTGTCTTCGTTGCAGAGTTTGGAAACTGAAGCCGAGAACACCTCCGAGTTGGGCGTTGTCGTCAGCAGCAGCAGCAGCGGTGACACTAGTAGAGAGTTGCAGGTAACATGGCAGCAACCTCTGCATTTTCTCATTCGTACGCGTCAAGCCGAGGGGGGAAGGAAAAGAGGAGAGGGTGGCAGCGCTTCCGCGAATCCTCTGCAGTATCTGCAAAAGGAGGGAATCCTGCGCTTTATAATTAGGAGAGGAGACGACGCATGGCCGGCCTTCTCGGCTCAGTTTCCTCTCAGCTCTCTTACATGTTCGGTGGCACAGCTTTGCTGAAGACTGCTGCTGCTGCTGTTACTGCTCCCGTTGTGGTCTTGATGCTGTACATGAGGACCACACTCTTTTATGTCATGCAGCATATATAACTTACGCACACTGAGTAGCTCGTTGGGCTGTTCCCATCATAACAATGCTTTTGAAGTGGAAGCTGAAATGGCTGCCTGAGTACCCCGGGAAACGGCACAGTGGGCTTTATTTTTCCTCTACCATTTCGCACTTCCACGGTGTCTTTCCTGCTGCTTTCAGACGGGGTCTTCAGCACCCACCATGTATCTATGTTTTCGAAAGAAGAAAATGCCACAGACTACAACGCAGCATGCGGCTACCTGACCTTCTCACTATCAGCAGAACCAGCAAAGCCCTCGGCTGGCGCCACACCGCTTGCACTGGCAGATCTTGCCAGGAGCACTGTGTCAACTACAGCTGAAAAGAAGACGCAAAGACGAGCTGACACCGTGGGGGCAGTAAGCGGGCAACATTTCCCTCCAAGGCGTATTTTGGAGATGAAGAGCCAATTCTCTGAATAGTGCAGCACCTTGGGACACACATCTCATTGGAATTGCTGCAGAGTTGCCATATGTAGACAGAGGCTGATTTTTGTTGTGGCGACTGCAGCATGGTATAGATCTTCATGCAAGTTTAAACTCGGCTCGAAACGAGAACGCATCGTTGCAACAACAAAACAAGCTACTACAAGCGCAAGTGGAGGAGCAGCAACAGGCTCTAATGCAGCAACAGCAACATATCCTGGCCCTTGAAGCTCACATGTCAGTCCCCCTCTTTTCCTGTGCCTTTACGTTGCATTGCGCCCCTTTAAATGTGCTGATTAAAGGAAAGTGGAAATCGGTAATCAGACGTAGTCATGCTTTTCCTCTCTGTGTGAGGCAGGCAACAACTCACAGCACAGCTCACAGAAGCATCTCAGCGACTCGCGTGAGAGTTAAAAAGGCCCCTTAACAGTCTGCAAGCAATGACAGCCTTGAAGTCTTAACTTAGCAGGATTCAAGTTGTGTTAAGTAAACTGCCAGCTGCCATTGACTGCACCTGGCACTCTAAGTGGGGTCACCACCTGCTCTGTCGACAAACCAGCACATGCTTGTGTGTTTAGTTAATTTCGTTGTGCCTTTCCAGCGCTGCTGAAATGCAACAGCAGCAACAGCAGCAGACGCTGCAACGCATGCAGCAACAACGCGATTCTGAATCCCGTGGTTCTGCAGCTGAGATCGCGAGGCTGCAACACGAAGTTCAGAAGTTGGAAGACTTACGCAGAAACGCCGAAGAAGAACAAAAGCTTCACCGCAAACAAATTCGCAGCTACCGCACGGAGGCCGAGCAGCAAGAACGTGAGCTACGGCGGCTGCTTGAGGAGCAGAAAGATGCACACAAGAAAGCCGTGGAGCAGGAGAAGACTATCGTTGAGCTGAGAACGCTACTTAGCAACGCGCGAAGCCGCATAAGGAATGAACGACAGCGGAATGAGGGGCTAGTGGGCAAACTGGAGGGTGAGAGATCCTGCAGGCAAACGCTCCCTTAACTTGCGATAAAGTGCACTGGATTTCGTTGGCTTGTTCTCTTGTCTCCTTAGAACATTGTCTCATTCGTGCATGCGATTTACTTTGTTTTTATCCATTGTATTTTTTGAAGTGGCCAAACAAACTCTTTGATCGTTTGCTATTTGCTGGTGGCGTTCTTTTGTCCTGTTCTGCTGTCTCGTGCCTCAGCTGCTTGCGAGGTGGAGTCCTCTCTAAAAGCAGAATTACAAGCATCGCAGTAGGCATTAAATGCGCCTCATCGGGACAGTTTCGTAGTTGCATTCCCCCCTTTTCTGTCCCAAATGTTGGTATTCCACTGAGATCTCCTCACAAGTCTACAGTCGGAATGTTTCAGGTCTCATTCATCAGTGCACTGAATCTCACGTTGGTTTTGTGTACAGAAAAGCAGCAGAGGAGGGGAAGCTACAGCTGCTGAGCTTGACCTGGGGCTTGGTGAGCACTGCAACGACCTGTAGGCTGTTGTATCACCTCCCTTAGATTTTGAAGAAGCAACGGGCGGCAAGGGCTCCGTCACCTATGGTTGAGTGCCTTGTTGAAGTAGATTGTTGTTTGCGTTCTTCGAAATTTACCTGCTTTTTTGCAGTGGTTGAGTGCCTGTGCTGGTCAGTGTTAGCCTGCATGGGAAGTCACAGCTCCACGCAATAACCTGCCGACGCACGCATAGACAAATTTCAATGAGCGTGCAGAGACTCCCTACCACGTGTGCAGGCGTGGCATACCAATATCCATCCATGCACATACTGGGGAGCGTAGATCTACATATGTGTATCCGTGCAAAAATTGATAGTTGTATGTCTGTGCATGCATCCACATGCGTTTACGTATGCCAGAAGAGCTACAACTCCACCACACGTATATCTAAATGCAACAGCACTGCTTACTGTTTCGTATGCGGACACATGAGTATAGTTGCGTTTGCAAATTGGCTACACCCCACTGATTTAGGCTTATCCATTGATTTCTAGTCTCACTGTGTTGTAAGCATATTGGCGACGCATATGCATGGTGCAATACAGTTAGACAAATTAGTTGCCCTGTCCCGATATGATTAGCTATTGGGCGCAGTAATGGGTTATCGATTCTTCTCACTGAGACGATTGTCTATGTATCAACATTAGCATGCATCTACGACTTGCTTCTGTTTCAAGGAGGCTCCACCAGTCTTCACGGGATTCCCGGAGTCTGCGCCGATCTGTGATAAGCAACCTGGAAAAGAGTTGAGGCGGAAGCAGCAGCAAAAGGGAGATCGAGGTGAAGCCGATGAGGAAACTACACGAGACCGTTTACACTCAGATACGCAAGGGGTAGACACCCCAATCCAATCTTTCTCAAGGGCGTGTGCAGACCCAACTTCGTCTGTATATGCACAACCACGAAGTAAGCATCATATCCATGCTTCTCATCTTACCTAGTGCCACCACAACACTAACGGTGAAAATGCTTCTAATTGTAGTGTGGGTATCTTCAGGATGGAATGATACCAGAATTCTGCGTCGTCTCCTGCCCCCTAGTCAGCCAACAGGAGCGGTCTGGGAGACTGCTCTGAGGTTACCAATGCAGGAAGGTTATTCCCACATTTTGCTTGAACACGGTATTCCCTCTGGGCAGCCATGGGGCGGTGTCCTCCTTGAGAGTACAGAACTAACTGTGAGTTCATTTACAACTGTTTGTATTTATGGTACTGCCTCGGCAATGCGTAAGTTGCACCAAATGAGTTGAATAACTGTTCCCTATCGTAGATGTGCAACACACTGGTAGCTTTTCTGTTGAGAGGGCCCTTCTTTCCAAGTGCAAATCACATCTATAGACTCGGACAGGCTTTTTATGTCTTCTGTTGTTCCCGTGGATGCCAATGCTTCAGGTAGAATGGTTTTGCTCCGTCCACTCGGGAAGCGGTGGCAAAGGAAGCTCTCTCTTACCAGCGTTTCTTTCTGGCAGCATTGCGGCAACCGCCTCATTCATTGCCAATATCTGCTTCAATCTATCCCCTTGCCCCGATGTAACTGTTGCCCTCGATAGGGAAGTGCTGGAGGGTGGTGAGCTTCAGCAGCCATGCTTGTTTGACCGTCTGCCCTCATCTTCTACCAGTTGTTGCTAGCTGAATTGTGGGGTTGGAGAGATGCCTGTACTCTGACAAAGCTGTTTAGGCGGCCGTGCAGAGCATATGAGCTACACACATCTCGGGTCCCCAAGCCTCTAAACCAATAGGGAGTGTAGCCGTTCTCCTTCATTCGTATTTTATGGGTTTTGATGCAGGGCGCGTCGTTGTGAATGCGAAGCCAAACCAAGGAGCGCGGTGTGTGGCTGTTGCTGGGAAACTTGAGGTTTCCCGTCCCTCTCGAGATATTCCCACTCTTCTCATCAGCGCTCTGTAGGTCCTACGAACTACCTTCCCATTAACGATTTACATGTAGAAAAGTAGAGGACCCCTCAGAGACTGGAGTGCTCACGCCTTTTGACGCTCCTGAATTGGAATCCAGTCCAGGCCCCTCTTATCCCGCAAGTGTTCTTGCTAGGACCCAACCTAGAGCAGATGTCAATTTTCCTCCAAGACAAGCGATTACAGTTAGCCTTTGCGGTTGTTTTGCTGTGCTAATTTGTCAGAACGCCCGACTCGCAAAAGCGTTCCTTGAGACTGAAGTTGCCGCTTCCGTCTGCGGTGTTCTGTGTGCCCTTCCCACTTTCGCGGGAGGCATTTTCTACCAGGTGGCGGTCTCTAGAGATGCAGGAGGAAGCAGTGCGTCAATGAGGGTTGTATTCCTGTTTCTATAATGCTATGCTAGATGCACTATTATCTCTTAGTCGTCACTTAGGCTAAACTGTGGCCGCCAAACCAAATTCCCCCTTCTGCAGCCAGCAGCACTGCAAGGGGGCATTGCATCGCTAAAACTCTGCGAATGCAATTTGAGTGCGTTTTCACCTGCGTGTGTGAAGGTTTTGATCGACATGGTCCCAAATCGCATCCGCATGGCTCTTTCCTTATGCGCTCTTGGGGGGCGCTTCCTTATCCTCCCCATGGATGAAGGAGACCCGAGGGGCGAGTTTTCTGCAGGAGCGGCAGGATGCATGCGTATTCAGGCTTCTGGTGCCTTTCCTGCAAGTGCTGAGTGCTTGGAGGGCAGGAGTGTCCCGCATTTCTGCCCCCCATCGTACACGGGGCACCCGGTTGAAGTTGAAAAATATATCCCCTGCTTGGTTGAGCTCTCTGTCAAACGGAACGCCTTTGCTGGAACAGAGCGTCAGATGCAGTCCGCCTCTAAATGGGGACGTACGCCCAGTGGCCTTCTCCGCGTACGGTGCGCCAACTCATCTCTGAGGAACAGCGTTCTTGAAGTTCTCTTGCAGCAGTTCCTCACCCCGTCGCAAATAATTCACGCGTCTCCATCTGCCTAGATGGGAGACAACTTTTTTCTGTTTGAATCGAATTACTGGGCGAAGACCAATGAAATATGCCAATGTGCAAGGCCTTCCGAGGGGGCGTCAACAGCTCGGAGTTTGTACGCCAAATTCTAAGCTCGTACAGAACAGTACAGTCACTAGCATTGCGTGCTCTCCCATGTACTAAAGATTGGCTATACCGTTGCACGGGCTACTCACTTGCCTCAGTTGGGGCATACGCATGCAGGCCAGGCAATTACCCTCTTCAAGCCCCAAAATAGTTCAGTCCGCCGTATGGTCAGGCTCCAACTTTCGAACTACAAATAGGCAAGACCCATATTTACGTTGAGGCCGAAGTTTCTGCCGCCTCAATTGAAATATACGGGACCACGGCTGGTGCATGCCCAACTGCAATTTTCTTCCATCTAGGCAGCAAATTGCAATAACGATGCGAGGTGGGTAAGCACCGCCGCGTTGCTCTAAACGATACGTGTCGGCACGGACAAGACACGAAAGCAACTGCACGACGGAGACAGGATATACACCTGTGCTTCCAACTGGTTGCTGAAACGAAGGTTTCCACTTCTCACATTTACGGTGCCCCCCACTCCAAAGGGAGCACGCATGAGAACCAACCCAAGACGCTTCTATCGAATGGCAACGAGAAAGACTCAAATCCACTTGTGCCGCGACATCGTAGGCCCAATGACAACCATCCTGCTCTTCGCAGGCGCAAGTGTCAGCTCACTTTGGCTTTAAGGATGTACAGTAAGAAGGTAGTCCACTTTGCGTGTAAGAGAGAAGGGAATCTCCACTTTGGTTTCCATGTGAGTGCACTGGAGCACCTAAAGCACACAGCAACCAGCAGACCGACGGAAGCAATTCGTGCCCGGTGCAATGCCCTAAGAGAGCAAATGGGAGATTCAGCCTACAGCTCGCTCACCTCTACCTTACAGATACTGTCCCTACTGTGCATCTCTACGGAGAACGGCATGAGAGTGGTCAGGCTGGCGTTGGCCTTGAGCTCGATGGTCGCAGCTGTGAGCTGTTGCCCCATTTCCGGAAGGAACCAGTGTACCGAAACACCGTCATGCTCCGTTGTTCCCGCATCCGTTCTCAGTACCTGCTCATCAGTAAAAGTGCGCTGCATGAAGCGTGAGTGCTTGTGCAATCTACACTACTGGGCACATCAGTACGTGGCAATGGAAAGAGCGTAAGCCCAATGCATACGCCTCGCAGCAGCCAGTACTAAGCTCCGACAGAATAAGCAAATCACAACATATATGAAGGGCGTTTACAAGAGCTGACCTCAGGGTTTGCCTGGGCTGGACACATGAAGGAAACACGAACGTCTTCTAGACGTTTCGAAGTGTCCGTAACCTCCAGCTCAACAGTCAGTACAGTGCCTGTGGGCGTCGTAGACGGCCAGCAGCTCACCGTCAGCGGCACCAAGCTCTGCAAGAAACGCCACGAAATACAGAAACACGTTAGGAATGTTCACTCTCCAAACGACGCATAATCCGTGGCAGCCAGTAGAGATATACGCCTTCGCACCTCATCCTTTTCGCTGACTCTCCACTTGAGAAGTGGTGCAGGCTGATGAGGAGGCAGCGGCCTTGATGGGTCTCGGACTTGCAGCAAGCTGTTTTGGGACAGAGCCGTCTTGTCAACATTCGGGTGGCTCTTCATCTTAAATCTTTTGTCCTCCGGCGTTAACTGAAAGGAGAAATGCATAAGATAATATTGTCGCTTTATCCAAGGCAAACCACGAATGTTTGGATGTATGGTGAACACTCAGCGTGCTATCCGTATCTGCAAACTGCTGTGAAATACGAAAGTGCACAACAGAACAAAAGCTTTCCTCCCCTACCTGGAAGGCCGCAAGAGACCCTCGCTCTGGGTCGTTCGCGGTAACGAAAAATGTGCCTTGAAGCTCCACCTCCTTGACAACTGCGAACATAGCGAGTTACTCGTTGGGATTAAATTCATGCGACAGCAAACGGCAAAAGCCATGCCAGGAACAAAACCTTAAAACTGCACGCACCTCCTTCGGCTTGCAAAGACGCCTTAACCTTTTCCTCAATGAGAATGCTTACGGGATCCGCTAGCGGGTCGTTTAAAACTGTATGCAAACACAATTCGCAATGCTCTATATTGTACGAATAACAACTACTACTTTGGCTTGGCAACGCTGAAGTAAACGTTGTAATGAAGTAAAGTGATACGTGAAAGCCTTTGCCCGCCTGTTTGAGAAACGCCACCCGTAGGAATGTGCAGGTTTGCCGAAAACGCAATGATGCAGCCGAATAGTTCATACCATCCTACATCCTACCTTGATCATGCTGAGCGTCGGCATATTCACCGGTTGATTTAATCTGTTCATCGAGCACGAGGTTCTGCAATGAACTGTCGACTCCCCCAACAGGTGCCTTAAACCCAAGCTGCATGCCTTTTGACTGTTGGCTCCCTCTTGCTGCCCCTGGAGTGACCGACGGGGAAGCCTGGTGCTGCGCGCCATAAATCCCCCCACTGTGCGCCGACAATCCCCAGTACGGTTCACTAGGAGGGGCTTCTTGAGGGGCAGATACGGCGGGAGGACCCCGAGACAGCTGAGTTGCTCCGGCGGAAGTGCGAAAACCAGCAGCGTCCAGCCCTTTTCCTGCTTTCTTCGCCGCTTGTTTCTCCTTCTCGAGCCTCTGGGCAATTTCCCGCCGTCTATCTGCCTGTTCCTTCTCCTTACCCTGCACAACAAGCAGTTAAATGTTTCACCATCCGAAACCCTCACTTTGTACTCCATATTTCCAGGTTCGCACGCACATATACTCCGTTCAGAATAATGTATTTTACGAAGCATGAGTACTGTGCCCCATACACAAGTAACCACACCCGAGTAAACTCTAACAGCGCAATGCCCCATATCCCCCACTCTCATAAAGCCACAAGGCGCTTTAGTATCTGCATATAGTGCATTCATATGCATTAGGGCTTGTTGGCCGTGAGTAGAGTACTGAGTGTTCACGTCACTGCAGGTGCTGTTGCCGCGAATGACGCCCTAGGTGCACTGGATACATTACCTCAGCGATCATTCTCTGCAGCTTCTCTTCGTGAGAGTCCATGGCGACGTAGGACTGGATCTGCTGAAGCGTAAGCGCCTCCCTATAGCCGCCGCTAATTAGCTCGTCGAGCATAAATACAATATCAAAAGCGTGCGCCGCTACGCTGTCTTCGAGGCTGCCCATTCCGTGGCTCTCTCCACAAGTTTCCTGTAGCATTTAGACAAGCACACCTATAATGTAACATGGCAGACGTAACTTTTGCTGAACATGGGCTTGAATAAACCACCGCATACGAAAATCTAAATGAACGGAACCATTGCAGGACACACAGGAGTGATATGGGCAAACCTGCTCAACGGAATGTGAACGAAAGCTACGTCCATGCATACACAAAAGACACAGTTCATACTTGCTCATGGACAACCCAAAGAAGATCTCAACGATGCCAAGGACTACGTCGAGGAATGCAGAAAGAGTCCGGTGGTGAGTCTTGCCTGAACGATGCTGACGAACATCCTTAGGGTGCCAAGGTCCTCGAAAATGTTACTGCTCTTCGTCGTTATCAGAACGAGGTAGAGGTTTTCAATGGGCTGATATACATACCGTACAGATTCTGTCTCGAGATAAGTATGGTCGGAACCTATTACCACACGCACGCAGACACACACTGTCGTTATGCCGACAGTTTCTACACAACACACTTCACGAAGCTTCCGAAGTATTCTAAGACGGTTCTAAGATCAATTACCATAAGCACAGGATGCACCATCCCTAAGCAACGCTCCAATATTCGTCCACGAATTGGGGAGGGTCATCGGTGTTGCTTCCTATATTGAAGGGAATTTCCTTGTACACAACTCATGCATGTACTGACCATTTCCCCCACCCCATGCGCCATTTGTACACTACTAGATGCAGTCTAGTCAAACTGGGTTGCAGCATACCCGAATAATCCACAAGCTTAACAAATGCATGCAACAGGCCCTCCACCTTGGTTCGGCGTATGTCCACAAACTGTCTCGCAAGGAGAGGCCGGACTCTGCTGCTGATGCAAGCGCTAATGACCACCATTTTTGTCACTGGCGAGTGTAGGAGAGGCAAGCAAGGCAATAATTACTGCATCCCGAAGTCCAATAGTTACTGGGCCTGTAGGGATTCCTGTGTGGAGGCACTGAGCATAGAACCTCTCAGAAATGTCCAATGAAACTATACTGATTTTAAAACTACCCAGATATGCGTGTCTTTTAATGCTTCAAAGTGCTCAGGGGCTACATAGGTAAGTGAGCAGTCGGCGTTCGGTTCCACAGGAGTTGTCGCATGGCCGCGCAAACTGGGGCTGGATGCAAGTAACGGTTCTTGCTCCTTGCGTCAAGTTTCTCCAACAAAACAGGGCTGTAATGCGTTTTGATTGATTTCCTTCTTGTCTTGAGGCAACGAATTAAGTGGAAAAGTATTGACTACCACAGTCATCTGACAGCACACAGCTCTGACGACCTCCAATAATGCGGCCATAGGAGCCTTTGTATACCCTCTAAAGTGAGCATTAGTGAATACCGAATGCGGCTTATTTCTTGCATTTGTCGTGCGATCAGGTTCCAGTAGTGGATAAACTTGTTTCTTGACCTACGGGCAATGGGGATCTAGTATCTCCTATACTACCACGGTCTACGTATTTGTACTTGCGTGCATGTTATAGTGGCCGAGCACGTGTTTTCACGTCAGTCTACGATGCTCATGCATGTATCAGGGGAAGCATGGGTGTGGCCGCTTGTGGGGTTGGAATCGAGCGTGGGTTGCATCCAGCTACCCTGCAACCGGTGCCATCTCCTACGCCCACCAGCCCCACGAGCTCGTCCTTTCCCGCTCAGAAGGCATGAAGACAGGGAAAAATGAGCTGTATTTTGAGGAAAACCACTGGCTGTCTTGTTTTTACTATAGAGTAACCCACGACGCATCGCCGTCTGGGCAGACTGCGCACTCCCGAGAAGTGCAGCGTTTTCTGTAGGCCCAACCCCATGAGGAGCCCCCGATATGAAACGTAGGAAGAATGCCGGTATGCATGTATTGATCATGCAAAAGGGTATGACCACGGCGCGAGTGGCGCGTTTGGCTGCGGTGCGTAAGACTTATTTTCGGAGTCTTGGAAGGTTGCTTGTTACCAGACGCAGCCTTCTTGGGCGAAAATTCACGTACCGAAGTAAAACTTGAAAGTAGTAGTTCGAGTACAATAGCGATGTGCAGCGATGGAAAGGAAGGCATTCGCACTACTGCTTGTTGCCACTCCAGCAAGAGAGAAAATGCATACAGGCAATGAGGGGACTTCCTGTTAGGTATTCCGGTTGCAATAATGTTTCCCCAATTGCATCTTCCTGACGTCAGCAGTTGACACCACGTGAAGCCCTTCACTTGGCCAGATGGATAGTGCCCGCAACCCAGGCGGCATAAGCAGGAAGTGCAGCTCGGATCCCATGACAGGAGCACTAAATTTAGCTTGCTTGCTGAGTGCAACTAGGTCAATCAAGCACCCTAAATAGTGCTCCTGTCATGCGATTCCCCAAGCTTAAGCATATGGCAATGTGTACGCCGATACGGGCAAATGCTTGGCCGCACCGTGCAGTTAGTTCGCTTGCATATAGTACGCAAGAGCAGCTGGGACGAAAGCGTCAAACACTCTTGCTTTGCTATACAGGATTCGAGTAGTGCGTGTATATACTGTACGAAGGGGACGGCGAAATCTTATGAGATGTCCCACGGAACAGTTTCCACCCGAGCATCTACAAGTGTTCGGCACGAGTGAGAATACACAATAGATTGTCACCCCTCCACAGACTGTCGATCTAATGTTAAGTTCCATCTAGGCAATTTAGGCCACTTGCTAACAAATCTGAAGGTCGCATGTAAAAGACAGAAATACCCCGGACTTCTACCATTCACTTGCTTGGAGGCGGCACGCGCGTCCCACAAAGTTCCTCTTCAAATGTATGGCGACACGGCGTCAGCCACACTATTTACAGTGGAAGACATATGCGCAGATTAATGCTGAATCAAACACTACAGCTTGACTGCCGCCCCCAAAGTCGGTTCAAGGAGCATTCATGTCCTAGCACTCTCAACAGGAAATACAACAATGAATGGCCGTGCAGGCACTTGCGCGAAGATAGCTAGTGGAAAATCCCTATGGAGCAGCTGCCATTATATCCAGCATCTTTGTTTGGCTTTCTAAGCAGCTTCACCCGTTCATAGGAGTTTTCTCGAAAAAGCCAGGAGGAGCTTCATCTAACCACACAAAAAAAAACAAAAAGGATTACTCGAAGAGCCCACCAACGTGCTAAAAAACGCATGGGGTCCTCTGGTGAGCTGTAGGAGACAACAGGCACAAGGCTATGCTCACGTGTGCAATAGTTATGGCACTAATGTATATGCAGCAGCATGCACTGCCGGTGTAGTACGGTGTTCTGAAAGTGCCTCTGATTCATTGTCCTCAAGTTCCCAGCTCCTCAAATGACCTGAAAGATTGTGCCGATGAGCATTGTCCATCTGCTGCCCTCTTGTGTCAACGGGAACGTCCACCAGCATGAAATTCCTTTCGTTTCCTTTTCTTTTGTGGCGATCCATTGAGGCCAGGTATGCATACATTATGAGGCTACACAGCATCAACGGAACAGACAGAAGCGCTTGCTTTTCCTGGAGTTCGCCAGCCTTCCTGTCTCCTGCATCCAGTTTCGTCGAGGTCATATCAACTTCTTCGCTACCTTTAGAGGCTAAGTGCTCACCTGCGCACGCAAGCACTTGGTCGTGAATATTCATGCAAATATGTCAGCAGCAGCTAGCGTGCTCCTCCCAAATTTACTTCATAATGAGGAGGAGTGAGCACAGCAGAGGCTGAACTAGCACTAACATGTACTGACCAAGGCAAAACAACCAACACGAAACGCACACGCGTGAGCATGCCATGCATCCACATAGAAGGCCCCAGTTATGTCAGGGGAAGTGTCTACAGATGCCTCCAATAAACTAAATGGCACTGATGGATGTGAAGTTTTGCCTTGTAGGCCCTGTTTCCACAGTTTATCTGGTGAAGGCTTGGACCTACCTTTAGTGAGAGACTCAACTTTAGCCGCTTTGGCTTCATCAATGAAACTTTGCATCCTGTCCCCCCACCGCTCTATATTCATTTCATGACTGCTTTCGTGACCTCCATTCTCCACTCTCTCCAACCATTTCAGCGGAGCGCTGCATGCCTGTACATCACTGCGCACTTGACCACACCAAATTCATTGAAAGAAAGCAGAATCGCCCCAACAGAGTTCGAAAGCGCATGTGAAGAAGAGGATAGTCGGTAAACTGCTGCACTATTCAACATGAAAGACACGGTCTCCGGCAAATTCTGCTTTAATGGAAAAGTCGGCCAAAAGCCGAGATTACAAAGAATGCTGCAGCCTTAAAGTGAGTGAGCCCGCCTCGTCACAGATGCGATGGACCGTCACTTACATCAAAAAGTCGGTCTGTGTGCGAAGGAGGAATTTGCTTGTCCTCCCTTCCGCTTAGAAAGAAGGTTGGCACAGTCAAAGTACGGACTTTGTCAATGTTTGACATGTAGCATCTCTGAGGAGAAGTAAAGCATACCGGCATGGCGCACAGGACTACTACTACTGCTCACGGAGGGTCCATTATAACTAGTGATGCGAGCATGTGCTTACGTGCTCTACCATGCACGCCTGCGAGTGCAGATCCGAGTAAGAGCGATGTACATTCAGTAGCACAAAAGCAACGGGAAAATGCACAGCTCGGAAATGCCCAGACACACCCAGCGCAGAACACGCTACAATAACAGCCAGTTCAGCATGAATTCTTTCCTCAGACTGCATTTTAGCGTTACGCTCAAAGGTCGACTTTTCCAACGCTGTGTCTGAAACGGAGCACTGGAATGCTTACTGGTGGGTGCTAACGGCATTTTCACTGACCTGTGCCAATTCGAGCACCCATCTAATGTAACGCAGTTCAGGGAACTTATCGTATGCAATATCTCTCAGCGATGTGAAGGTGTTCTCCACCACCAGACCTGTGATCTGTTGAAGAGCAGGGAACCAGGACACAGGAAAGACTAGAAACGCACAATGAACAATGAAGAAGAATCACTGCTTCAACAGCACGCCAGCCTTTATTGCAAACCCCTTGCGCCTGCAATGTTGAGTCAGGCAACGAACGCCGACGACAGAAAAGCCATGAGAACACCCCAAATTCAAAAAAATGATATCAAAGGCAACACTTAAAGCGCAACTCAAGCACCAACTAGTCTCGCACGCTTGAACACAGCAACTGTAGCATCTGCTAATGCTCTGACCGATCAAGAAAATATGTGTGTGCTCACCTGAGAACCCCTGCGACTTGCAAGATCTATTGCCACAGCACCGCCCATGCTGTGACCCACAACGAATATATCCTTGTTATTAACGTCTTGGCTGTTCAAAATGAAATCTAAGGCAGCATCAGCGTCACGGTATACACCCTCCTCCGTGGGGGATCCGCCGCTGTGGCCAAATCTGCGGACGCATCCCCGCAAAGAAAATAACGGATGGGCAGCACACAACATTGGTGGAAGTGCGAGCACAAGTACATACGAACAAGCACAGTGCATTGTCCTGTGCGTTTGTGAATACAAATTCGTGTGTACAGAGAGCTGCAAGGACCAATTACCCTCTATAATCCACAAGGAGAACATTTGCGCCGAGCTCGTAGAGCCTTGTGGCATGGCCTAGACGTAAACCCTTATCTGAAAAGAATACAGATTGGCAACAGACAAAGGAATGCAACCACCAAAGACACAGGGCCACTCAACAAAGGTAATGGTCACGAAGAGTTACGTCAGGACTCGGGATTGTGTTGCACTCCTATGCGCGTAAGCTGGCGCGGTCCGCCAAGGTAATGTGTTGTGCTCCTCCGTACTTGAAGACGCTGCAATGACGGCAACTGCTCTACGTCTGACTAAGCAAGCCTTCTGTGTAAAAAACTGGACGAAGAAAAGTGGAGATTGCATAAGCTAGAGCAGGGCAGGGTGAGGAAAACACCGATACTCAGCCGCAATAAAAAACGGATATAATGCCACGAGAAGTCATGGGCGAGGGTACTCAAAGCCGCAGCCCAGATGATACAGTCGTGAGACCAGATGCTAGTGAACATCAGGCAGACTGATCGGAAGAAGAAACGGCAAAAATACGGATACATGCGCAGATAGACAAGATGAGAAAAACGAGGAGTACGGAAGAGAAAGACCAGGAAGGCCAACGCACAGCCGTAGTTCCCTGGGAAGGAGATAAAGGTTGGCGCTTTCTGGGCATCCGGTCGTTTCAGAAGCCATCCGTGAATCTCCACGTTGTCTCGGGTTTTGATGTTAACTTCATCTGCTGGGACCCCTGCGTAAAACAAATAAGCAGCGTGCACACGTGCTCTGCTGAGGTGCCTGTAGGGTCTCAGCCATTTATGAAGTGAACAAATAACTATTAATACTGTATCGATTTCAACATACCGAAAACGCTTGGGCCACGAACATAAATTGGGTCCTCTGAAAAGTCATAGACTGCAAAAACACCACATTCAAGATCGAACACAGAAGAAGACTTCCTCATGCACGAACGTCCATACGTGTATGGGCCAAATGGGTCAGCACTATCAGGTAGTTCGAATTGTGCCAGTTCTATATACACTCGTCCAATTCTAAATGTTTTGGAGTTAGAGATCACCGTTTGGACTAAATATAAACTTGTCTTGAAAAATGTAAAACCAGCCTGCATCGCATTCGTCCAATACACATGCATGCAAGGCAGTCACTCAGATACATCTCATGAATAGTAACCACTAAGAGGAAGTAGGAATGCTTACAACAGAGGCTGGCTAACCCATTCTGACACTATCCACATGAAGGAAAAGTCACGGCCAGCCATGAGAATGGAGCACTTCGCTGAAGGCCTAGAGAAGCCAGCATTAACCTCGGAAATGTAAATACCTTTGGCGAGGGGCTCACCGAGTCCGACAATGCCGGCGGTAATAAGAAGGAAAAGAGGTAATGCTACCAGGACAAACAGTTTCGTGGCCCACGACCAACGTAGTGGCATCTTCCTGATCCTTAGAAAATCCGTCTTGCTTACTCCCTGTTAAGTTTGGCTAGATACTTTGTCAGCATTGCCCATCGTCTCCAGTGTGCAATACTCTGCGTCTGGAGTTCTGTAGTTCTCCTTTTCCTTCCGCAATTACGAAGTACGAAAAGAAGCGTCCGCCGGCACGAGTGTTTTTGCCAAACGAACAACTTATCTTGTCACTGACCATTCAGATCAACGGTTTGAACTGCCGTCTAGCCAGCTCCCGTCAGTCCTTGCTGTGTAGTGTTCCTTGTTTCCTCCTCAGTTTACAATAAAAAATGTCCTTCTCGCAAAATAATAGGCATTAGGGGTCGTTTGCAGACTGCGTGCATGCCAAAACGACTGGTTACCGCCGCACGCCTGTAGAAAAAATCCCCCCACAAATAGCACCAACTGCGGCAGGTAAGCAGTTTACTCACAAATATTTCGACAAAAAACGTTAACAGAGCAAGTTCTAGAAATGCATCTAGACTTTAGGATGAGGCGGACGGCGCGCTCAGACAACGATGGTTCAGTGGCAAGCGGCAATCGATTGATCGGCCCTCGGTGTAGTGCACAAGTACTATAATGGAAACAAAGTGCGATCTCTAAAGATCTTTTACAGAAAAACAGCACATATTACATTCATGAGTATAGGTTAGAGCTCATGGGAAGGAGATAATGTTAATCCTGCTAGGAGTGCTCGCCAGCCTTGCAGGTCGGGGCTGGATGTGAGACTACCGGCGCTGCGACGGCACTGAGCATCGGGCGGATCGGTGGGGGCAGGCATGTTAATGTATTTGCCCCCTCACAGTAGGGGCTCAACTATGTTATTAGGACTGTTATTTGATTAGTTAGGAGAATTTAGGGAGTATCTCTGACGTGTTTGTACTATAGGCTGGAGCTCTACGCAGTACCAGCAGAGTTGGGTGTTCACTACCACCAATCACATGCATGGTGTCCATATGTGTTGGGGAGTTGAATAATCCGTAAAATGCATCTCAAATAGTTCTTATTCTCATTCATTTTGCCAATGTAAAGTACCTACAAATGTTGGTTCGAAGCGCCTAATGACCTGCTTTTTAGCAATGCATCAGTGGCCCGCAACGGGCGAGAAGTGTTAATACACAGCGTACTCTGCCTCCACTACGTGCAACTCCAATGTATACGAAGTAGGTGCACTCTCGACTTTAGTCGAAACTCAACAGCTTTTCCGTAAATACTCCAAAAAATACAACTTAAACTGTTAAAAAATATTCGAGTCCAAACTAACCGGCTAAAATCAACCACAGGCATTTCTCTCTGGTCGACCGGCCAATGGTGAAGGCAGTCTGGCGTTGGATTCAAGGACCCAACCATCTGCACCTTGGCGAGCACTCCTAGTAGGGTTAACATCACTTCTATTTAAAGTTCTATAGTCTATCTTTATAAACATACTGTGTTTTCTCTTCCTTCAGATTAGACATCCAGGTATCCTATTTGAGCTACATTATACTGTCCACTACAAGACGTGTGAAGCGGTACACGCTACTCTCTGTGAGTGCAACAGAGAAGTAAAGCTTAAACGTTTTGCTTCTAAATTATTATTGACTCGAATTGAGGGCTTGTAAATTTGCCGTGAAGTGCGCAAGTGCTGCGAAAGCCTCAACTTTGACGAGAGTGCTTGACCCTTGTTTTCTGTAGTATTGATTCAAATTGAATACTAGATATATTTATTCCACCTTAATTTCATTATACTAAATAGATGAGATAATTTAATAGCTTTATCGTGCATACATAGAGCAGCTGCAACGAGCCCCCGTGCACAGTCCGTTCGTTGGTCCGAAATTAAGTAAGCAATTTAACCCTTACCAGGCCCTACTATACAAATGGTACGCAAGCAAAAATTCTCAGCAGCTGTCAACTGTGCCTACATACAGAGGCCTCTAGCGCACTCGCGTGGGAATGTTTTGCACTGAGACGCAGCAAACTGCTGTAGCACCAGATATCTTGCTCAAGGCATATGCAGAGGGCGACTTACCATGATATTTTATTCGCTAAGCAAGTGGAAGCTCTACAAAACCAACATGTGGAGCACTAATAGGTCCCCTGACCATCCCCATGCTGCTCGCTACACTGAACCACGTTCTATGTTGAAGCCTCAGTTTCCCGATGTGGTGACTGGAACCACAAACAACAGCGCGTTAGCTGTTGAAGTACGAACACGTTTTTGGACAAATTTTGAGTAAAATATGGGACACATACCAGCCCTAATCCTCATCTACCAATCAAGTTTGCGACTGAAGATAACCTTCCGGCTGATCTCTGGAAGCACCGTGTTGTCAGCAGTATCCAAAACGTTCGTTTGCTATGTTGTTATCTGAGCGTATTGCAGTTCTTAGATACACAAAGAGGGCCGAACGTACACCTATCCTGCTCTTTGTATACATAAAATGCTTCACATAAACGTGTGAGGAAGCGCTCCTCCCTCAGCAAGGTACGCAAATACAACTTATCCGCCGGTTCGAAGTAGCTCGAAAGAGGGCCATTGTCACTGACTTCAAGGTCTAGCTCCACTGAATTCCTTTCTGTCAAAGCCCGTGACTTCCCTATCTTCCAACCAAACCCGTGAAATAAGTCGGAGCACGGATGTTACTTCATCAGATGAGCATGTTTTCAGAAGATGACATGCATGGGGCTAGACTACACCTTATGGTCTCGCTGGGCTGCACCGATAGAAGTGTGCATGCTACACATTTTGTGCACTCTGTCATCCAACAGAGTCTCGATGAATGCTAGAAAATCAGCATCTTCGTCTTCATTGCGCCTCCAAGAACGTTCGTTTGATTCGATGCCTGTGGCGGGGACAGCAGTCAATGAAGTCAATCCTTTTGCTGCTAGCCATGCAGCTCTATGTGGGTGGGTCTTCAGACTTCCCGGTTCCTGCTGTTCTCGTCTCGTCGGTCGCATGCATACTGGGTAGCTTCCATGGAAACTAGTGCACATCGGCCCTTCTAAGGCAGCCAGTGGGATATTCGTTACTTGCCGCAGGTACAGTTGCTTTCCATCATCCCTGTAGCGTTGAGAAGTCTGGGCTTCTTCCATATGCGAAGAAGCGCCGCGGTGACTGCCCCAATCCTGCTTTTTGATGGCCGTGATCCCGTGGGCCTGACTGCTAGTAAGTTTCCCAGCCAATGGCTGCGCTGCTCGTTTCTTGCCAGGTTCGTGGCTTAGCAAAAGAGGCAAATTCATGTTAACTTCGCGATCGAGGACACTTACAGGATGCCCAGGATGTTTCTTATGGCCAACGGACCTGCACGGACCGTCCACGAATGAATTTCTCGGGCTCTTCGGGGAACCTGACATTCCTAACAGGTTTTCGCCGACTCGCGGAGCTCCTCGGAAGGGCAAAGCCGTAGATCTGAGTCAAAGAAGACGTATATATGCAATCGCAAAGTTACCGGAGCATCCATTAAAGACGCATGAACAAGCGATTCAAAGGGTCATACGTATCGGCAAATATCGACTTGCATCGAGGGTTGAATACGGTACACACGAGCTCTCACCCGTTGTGACTTCCTGTTGGTGACCAAAAGTCCCAACCCGTGTTTACTGTCTTCTTTTCCATTTCTTGTAGCAGTATGGCAAGGGAGACTGTGACAACGAATTGGGGGTAGCCAAGAAAGTTCCACCGATCGAGACAGGAGAGTCTGCCAGTCTAGGAATTTGATGACTCCCAAGTCATATCCCTTTTCTTTCCCGATATATTTTTGTTGCACTGTTGATCCACTAAGGGAGTGTACGATAAATAACTACGCCGTTAACCTTTTGCGTTGTGGTGTGACCTCGATGAGCGTGCAGCGACGAACACTACATGCAAATATTGAGAAAAATGGCCGACGTAGAAACGAAACATCCAATATTTCAAATGAAATAGTTAGCAAAGATGCACTACACACGTAGTTGAGTGGGCTCGAAGACAAGAGTGTGATTCTACAGTCCATTCAGCGATATTGCGGCGTCTCCTGGCGGAAGGCCTGCCCATTGGTGAGCTGTAGTCGTCTGAAACAGATTTTCCCAAAGCATCCGATCTCACAATCTACCCTTTGAGTTCTTACCTCATTTATGAAGTAGTTTTCGTGGTTCTAAATGGGCGAATAAAGCTGCTTTAAACCTCGTTCTCCCCAGTGCTGTTGTGCCCTGTAGGGTGGCAGTAAAAATTTGAGGGGGCGTCCACCACCACTAAAAGCAACATCATCATACATTCTTCGTTTTGGATTGTACATTATTTGGAGATTAAGCATGATTGTACTGAATTTTACTTCAAGGGTTTTCTGGGCTTCACGTAATCTTGACAATTTTGGCGGGGGTCACCCTCCAAGCGCACAGCCGAGAGGCGGCAGTCTTTCCAATTTGGGGCCTCATGGGGGAGTTTTGCTGAGCACGTAGGAGCAGTGTTCTCACTATATCCTAAAGAAACGGAGTGGCCACATTTTTTGTTGTTCATTTTGCACACTAGACCACACTAGACAGGTCGGCAAGCCTAGAGCTACCTAGATCATCCTGGAGGGATTTACTACAACGATGTAGAAATAACGTTTCCACTAGAGACCGGAACAAAACATCGGTAGGTAGGTAAGCTCGCGCATGGCAAGCAAGTTGTCTCCACAGACGAGTTGAGCTCCCCATCACAATGTGTGGGAAAGGGTAGAGGAATAAGTATTGTCGTTTTCAAATACGCTGCATGGGGAACATTCTTTCCCCTGTCTTTTTGATCGCACGTCGTTTGGCAAACGAAAACACTATCAAGAAGCGCGACGGGCCAGCATATCAAAAGACTTAGTCACGGGCATATTCTGTTCGTCGAGACAGCTCCGGGTTCTTATACACCCGTCCGGTTCCTAAGAGACCCAATGGCCACTCCATCAGGAAGCGATGAAACGCTTGTTTTTTAATGAGTGTCTTCAAGATAAAGCACGTAAATGTCCAAATGGACTCAAAAAAGAGCATTTGCCACTGGTCCCAAGGGAGCCATGGACGCGAAGTACATCCATGCAAGTTTGTATGATATGCGGTTGTATGGAAAGTTACATCGGTGATGAATTTACCAGAAACAGTGACACAAAACAGAGTAACCGAATCAACTTAAAGCCTAGCCAAAAAACTTGCCCCAGGCCCTCAGGACGGGCGCTGCTCACCGCGGAGCGAACTACTCGCCTGTTTGTATGTTGCATCAGTTCACCCCCATCACGACTCCAGTTCTGGAGGCGGGAGCGACAAACTACTTCTTGTTGTTGATCCAGAGTATGTATATTGTTGCGAAACCTTCCTCTACAGAGGCACACTTTGCGTGGAGGCGTCACACGACCTTATGCAAGGGGCCAACGCAGTTCCGACGGCATGCTTGCATACGTTATAAATCAAAACAATACGATGAACGAGAGGGCGGCAGTTAAAAGCTGCTTCATGAGGTGCTCCAGGGTTACAATAGCTGTAGTATTCGCGGGCAAAGGGATGGGTGTATCTTCATACTCCGCGGTTACGCACGCGGGTAAAGGTGAACAGAAATAAGGATTCTAGTAGCTATTCGGCACTGCAAATAGGCTCGCACTGAATATGCTCGAACATTGCCACCAAAGGCGCGTTAAGATTAGCAGGTTACGGGATATGAACTCCACAGTCTTGTGAAGGTTTTGGAGCAAAGCCAAGCAGTCGATGAGCGCAGGTGGATGCTACTAGGTTTGTAGATCTATACTTTGCAGACAACAGAACTACATAAGAAAAGCGCATATATGCTCGTGTACAGAGTTGAAGCAGACATGAGTGCATGAGCTTACACACGCCCTCATTTCGTGGGATTGCGGGTCCCCAGGAAGTTGAAGGCCACCCGCAGCTTTTCACCTGCTCTTGGAGGTTACTGTTGACTTTCGCCAAAGCTCCCGTGGGCCTCAGCAGTCACACAGCAATGTGGCCAATTGCGCTACATAGCACACCGAAACCAAAACGCCTACGACTAGGGCTAAAACACAGCGTGACCTGGACAGGGGCAGAGCTAAATACAGAAGACGTCCAACTGGACAGACTTAGCGTCAGCAACAGATGATGCAGCCTCCCACTCAAAGGACAGTTAGAACGAACCCTCGTGACAGGCTTGCACTTTGTAAAAATCACAGCACTCGAAGCTTTTCCAGAAAACACAACTTCCCTGATGAGTCGCTTCGAAAAGCATTGTTTCTCACGGTGACCCTCGAAAAACAATGGGACCCTGCTGGTGGTAGTACGGCAAAATTCTTGAAAAAGGATCCAGGAGCACGAACAGTATTACAGGCGAGCAGGTACACCCCACAACTGGGCTGGTTACACAGAATAGCTTGGGTTCTACAGAAGGGATGTGCTCACGTCTTCTTGCAGCTGCCGTACTCGTCGGGCTTCGCATTCCTGCAAAGCCCCTAGAAGGACCAATGTCTCATAACGCTGCACCGAATCACAGCACAACACACTTACGCCGTCCTCAGAATGCCGCCGCCGTGCTTCCTGTTGCAGCTATTGCTGCTACTAGGGAGAGGCTTACACGTCCATAGAACCTTGCGAGGGAGAAGGCAGCGACAACAAGAAACAACAGCAGGAAGCAGGAGTAGCAACACAGCACAAAGCCAGTGGTAGTTCTGGCAGCAGCCGCTGCTATGCTACAGCGGACCTCCAGCGCACTATTGCCCTGAGCAGAGAGGAAAACGCCACAGACAGACGTGCAGCACAGGCTAGCACATCGTATGGCAATCTGCATCTGCATATGACACCAAAGTATCCTCTTGGCATCCCGTCCCTACGCAAACTCGGTGCAGAATAACATCTGAGCGCTGGCAATATCAGTTACTCGGCTATTCAGAGAGTATAATGAGAGGAGACGTTGCAACTCACCTGCTCCAATTGCCGTTGTTGATGCGCTAGGGGTCGTAGAATCTCTGCGACTGCCATGCTGCGCTGCATCGACAAGTTCATGGCCTCAACACCTGTGGCTATCTGCTGCAGAAGGCCGATAACCGCTTTATTGCGTCCTTTTATGAACGCATGAGCAGCATCTATACCAGCGCAACACGATTTCAGCACAGGCAACATCAACAGTTCTGGTTTATTATTTCGAGCTATCAAAGGCGACAGTGCAGGGCAACTGAACCAGAAAGCACAGAGAGAGCTCACCAACTCGGCGCGCGAGAGAAAATATTGACACCAGGCGAGCTGTAGACTTCGGAGAGATAAAATGTCCGAACCTGCAGCCACGACACTCCAAGTAATCGATCACCATGTTCGGCTATGTGTCAAACTGGCTGGGATGTGCCGCGTTGCGCATAAAAAGATTTTATCCCAATCAGTTACCTAGACTGCGACAGTACCTGCTCAGTAGTTCCCTGTCTTCTATTTCTTGTGATACGATGTAGCAAGGGGCCGGGGGCTGCAGGTGGAGAGTTTGTTGCTGTTTGCTGCGCCATTGTGGTAGCAGTCGACTAATTTGGCTCTTTATGACCCTCGCAGCAGCTCTTGCAGCAGCTGCCGCAGCAGTAACAGTGGCTGACGCTGCTGTTGCTGCCCGAGGCTTCTGGAAGGGCTGTGGATTGACGCATCCTTGAGGAAGTGGCCCCCAGCTGCACGTGCGTGACAAAAAAGCAACAACTTCTCATTCAGTCCTGCTGTCTACTCAGGCGCTGGTCTCAGGCTCTTCAGTGAGGCAATTACGCAGCAGCGCACTGGAAGAATGTACATATCCAGCACATATCTGCTAGCCGATGCCCTAAGCATCTGTATCGTTCGGCGCTAAAGCACAGCTGCAGCCCGCCTCCTTGCCTGAATGCCCAATTGACGCCTGTAAGCTTCCGCAGTTCAAGAAGAAGCTCTTGATAGCCCACCGCGTTACTGCTCCTGCTTCTGTTGTTGGTGGACAAGGAAATACTGAAGCCCGGAAGCGAAGGTGCTGGGTAGTATACCCTGTGGCACACATAGCACGTTTTTAAAGCCAAGAAATGAGCTCCCGGTGGAGCCCTACAGAATCCCGTAAGGACTCTGGAGTAACACTTGACAAACTCAGCATTGACCAACCAGTCATCTCCAGCATGTCCTTCTAACTGTAGCTGAAGCATGGAGATGTTGTCCGCTAGATCTTTGCTGTGGCTGCTGTTGCCTAGAGTTTCCACCACTTGCTCAAGCTCCTGCGTCTTGGGAATTGGTAGCATTGCAACACTGCTTTGCTGTTGTTGGCCTTCCGGGGTATCTTGTTGCTGTTGCATGCTGCGTAGCAGCATTCCCTCAAGCATATCGTTCCCCAGAGGGAAATAGCGCGGCAGCATCTGCGCTCATACCTCATACCCGCATCCATCGATTCTGAAATTAAGTTATGAATGACTAGTCGTTGATGTGGCAATGACAAATTCCCTTCAAGGTGGTGGGCTCCCTGCCATAGCGTGCTGCCTACCGTGGGATCTTGCAACAATGATTTCAGCAGATTGGCAGAGTCCGCAGAAACAGCCGCTGCCAGCAGCAGCAAGCTGGCTCCAATGCAGCAGCATGCCCCAAACGCCCTCCAGCAACTGCTGCATGCAGCGTACAGCTTCCCCTGCTCAAGACAAGCCAGAACCCAACAGTTGATGGCGGGTGAAGACCTCTCACAGATACATCCCTAAAGTCAACAGGCAAAGGCTAAACCCTGCGAATACGTGACTTTCGTTTTCAAGGCCGGATTTTCCAGGGTTCGATGTGTATGTACCAAACCGTACCACCGGCTGTTCAGCAGCGAGCTGCCTCACAAAAGATGCTGCTGCTGCTGCTGCTGCCACGATAACTGCAGCCAGCAGCAGCAGTGGCATCAGTCGCAGCAGTTCTTCCGCGCTTCTGCTGCTGGCTTGCAGCAGCAGCCTCACGAATTCCCATAACTGAGGAAGCCCGTGTTGCAGCGCATCTTCTACATGCTGCTGTATTTGCAACAACTCCTTCTTTTGCTGCACCAGCTGATTCGGCTCTAGAACTCCATCAACGAACTGCCTCATCAGCACGTGTTGCTTCAGCGCACAATCCAGTGCATCCCCGATTGCAGACGCTGCAGCAGCGAGCTCCTCTGCACCCATGCAACGTAGCAACCCCTGCTGCTGCCTTTCAGTAGGAATTGCGAACTGCTGCTCCTTTTGGAGGTCATCTGTATCTAAATCAGTTCGACTATGAACTGGTATAGGCGTGAAGAAAAATTGTTCCGCTGCACCGTACGCGCTCCCGTTGCTCTTGTTGTTCGCTTCTCCGGGAGACTGGTTGGTACTGCCGCTGCTGCTGCTTTCGTCTGTGTTGTCGTTGCACCTGCTCCAACGATGCAATGGCAACAGCGCGGATAGAAAGCGCTTTGACCGTCTTAGAAGAGCCTTGCCCTGCAACAGGCGCCACTGCTGTTGTGGCGGCGGCAGCTGCACTTTTGTTTCCGCCTGAAGCAGCACATACTGAGAACCCAGCCAGGTCTTCCTCAGTTGCTGCGCTGCTGCTGCACCCTTCTGTAGCAGCTCTTCCAGATCTGACGCAGCAGTGGACGCAGGGGGAGCAGCATTTCCTGCATTAGGTACTGTAGGATGAACTGCGGCATATCCTCGCGCTGCAGCAATAGTAGCCGGCGCTGTAGATTCCCAGTTTGTAGGAAGCTGGCGTAGGCCTTCAAGGAGGCCAGAAAGACCTGTCTGCAGTCGTGACCCCTTGCGTTGCTCCTGCTGTAGGCCAGAGAATGCGTCAAAAGCCAGAGGGGCTTCGCAGCCAGCTGCCTTCAGACTGTCTGCTGCCGTTCCCGCAAGTGTCGCCGCAATGGCTGCCGTGGCTATTATCAACAAAAAGAGCATAACACTTCGCTTCCCTCCATTTTTGCTTTCTCTGCTGTAGGAGGTAGGCAGCAGCAGCAGCAAGGCAGCGTACGCAGCATCGCTGTTGCTGCGTCGCGCCTGTGACACTGTTTTTGCAGCTTCAGTAGCAGCATCAACTGTGCCACTGGTCCTACTGCGGGAGGTGAGTAGAAGCAACAGGGAAGAGAGCAGGAGCAACAAGAACGGCAGAAAAGAAAGAAAATAACGCAGCAACGGCACTGCTGCATCCCACTCAAGTCCGAATGACCACCAACCGCCCCTGCTGCTGCCTCTCGCCTCGCCAGCATCACTCACCCCATGCTGCACACCCTTCAATCTCTTAAGGAGCACTGGCAGATGCAGCGGGGAGTGTAGGAAACCGAAAGAACGCAGTAGAAGCGGGGCAAGATGGTTGATTCCAAGCTGCTGAAACAGTAGCACTTTCTGGCTTGGCACACCCTTGCAACCATCGAGGTGCTGTTTCCATGGTTTGCTGAACTCACGAGACCCTGAAGGGCCCCCAGCTTCATCGGTCACGAACCCCCTGTGCTGGCCGTTGCTGCTGCACTCCCTGCTGCTGTTGGGCCCTGTTGTGCCCTCACTTTTGTTAAAAATATTCTTCCGGCTGCCGTTTCCACATTTTGTACCTCTCGCGACACGGGAACGGCCGCCACACTCAGCATCTGCGCTTTGACTGCTCTGGAGGAGTTCATCTCCTTGTTGAAGCCCCTGCGCTTGCTTCTCGTTGGCGGTACATTTGATATTCCGCGAGAGTGTGTTCGCAAGGTGCGCACACACAGAAGCATGGAGAAGTAAAAGCGGTAACAACTGTGATGCCAGACGTTGCAGCCGCATAGCTGATAGCGAGCCCTCGAGGCTGGCTGCAGGAAGTGCTGCTCTTGAGGATGCCGCTACGGTTGTTGCTGGGGCTGCTTAGAGACGCAACGGTCAGCGCGCACCGCTGCTGGTATTACGTCATGAGGCGCATCCGTTGTGAAGACATCGGCTGTTGCAACAGCTTGTGCTCTTGCTGCTACTGCAGCTAGGAGGGCTTGTGTCTCGAGTGCGAGTTGTCCCGGAGGACGGCGACTTCGTAGCGACTTAGTCCCGTGAAATAAGGAAGAATAATGAAAGAGAAGCGGGCAGACAATCTGTGCGGTTTTCGTCTGGGTTCAAAACACTACAGTAAACATATAGCCACAAGGGGCCCCTCTCTCATGCCTGGGCAGAGCCGAGGGTCTTTTCTGAACCTGCGGCTTCGTTGAGAGAAGACAGATGCAAAGTAAAGGGATAAAGTTCTCTTACTATTAAATGGAATCACTTCAATAATTGCCGTTCGTGTATTTTAGCCTCTATGCGTAGCCCTCACTGCCGTGCTGCAACTAATCCTAGTCGGCTGTCGTCCCCCAACCGCCTTCGCTGCTCTCTCCAAACAGTAACACATCTGTATGCGCCATAGGAAATTAATACTCCACCGGAGTTTGTAATTCAAATATTGTGGGCGCTTGTATATACCCGAGTAAACGTGGCTTATTACACCGCTACAGCTATGGCGAGTGTGACGAAATATCCGATCGTATGTACACTCAGTAGATAGTGCTCTCGAATTTTCGCTGGCACGTTGCTACATGGCGACAAGGCCATCTAATTGCCTACTTCCAACGTAATGCTTATGGCAATGTTGAGTAGGTTTCCATTACTTTGTTTCCTGCGTGGCACCTAGTTGTTTCTTCAAACCCCACTGCGCACTTCATTGGCTTCACCACGAATTCCACTGAAGAGAGAACCTGTCTAGCAGCGGGTGAAGGTGAAGACAGAAAACAAAAAAAAAGACACAGCGCGACATCGCAAAACGAAGGGCCACCGAAGTGCAAACAAGAAGACACTCAGAAACCTCCATGGGGAAGATCTGTCCAGCTCTTCCTGTTCGCTCCGTTAAGCTCTTCAATGTACTGTCAGATGGTGTTGGAGTCTTGTTGTTGTCGGCTGCTGCGATGGCTATCTTGCGCCCCAGCTGGGGTGGAGGTGCTTACTTCTAAAAGGCTGAGCACGCATTTGCTTAGTCGTGGGTGTCACATAGCTGAACAGCATGCTCACCAAAAATTTGCTGTCTAGGCGGACTTCGACGCTGGATACCTTAACTAAGTGCTCTCAACCGATGCAACTGCTCGCCGTCCACGACTTGATGGCGACTACTGACGTAACTGACCACGACACCGCTGCACACAACGAAGTAGTAGTGCTCCGTTAAAATTGGGTTTGAAGGAGAGACTGCCAACTATGAGATAGGCCACAAGCAAAGTCATCCAGTACACCCACCATGGGGCAATCAATTACGTGTCTTTGGAAGCCCTAGTATAACCCACTTTTGTGGTCCAACGCCGCCACCCTCAAGGGATGTAAGGCGCTTGTACTACCGTAATTTGGCAAATAAATTAAAAATTAAACGGTCTGGTGAGCCAAAATCACTCTTTCAAACGAGCATCTATGCAGAAGTGTGTAACCAAACTTTCTGCACCCGTTGTGCGAGTAGAAGGCCCACACCTTCAGGTCCAGGCATTGCTGGCCTAATTTTGCAAAACTGAACTTGAACAAACGTTTTTCCACTTCTCCCTGCAGTACAGTCTGCTGTAAAGTATACTCAGTGAACTGTAAATGCAACGCTGACCCACGGCAAACAACAGACAAAATACAGCGGCAGGGCCACTCCTGTTGAACTGTACACAGTAATCCATGCAAATCTGGACGTTCAAATCACCCCTAAAGACAAGACACTGCTGCAACTAGCAGATGACCTGCTCCCCATGTTGCAACGCGCTGTAACCTCAACCGACAGCCTGCGCGCCAGTTTCGGTAGCAACTTCCGAACAGTGCGGTCCGGAATAAATGAAGCATATTCCCAAATAAACACGCGGATATCAATAAACACACGGAGAGCAATCCAAACACTTAAGAGCAGTGCCTCCTTCCTGTTGCATCTACGGTGTCCAGTTGCTTGCAGCCATAAGCTTGCCATCAGGGCGCCCCGTTTCTGCAGCAGCGGCTGGGCCTTGAACGCAGCATCCCACTCACAGCCGTCTGACGTCCTTAAATTCCGACTAACCTGGCCCTGCGTGGCTTTCGGAGAGCAGCTAGTCCCCACAACCAAAGGAGCAGGCCAGTGGAGAATGCTGCTGCATGGAGGAAGACTTCCTCCGGATTTTTCTCTGCATATGATTCAAGCCTAAAGAACACAATGCAAACACCCCCACCACGAAATGGTCGAAATACGTCCAAAACAGCTCTTTGTATAACAGGTATATATGTATAAACTGCTCAACAGGTTATAGCAGTCCCACAGCTGCACCCAGGCTCACCTCTCCAGGATTATCTCCGCCTTGCTCCGAGGCACTTCTCCTGCCACCACATCGGCTACCTGTTTCGCCTGCACGAAAAGATCTTTAAAAGGGGGCATCGCTTTGGGGTAGGTAACGAACATTGCGTAGAGGATTGTTCCCAAGATGAGGGTGAATCCTAGGAGTAAGCGCATTACTCCCCTAGTCCCTGAGAGTTCTACCGTGTACTGTGGACTTAACAGTACAACGTCCTGCGAATCGGCATGTGTCAAGAGTTTCGAATCTTCAACCGTCACCTGTGGCCCTCCTGCGAAATCCCTGACCTCAACTGCTGAGGAGCAGCACGAGTTGCATAGCAAACAAACAACAAGTGCATTCAGCGCAAGACCCCAACGAAGCAACATTCTCGTTGGCAGGGTAGACAGGCAAAAAGGTGAATTCAATACCCCTGGGAACGGGACGGACCGTTGCTACGGGAACTTCGCAGACAGAAAGATCACGAATAAACGGGTAAGCAGTTCAAAAAGGGCATAAACCATCCAAAATGAAACAAAAAGCACTGAGATGCAAACTAACGTTCTAAAGCAAACTTCTGCAACAACGACAAGCAGCTGTAGAGCCCGCAACTGCGAGCCGCGTCGCTCGAGCTGGACTTCCGATGCTGCATTTGGTGAGACTGGCTGCTTCCCGCAACTTTAGTGGCGATATGCTGAAAAGCAAAATAACTAGGATCTAATATGTCTGACAATTTCCCCCCATATTTCTTTTGCGCCCTCCAGCACCTCTTAATTCGAACCGTGACATAACCTTCGGGCGCCGGGGGAGTTTCGTGGCAACACAGCTCCACGATGTAACGCGTAGATTTGTCCCTGAACCGCTCATTCCGTAGGGAGTTTGCCACCTCGAAGTATTGATTTCAAGCATTTGGCCTTGTGCCGTTCAAGTTATGTCGAAAGTGCAGTAGGTTCTGTCGCGAGGGTCGCCAGGGTGGAAGTGGAAGCTAATTTCTCGTCTGCGAGACAGGCCATCAGTAGTTGCGCGTTACTTTATACGATGTCAGAAAATCTGTACGATACTGGAAAGTGTCTGAATCTGGGGGATGAGCCCTTTTCTGGCCCTAGTAGACGACCGGCAAGGCAGAAGTGCCCAACAATTATATCGAGTGTTAATGCCCCTGTAGACGAGGAGGCTTGTTTGTGGCTACTTGTTGTGCTGGCATGTGGGGCCGCATTGCACCACTTGTTGTGGCAAGGTACTCTGCAAAAGCTATTTCGCCTCATCTCCCACAGCCAAAGGCTTTTTTCGGCGGCGCCTGGCACTCCTGGGATTTGGCGAAGGAGGCCAGCTGCTTCTATGGAGCTCCAGTCCTAGTGCCTTGATTCCCTTGCAGTTCGCAAGTCCTTAGATGAATGGAGACCGCTGTTACACTTGGTATGATTGATTGCACTGCATGTTTCACTGGGTAGGTGCGCGCAGCACCACCATAGAGCGCCCTGATGCGCAGCAGTGAGTGGTAGTAAGCAGTGTCATCTAGTTGGTGCAAGTGCAGTCCCAGCATCCCTTCTAGGGGAATGCTCTTTTACACCTACTTAACTGGCGATTAATGCCACACCCTTTGCATGCCAACACGGTAGGACTGTAGCTCTGCTTCGATGGTAGTGGATTTTCTTCTTGGCCTTCTCGAGCTTTAATTGCGTTTCCAGCACCCATTAGAAGAACTGTGTCTTCTATTGGAATGTTATTGGAAGGGGAGATACAACAAACCAGGCTATACCTAAGGAGGGGTACCGCTTTTCCGGATCGCGTGGGGATTGGGGAGGCTTTACTCAATGCGCTGCGATGTAGCCGGGAGCAGTCTATGGCGTATATGATATAATTCAAACTAAGGGAATTTATAAAAAGAGTGGCTCATTCAACAGATGGAGTCCCTTGTTAACAGAAATTCAACGGTGAACGGTACTCCTCAGTATCGACGATTTGTAGCAGAGGTGCCGTTTGGATGGGGCAAGACATTCCCAGGGAGGAGTCCAACGGAAGGAATCGAGTGGTTAAACTGTGGAATTTGCCAAAATGGTGGAGTACGTAGACATGACAGAGCAAACTAAATGCCAATTCCCCCACGGAATAGAAAGAAAGTGATCCTGTACATAACAGTCAAGAGGGAGTCTACGGGCACTCATACAGAAAGTGCAGCCTTAGTGCCAACGGAATACGATGAGCTTGGGTGGATTCGGCAGTACGGAATCCGGTGGCAACTATCGAATGGCGTGCCTGTCTCGTCGGCAACAAGAACAGGCATTTCGACACAGAGCCTGCCAGACAGCGATGGGGCTGAAGGTGGTGACTGCCACACTTGCAGATGAGCCTCCAGTCGACTCTGCCTGCCCAAATCTGCGTGTTCAGGCTTTGCTAGCGCCACTTGGCAGAGGGTGCACGATGGGTCTGGTTTCAGAAACAACATAAACAGGGTGCAATCTAGCACTTGCGGATTTCTTCTAAATATATCACTCTGGTGCCCAATGGATCTCAAGACCCTCAGAAATTAGCCGTTAGTCGACAGTTAACAAACAGCAGACGTTAGTACCGAAGGATGTCAATACCTTCCTCTCCGCAACTTGAGACACAAACGGCAACCCACCTGCGAAACCAACATAATTGATAAATTCAGGAGGGCTCATGAGCCCTCCCACTTCACTGGCAAAGAACTGGAGCAGTAAAGGAACACCAGTCTACAAATGTGGTGGAAACCTCATTTAGCTGCCACCCAACGTACCTCTGCATATCCACTAGGTGCACGCTCGATACAGACTCGCGACAACGGGCGACATTAACCCGTAGTCATCTACGATGGGCCCCTATTTCATATCTCCATTTAAGCTTCCTAAAAAAAGAGGGGGAAGGAATGTCTCAGTCTCTGACCCGTAGTAATCCCGTGCCTCTGCTCCAGTGCAGGTCTCATCGACACTCCCAAACCTTGGTCGGCTAGCGTATGGTCGGAGGTTGATGCTCTTATTGCCTCTATGAAATGGCCTGATTTTTCATTTGTAGTACTGTATGTGCTTTTCGTGCTGGATAGGCATTTATGCCCCATTTTAGGTCCATGGTAGTGCCTGTGTACTCCAACAAGGGATGATACTGGTGACAAAGCCCTCGTTTACTTCTGTCAGCGTTTACTCCAGCTTACGGATGTTGAAGTGCTCAAGGAGAGAAGAGAAACAAATTCAGAGGTCACAAGGCAGACAACGGTGACGGGTTTCGGAGAATTGCCCCTGAATTCCGCGCGCGCATCTATGTGTTTCCCTTTGTGTGGGGGAGAAAACTGGACTCGAGGGCGCAAGGGGCCAATATTTATTTCCGCTAGTCAACAATTCTGGTCTACACTTTCCGTTTCGAAGGGGACAAGGAGCCCGTATTCTCCTATCTATCTATTTGAAGGTGCATCAGACTGCATTTTTATACTGCTATATTTTGAAGCTAGGCTCCCATGGCTGGCCTATTGCGGTGGCCATCCCAACCTATGCAGAATGGTCAAAAATCAACCGATTCTTTGGATATGCTTTAGCAGAGAAGCGGTTCATGCCTGTGTGTAGGCATGCCTTAGCCTCACGCAGTGGAGAGCAGCACCTGTTCCACCACTTGCATCAGTCACTAATAGTTTACTCTCGGTTTCTTTTGCTGTGACTTGCATGTAAGCCCACATCTGGCGTGTCCCTGTGTGTACCATTGCTGTTATTGGGTCTCGCTATTCCGGCGGGCTGTTTCTTTGTCGGGGGGAGGGTCTGGGTGGGTAGGCGGGCGACGAGCAATCATGCGCTGACGAATGTAGATGCACGTGTATCTTCGATCGGGAATTCCAAATAAGTGTTCAAGAAGTGCACATGATTAGGCGGGATAGTGGTGGCTTGCTTGCGCTTGCCAATGGGGTTGCCTAGAGGTAACAGCTAAAGCAGGAAGTGCTGCAACACTATGGGGTTGCCCAGAGGCAACGGGTAAAGCAGGAAGTGCTGCAACACTACAGCTGCGAACCATGAACTCGCTGTAACGACGGTCCTGGGTCTTATCTGAGGGCAATTGCGTGCTGCAGTGGAGCCAAAACACTTAAGGTAGAGTTCCTGAAGAGAATCTGGCCTTTCTTAGTAAGCTTGATTCATCCTGAGAACAGCGGCTCAAGCGCCTGGAGCTGGGGGAGAGCAGGCTGCCTGCCATGAGTTGCAGCACATACTGCTGCATCTATAGCGACAAGGCAACCCTATCTACATTCACAAGCAAGCCATCTTGTCTGTATGCACCGACACTTTAGATAGTTGTTGAGAGCTTTTCCTTGCTTACCGGTCGTGCACTAGGACCATGTAAGTGTTCGTATGCCAAGTGCAGACACAAACGCCAAATTCGGGCGTACTATTCCACTGCCGCACATGTAAGTACAGACATGTTCTCTTGTCTACATGCTTGAGCATTGTACACAAATGTTGTTGACGTTTGCTCGTACGCCGGTTACACACTAAGGCCGAGTAAAGGGCCCCTTGCCAACCTAAGGGTGCTACAAAGCGTTTGAGGGCGCTGCGCTCAGGATATGTGGGACTGAATGGGAAATAAGTGCTCTGGGAGAAGGCTAGGCTTAAGTATTTTGGTCTTTTTGCACCTCACGAATGTCTTGAGACTAGTTTGAGGACTCCAGCAACAAGCACGCCTTCGTGAAAGCCCTTCTGCGCGGCAGCAGTGGAAACACAACTAACACAACAAAGCCAGCTATTCCGTGTGCAGTAACAGTGTAGGCAAATATTAAACACTAAATTATTCCTCACCACCCAGCATGCATGCAAGAAGGAATATATGTATCAAGTTCAGACAGCCCATGGAATAGAGCATGCGGCAAGGCTGTTTAGATATCCTATCTGCAGCTGTCTTGAAATAAGAAAACAGTCTTCTTGAAATATCACCGTCGAAGACAGGCTTATTTTTTTTATTTTCAATAGTTATGCAGGAGAAAAGAGTGATCAAGATCTCACTGACTACGGCTAACGTTTCGTCTTGCTGAATTGTTCTAGATGAGAGTCGACCGGGGGACGAGGAGCAGCACGCAGGGCTATGTTTGCACCGAACTGTGGGATCAAACGCCAGTGGTCCTTAGATTTGCAAGCTCAAAAGCGGGTACGGCTAATTAAACTCCACTCTTATCTTCCCCAGAGCCTTTCATTCACTTATATTTGTGGAGAATCGGGTGCGGGGCCGATTGTGCCCCAGCTCCCCACTGAAACTTTGTGGAGCGTATGGGCTGCAGCCCTTGGCACATGTTTTTCTGGCTCAAACACTGGGTTGTCTTTTAATATTTGTACTCTGGATAGCCGAAGAAAACCCAGGGATCCCTCATGAGGGCCCCATCCCTGTATCACCTTTTTAGCCCTGGGTTTCTGGGCTGCCTGGTTGGGGTCCCTAGTAGCGCCGTTTCCCACACCAAAGCTAAGCCCTGTGCGCTCTAAATATGAAGCATTTTCAACTACTTGTTGTAGCGGTGGCACTGCTGGATTTCTGCTTAGCTGTGCAGCCACCTCAGGACAATGTTTCTGGACAAGGCCGCTCTGCTGCCTCGCCAGCAACACAACCGCCGGCAGCAGTTACACCAGCAGCAGCCGTATTGAATCCTTCGCAGTCAGTGCAGAAAACGCTCCTTCGTGCGGGGCGCAACGCTTTAGCGGAAGGGAACGATGGGAGGCATACCGGCGAGGCCTCTGCCGCTGCTCAGGCTCAAGTTACCAGCTTGCTACCTGGAGAGGGAGGAGTCCCTGAGGATATATCCTCCTCGTCAACGTCGGAGGCTGTTCCTGATGAGAACAAGTCAGAACAAGATGAGAACTCACGCACAACCCTAGAGAAACTGCTAGCCGAGGCGACTGTCGTGCAAGGTGAAGCTGCGAGGTCATCAAGCCAGCGAGAGGAGAAGCCGCGGCGGCCTCCTCGAAGGAGGAATCCCCAAGAGGTTCCTTTTCCACCTCCAAGTAGTGCTGTAACACGGAGCGTAAAGGACGACGTAGAAACCCCAATGACCCTGGATGACGTCTTCAGTCAGATAGCGAAGGTCTCCCTTTTCTCTAGAAAAACATCATCAAGAGTGCCTATGACACCCCGGAAGAGGATAATCAAAAGGCCCGTGAGGAGAAAGAAAAGCAGGTGGGGATCTTTCACGAAAAATCCCGACTCCGACTCCGACGACGATTCCCCTATCCTCGCCGTCATGCCAAGACAGCCTTTCCACGTGCCATACCAAATTTCTAAGGGGAAGTGGCCTTCCTCAGAGACTGAGCACTCCAACACACCTCAAGCTGCCCTGCATCAGCTGCTGTCAGACACAGCAGGCTCTATGGGCATCGGCGCCTGGACTATTGTCGGCCCGTCGGAACAACCCGCGGAGGAGCCGAAACCTAGGGAAGAGGAGGTCCCTGCATTGCCGCCCAAAGACTCCCGAGATACTTTAGAAGATTTGTTACAACAAGCAACTGCAACTATTGCCTCTGCTAGACGCCGCAAGAAGCGACGGAACCGCCGCCTTGGTAAAAAGTATTCGAAGATGAGCAAAGGACAAGGTGGAAAAGATGACGAACCGATCCTTGCAGTGTTACCGAGGAGAGCAGAGAGTTCTCACACATCAACATCTATTCAGGAAAGTATCGAGCCTCCCCCAGAGAACCTTCTGAACCAGACGGCCAACCCCCAGGAAGCCTTGCAGCAGATGCTGGCGAATTCTATGGGATTCGCTTCTTGGGACGAAACTGAAGAAAACCCTGAAGAAAACCCTGATACAGTAGCAAAAGTTGAGGGGAGTGAGGAATCCAAGGAAGGAAACCCCGCACATGTCACCAAAGACTCCTCCACAGTCTCGTCCGACGGCCCTCAGCCACAGGCCGTACAAGGGCTCAATTCCTCTGAAAACGCCTTGGGACCTCAACCTACTAATACACTCGAAAATATAAAATCCCCAGAGACAAACGAGAATGCGGAGACTATCAGTGAGCCATCACCTCTAACGCCTCGAAAAGCAGCAGCCGCAGCGGCAGCGTGGGACATGAAGCTACTTACTTCTGTTGCTCGTAAGACAGCAGCAACGGCGAAAGCAGCGAGGGTTGCTGCGTCACTAGCAAGAGGAATCTCAGGTGAGAATGCATGCTGTACTCGGATAGCCAACCAGGTTAGCCTGTGCACCGCAGAGATCTGAAAGCACGTGCACATTTTGCCTGAGTAACAAAATGTTTATGATTGTATGCTCTCGCCGTTGGTGGTGTTGGGGCTGCGCAGCTCTGCCGGGACCAGAGAAAGGCCAAATGCCGAGGTTTCAATTTCGTCGTACTGCCATCCCGTTGAAGTGGGAAGAGGATGAGTCAATTTCTGAAGAAACGACGACGGAGTCCGACGAATCGCAATCTTCGGATGCGAGCACTCCCGCGGGTGCATGGGACACTTCTTCTTTGCCTAGCGATGGAGCGGACGAAGGTTTTAAAGGCTTATCTCACCCTCAGTGGCCACCCGTCAGTCCAACCATGACGGAACTGCCGGGCAGCTCTCAGTCAGACGGATCCCCGTCTTCTGTTCTCTTCCCTTCTCAGCAGGCTCTATTGATGGGGTCAGCAGATAGGACGCCACATTCGTCGGGGCAGTACGCAGAAGATCCGGACTTTGGGAAGGAAACCCTTTGGGAAGACCCAACACCATTCGGCGCCCTGCACGAGGGTCCAGAAGAATTTGCGGCAGCGAACCTGTTGGGGACCCCTACCGGAGGGGTGGTTCAAGCAGCGCAACAGATGCAACAAGAAAACTTCTCTGCAGCAGGACAGCACGTGCTGAGAAATGCAAAAGACCCCCTCGAAGGAAGTAGCCAAACATTGTTCCCTTCGCCGGTGCAGCGAAACGCAGCAACAGCTGACAAGTTTCAACCACCGGCATCCCCGGTTCCTCGGATGGAAGGGCCCCACCACCCTGGAGGAGGTTCCTTTGAGGATGAGGAAGGCAGCGCAGACAACCCGTTCACGCTGTCAGGGGGGTGGGGCCCGGCTACAGTTTTTGGGCTGATGATGGTGGTCGGCCTTTTCGCAGGACTCGGCATGTGGCTGCGCTCTCAATGTAAGCATGCAACGTTTGTCTCGAAATGTTGAAATGAAAGTTCTAGCTGTAAGGCCTCTACCTGCTTTCTGCCACTTATGCGTTGTGTCTTGTAGCTGAACGAGCACATAGTATAGAAATATCCTTTGTATACTTGCTTGCGATTCAGGTGCCAAAAGGGCTAACAAAAATGCAGCTAAAGACAAGGACTGCTCATACACGCACAGCAGCATATGGGCTACCTCTGCGGAGCTGTCCGCTACAGCGTGAAGCCGGCGGGTCTGGTGCACCTGTGCAGCTGTGCAGGGAGCTGTGCCTTGCAGTAGTGAAGCACTACGTGCAGAAAGAATTCAGTGGTGGAATCGTATGATAAGCATACAAAAGAGCATGTTTTTGCTTGCAGACAGTGGGTCCAGGTGTACAGCGAACGTGCCCAGCCGTCGGCAAGTCAATGTACAATGGCGAAAATTCTGTGTGCAACGGTCCTTGTATATGTTTTGCGCTGTGACCAGCGGTTTGATTTGGGTTGGGGACTTCCGTCGTCTGTACACTGGCGAGGTGCGTGCCTTTGCATCAACAGCGCTGCGCATTCACTCGCGTGATACGTTTCAACGGTTTCTCTGTTTCCCCACCTCACGTTTGCACTCAGGCTCGAGTCTCTTATCGAGCTAAATTGCCTTAGCTCAAAGGCATTGCCGAATGGCCGGCCGGCGGTGGTAGTGCCGCTTGTATCCAACGTCCCTTTGACGGGCCCTACTGTACCCATATAGTTTGCTGTGTAGAGGCCACTCACTACACACTACCTTCAGCGGAGGGGAGGAAGGGGGGTTGGGGGTCAGGGTGCACAGGAACACTCCTCTAGAGTGGGGTCGGGCTCAGTTCAAAACCAGGTGGCTGAGCTGCGAGCTGCTAATAGTGCAGGTCCCTCTAGAATTGGCAATAAGCGCTGTGCAGTGTACAGGCATGTGTTTGTCTGTTCTGCTTCTTTTCGTGCTATTTTGCCGATAGCACCCTGTAAACCCATAAGGCCTCAATTTTAAAATATATAAACAAACAACCTCCGTAGCCATTGATAGCTAGCTAGCTGGCCAGATAGCTAGATCGCTAGCCACAACAAGTTTATCCGGTTAAAAGGTAGGTATATATACATATATATGCCTCTCCTCTTCGCCAAAAATAATTTGCGGCTTTATTATAAAGCAACTGACGATGTAGGGGGAGCAAGGACCCACAAGGAATTAAGTAGTAGTAGTAGTCCCAAGGACTAGCATAGAAATGGTTCCTTTGTCTCTGTGGTTGTATTCAACGCTGTTGTGGCCAAGCGGCAGGTTGCTGCGGCTGCAGCTGCTGTAGTTGCTGCTGTGGCTGTTGTAGCTGCTGCAGCTGCTGTAGCAGCTGCGCAGTCGGTACGCCCACCGAAGGCTGCTGGCCTGCCATCTGGAGCTGTTGCTGCTGCCTCTGCAGAAGAAGCTGCTGCTGCAGAAGCTGCTGCTGCAATTGTTGCGGTCGTTGCTGCAGCAGCAACTGAGGATGCTGCTGCTGAAACATCTGAAGGGGCGGTAGTGGGCCTGCGCTAGAAGAAGCACTGGCAGTAACATTTTGCTGAACTTGCTGCTGCTGCGGCAGGACTTGCTGTTTTGCAGCATCCAGTACTTGGTGCTGCTGCAGTTGTTGGTGTTGCAGTTGCTGCTGCAGCACATTCAGTTGTCTATTTTGCCGCAGTAGCTGCTGCTGCTGCTGAGAAAGCCCAGGAAGCGGAGCACCAATTGCCCCCGGAAGAGCCCCAAGGGGAGGCCCCGGCAGAGTTGACCCGGGAAGGGGAGGACCTGGGCGTCGTAGGCGTTGCTGTTGCAGTTGTTGCTGCTGCAGCTGTTGCTGCTGCAGCAGGTGTGCGCTTGCAACTCCCTGCTGCTGCTGCAGCAACAGCTGCTGTTGCATTTGGTGCTGCAGCTGCTGTTTTTGCTGCGGCGTGCTCAGCAGCAAATCGTACAGGGCATCGAAATGTAAAGGAAGGTTC